AAACTCGCTTATAAGCCCTTCTTGACCGTTTACATGACAAATTAAGGTGGCGCTACACCTTTCCGGCACCTTTCAGAGGGTCAAAAATCGAATTTTGGATTTTGACCCCATTTTCGCTTCCAGACCCTCTGGGTAGGTCCCAACCGCACTTCCCGAAAATTTGAAGTGAATTGCTTCAGTAGTTTTTGAGATATGGACTTTCAAAGGCCAGTAATTGTAAATTCAAAAATTCAAATTTTAACGCATTAGAATTTATATTACACATGTTTTGCGTGTAACTTTGATTTCGCTGGCATTTTAGCGATGAAACTTCGCGGAAAGGCTGAAAATCTCCCTGGTTGTACCTTGCTGCGCCCCACGCAGAGCTGACATCACCATCGGCATCAGCAGTGCCAGTGCGCATGTCACCACACACAGTGCGCATGTCGTACTTCAAATTTTTGGTAAATATTTTTATACCAGCAATCTCCAATCTCCAATTGTAGCTCTTTATCAGTTTAGCTGCTTTGTTGGCTTTCATCTGTTTTGTGGAACCTTCCTTGATCACTATGGGCAAGAGGCAGTACGTAGGCCGTCCTGGTCGTCCAAAGAAGCGCAAATTCCATGGAAATCAATGTGCTAAATAATTTTAAATTGTCGAGTGAAATTACGAAAATTGTCGTGGCAGAAGACTCTTCTGTGTTGCCAGAAGATAGGGATGATGCCGAAGTCCAACAGTCTAATTCTGGTGAGAGTGAGACATCTAGTGACAGTGACAGCAACAGCTCTGGAGATGAGCGCGACGGTGATGATTACCTGACGACCGGGAGCCGAATTATTTATTTAGAATGTTTACAAAATTTACTTGCTGATAGTGCCTGTTGCTCAGCGTGCCATGGCACCCTTACACTATGTGAAGTACGTCGTGAAGGTTTGGCTTCAACTCTATCGCTGGCCTGTGACAGCTGCGAGGCTGAAAGCCGTGAAGCTATGTCCAAGAAGACTGGGCACTGCTGGGATGTGAACAGAAAGCCGGCTACTGCAATGACATGGATAGGACGTGGGCATCCCTTGTGAAATTCTGCACTGTCATGAATATGCCTGCATACCAGAAGCACACCAAGGTACTAGCAAAGGCCAGTAGAGTTGTTGCCACCAGCAGCATGAGCGTGCAGCTGCGAATGCCAAGGAGTTGGCGTCTTCCCCTGATATTGCCGTCACTTACGACGGAACGTGGATGCGACGCGGCTTTACCTCGCTACATGGAGCGTTTCTTGCCATCTCGTGGGATACTGGCAAAGTCATCGACTACGAAGTCCTCTTCCGGCACTGCCAGCAGTGCACAATATTCCAGAGGAAGCTGAGCAAACATGAGATCAGCAAGGAGCAGTATACTGCCAACGTACGTGGACATGGCAATGACCTGCAAGGCATGGCATGCGCGATATGGGCATCGGTCGTGCATTGTGTTTCAACAGATGACAAGCCGCAGCATCAGTTCTGCCCCCCTGGACCAGATAGTTGGTGCAAGTGGCAGAGTCATCAAGCTGGTGGCCCTGAATACCAACATAAGAAGAGCCTGCCGGATGCAGTCTTCAAAGTCATCAAGCCTGTGTACTTGCGGCTGACTGAGAGGCAACTTCTCGAGAAATGCTTGCGTGGCGCTACTCAGAATCGGAACGAGTGCATCAATGGCCTCATTTGGCAGATTTGTCCAAAGACTGTCTTTTGCTCGTCAATGACTGTCCAGACAGCTGTTGCCATAGTCACTGCTTGCTTGAACGAGAAGAACAAGGCCTCTGAGTAGATTCTTGAAGCGATGGGCCTGACAGCTGGTCACTACACGCGGACAGCGCTTGAGAAGTTGGACCGTGAGCAAGCCAAGAATGCAGCCAGGAAATCCTGAGATGAAGTGAAGAGTGCAAGGAAGAGGCGAAGGAGAGTGAGGTAGGGTGTGGAGGAGCAGACTGTTGATGACGAAGGTCTCACTTATGAGACTGGGGCCTTCTAAAAAGTAGCTGGCGTGGTGGACACAGATTGTAAATACATGTATTATACTGCAATTTTTCCCCTTTTTTTGGCTATTCCCGCAACTCTTAACCAAGCTACTGAGATAACCGTGGCCTGCAGACCCAACAAAGTATACATTTTTGAAATCTGTGAAGCATTAGCTAGACATTGAACCAAAGTTTCAGAGGGCTGCTCTTCATATGCTCATGATAGCACAGGTCAAACCTTTTGTTATTTTTTGCGCTTATCGTTCTTTTCTTTTCAATCTCCTGCACTTGCTGGCTTGTTTTGCTGGTGTCCCCTTTCTTTGGTTCAATGTCTTGCCATGTGTGTGTGAGACACTGCAGCGGCACTCATTTTATTGCGTAGGACGCATGGTCTTCTATATTGTGGTTACAGGCGAACCTTTCGGCGGATTTTGCGAACAGATCCGTCACATGTATGCCAACAGTAGATAGATGGCATCTTTGGCTTTATGTTTGCTGTTTCTGAAACGGGTATATCCAAGGAGTAAATGCTGAAAATTTTATAAGAATCTGTTTACCCATTGCTGAGATATGTGTGCTTACGTGGGACGGTGCCGGAAAGGTGTAGCGCCACCTTAAGCCCTGGGGGTTGGATAAGCTCGGGGGTCAAGGGTAGGGCTAGTTCAGCTCGGGGCGAGCTTAGGCTGTGTTTACATGAGAAATTTCAACCCGGGTCGAGTTCAGCCCGGGTTGAAAGTCTGTACGACAAACAAAAGAGGTGAGCGTTTACATGAAGACAGGTGACCCGGGTCAAATACTGATATGCCGCCAAAAGTCCACTTCTACAGTCCTGTATGGTCACGTGAATCCGTTCGCGCGAAATTTGCCGTGCTGTCATGGTGCCAGAGTCGTTGCAACGTTGCAAAGTGCAACAAGAGTGCAAATAGCACCATCTGTGGCATACTTCCAGCACAATGTAGCCTGATCACTGGCATAATTTGGGCATAATGGAAAGCATAATTCAGCAATTTACCTAGCATAATCTGCCAAGGGCTGTACCATTATATTGGACCCCAGCATACATGTAGTACAGCAGCATCATTGGCATAAATCCAGCATCAATCCAGCATCAATGTAGCAATGATAGCCATGCTACAGCAGAAGCTACAGCAACTATCTGCATTCGCCACCTTTTCATTGGGCAGATCTGCCCGTTTGGTTTGGGCAGATCTGCCCGTTTGGTTTGCGAATTAAAATAAAACACAACAACAACAACAACAAACAACAACAACAACAACAACAACAACAACAACAACAACAACAACAACAACTAGTTTCTTGTGCTGGGATTGCACCATTCAACAGCTTGCAAGGCTGAACATAATTGACCGCCACTATTCAGCCTGGTCTACACCAGGGAATAGTACAATACTACTACCTGGTCTACACCACACCGGCAGCTACAGCTGTATTTTGAAGTGGCTTTTTCTGGCTAGTGAATTCCTAATAATATTTGGTCATTTTTTCCTTTTTTCCCGCACACACATCACACCACATACTCCGGCGTACACTGGCTGCAGTAATCACCCAGGAGAATGAAAGAAACGTCAGGAGGATCCTGAGGCCTCGTTTACACGACAACGATTGAAAAACGATTTCAAAAGAACGCGCTTCCACAGATTTTGATAAGAGCGTTTACACGACAATGCTGAAAAACGTTTCAAAGCAAAAACGGCCTTAAAATTGGTTTTCAATCGTTTCGTTCTCGCGTATACGGCAAAAACGTTTCGCTACCATGGAAATGCCAGAGTGGTGTGGCGGGAAATAAGAAAAAGTATGAATGAGTACCGAATTTCCCGCTCTAAACATGCCGTCACCAGGCCAACTTATTGCACATGACCATTGTGCGCTGAAAAATGCTGAAAACGCATTGCAGTGTAAACACCTAAAAATGCCAATCGTTTTCGTGTACACAGCAAAAACGTTTCAAACACGAAATGAAAACGTTTTTCAATCGTTGTCGTGTAAACGAGGACTGAGAAAGAGAAGAAAGACGGGTGCGACCATAATCGTCGGGAATTGAACTCGCAACCTCTCGTTTGGAAATCGACTGCACACACCACTGTACCATATGGGACGCACACACACACACACACGTGCGCGCACGCACACACACACACACGTGCACATGTGCACATGTGCACACACACACACACACGTGCACATGTGCACATGTGCACACACACACACACACACACACACACACACACACACACACACACACACACACACACACACACACACATGCATACACACCGACTAACATTTTACATACGGAGGATAGCTGGATGAATAGAAAAGAGGAAAAAACAAATATTCCAGTTCAAACTAGAGAGCCAGCATGAGATGATTGTAAAACAATGGAGACAGACGAGACTTGGAGAGGAAACTTCTGATTGCAGCGCAGCATGGTGTAAATAGTACCGGCCACAGTACAGTATAATATTGGTGATTACATGTAGGTAGAGCTGTACCCACAGCAGAGCGCAGCATGAATAATAATTATAGGTAGAGCGGCGGTGCCCGCAAAATACAATAGGATGAATAATGGTAGAGCTGCCCGGAGCGCAGCACAGAGAGATATACTTGTAAGTAGCAAAGCCCACAGAGGAGAATGGGACCTTTTTTTTTTAAACCGTGACCTAAACCCAGGAGCAAAAGTCTAAAATTTGATACAGTAATCAAAAGCACTATGGCAGCAAGTCACCTGGCTTCACTAACTTGGAAAACAAGAAAGCTGCTTGACTCAACTGGCTCTACAGATTTCAAGAAACAATACTCTATCAATCAATCCACCCTCTTATCTATGTAGAAGGAGAGGGGAAACAGCTGCTCAAAGGATTTTTAAATTTGAAAACGTGTGGCTAAAGGTCCTTGATGCCAATTGTCTCAAGGGCAAAGGAAATTGTACAATAAAATAATTATTTAAAAAACGATCTAGGGTTGCGTAGGGGAGTATGCTGAAGCCTGACTAAGAGATGAATACGGCATCACGGCACTATTCAAGCTAACATTCTCCTCACTGATGTGTGATGGTAACTAAACAATGACGGCATCTTGCTTCACCAAAATGTGGAGGGTATGAAATACATGTAGACTGAATGTGAAAAGAAAGCTACCTGCAAGTCATTGAAAGACTTCTTCAGTTGAACTGGGCAGGGGACTGGGCAGGGGAAAAGGAGTTAATGTAACCTAGTGTGCATCCTGTTGTGTCTGTTCTTATGGATTGCCGGCCGGCACTGAAAGCGAAGACACACTCCTTGGTGTGCTGCTTTTCAGTGCCTGAGCCTGTTGTGAGCATGTAGCGCTAGCAGAATCAGATTCTGCTCTGCAGCTGCGCTCCATACCCAGGTTGAGCGGAGAGATCGGACCACTCTGGTCATAGATGGGCTTGAGAAGACTTGGAGAGAACCCAAGGAAATTGTCGGTGCCAGCCGGGCCCGGAGCAGAGCCCATTCCTGGCGTAAGAAACCTGGCGGGCATTCTAAAGGACGGTCGGCCGCACGGTGTCTGGTTGCCTATAGCCGTATTGCCTGCGCTGGCCATGTCACTCTTATCACCAGCAGCATCCATAGAGTCTGCAGCTGCTTTGTTGAATGTGGGACTGGACAGCTGATGAGAAGGATCGGCACGAACTTGCGGAGAGAAAAGGTAGTTTCGCAGATCAAACAGGTCCATATCAAGATCAGTCATGGCTTCGCTCTGAGGTATCATCCCCGCTAGTGTGGGACTCCAACCATTAGGAAGATTTGGCACAGTGCCGTTGCCTATTGTCCATGGTGTGTCACAGTTGCTCTTCAAAGCCTGCACACCATGAGCATTGCTGGGTGCCACGGTGTTGGTGATATCACCGAGTTGACTGCGAGAAGATATTTTCCCACTGGGATGCGTTTCACCAATTTGTGCCTCAGGATCTGCTGGCTGGGATTCTGGAGTTGTAGGAGATAATGTGTCGCTAGGAGTATCTGCTGCTGCTGGTGTTGTGAGCCCTTGACTCATTTCCAGTGCGCTCATTTGATATTGCGATGGGTTACTGGCAGACGATGAAGGTCTGTGGCTGCCATTTGCCATTGTTGGCTGGGGAACAGGTGTTGACATCATGTTGCCTGGCGGTTGCAGGAATTGACACAGTGTTTTGGACGCTATTGCTGGAATAGCAGTACCATGACTCTGGATCATGTTGTTGCTGAATTGAGGATGTGCGGATGTGAAGGAAGGGACAGATAAATGAGGTTGACAATGGTTGGGAGGAGTTGACCCGACAGTTATACCACTAGGAGCAGAGCTGCCTAGCCTAGTACGGATCCCTGGGAACTGTTGGATTGCAGGCAGCCGTTGAGGTCGCTGCGTAGTTCCAGACCCTTGCCCTACACCTGCTGTTGCTACTGCAGTACTATACGTTTGAGGCAGTGGTAGTATTGGGCCATCAAACTCCTCCACCGGACTTGGGAATGCATGCAGACCTGGAGGGGCAAAGTGGTGCAGCGGTGCGAGATGTTCCTTTATCTGCGATTGTACGACTTGTGCTGAGACGGCCTGCAAGTGCCTGAGGAGGCCTTGACTTGGACAAAACGAGCTGAGCAGATCACAGGGAATGGGACCAATGAAAACACTGTCACTGGATATGGCATGGCTCCCCTGTCCACGTTGCTGCTGTACTGAACATTGGCGCTTAGGACTGGGCTCGACTCCGCAGCTGTCAGCATGCTGAGGAACAGTGGAGGAATAGAGTGAGCGTGCCTGTTCGTCTGAAGAGTCTGCTGGACAGCTCGACACCATCTGGACACTGCCGGATTGGTCTACGTCAAGCAGGGGCGTGTGCGGGTGGCCGGTGCCATTCTGAGGTTTGCTCATGCCGAGAAGCTCTTCAGTCTGTGGGCAGTCTTTCAGAGTCCAGCGAGATCCACGGCCGTTGGGTGTAGGCACTCGTTGAAAACATGCCCTTAGCGTCAAGTTATGGCGAATCGAGTTCTGCAAAAGAAAAAGAAAAACACAGCAAATGGATCGAAGTACATAATTATAGGAAACAAACAATAAAGTGTAAAGTGTTACTGCCGGAGTGTTGGAGATACAGTGTTATTAGTGTCTCCCCAGTCAGTACAATGTGATTTTCGGATTACAGCACTTCAGAGTCATTCACAAATAATTGAAGTGTGGGATTTCAAGCCCAATGTACTGTAATGCGGGATTCACAGAAGCTTTTTTGCGATGCGACACGTGATGCGACAGCCGCGAAACCCCCAAATCGCAGCCATCTCGCACCCCACGCAACTGCCGCAACTGGGCCGTCGCAGAAGTTGAGCTTGGCTCAACTTGCTCGATGCGACAAGCGATTTGGCGTACGATTTTGACCTTTTCTACAGCGAAGTTGTACAAAGGTTCAAGAGTTGCCTATAAATGTGTACAAGTTGTACCAAACCGCGCGAATACCATGGTGACGGACCCACCTGCATTGAACTTCGCGCCGACTCAAAAGTTGTCGCATCGCTGACTTCTTCTGTGAATGGTTTTTCGCGCAGTTCGCATCGCACGCGTCCGTCACACATCACGTCGCATCGCAAAAAATGCTTCTGTGAATCGATCTCCGGATTTTTGTTGGTTTAATAGCGAGGTGAAATTCTAACGAATTCTGTCTCAAAAGCAGTAAATGAGTGTACAGTCATGTACATATCGTTTGGCACATAATGACTTCAAATGTTAACGATTCTTTCCCTCAAACTAGTGAAGATTCTTTCAAATTCGTTAATTCGTTAATTCTTTAAAATTAAATGTTCGTTAACATTACTGGTCTTACAGTAGGCCAAACCTGGCTCAAACACAGACTAACTGAGTCTCAAGCAAACCGTAATTTTTTTGACTCAAACCCTGATTGCAATTCGGTCTGATTTGAGTTTGAGAGTGGTACGTCTGTACATTGAGTTATCGATGCTAAACCTGACCAAATTCTGAACAGAACAAGTCGATTCTCTGTGTCTCACCTTCCATCCTTTCTTCGCACTGCGGTAATAGGTGAAATTGTCTTCAAACCACTCATACAGCTCTGTCAGTGACATGGTTCTGTCACGTGACGTGTGTATTGCTATGGCGATCAGCGCTGCATACGAATACGGAGGACGGCGACTCTCCTCTTCGTTTTCCTTATCGGTGATATCATCGCATGTGCACTCTATTGTATCAGGCGGTGTTGGAGCGGACGAGGAATCATCTAGCTGTGAAAATGCTGTGTCGCTTCCACTGACGTCTGGCTTAGATATATTTGAGAATCGACGTTGTTGAAGAGCCTCAGTACATGCCCTGCCATTGTTGTCTGCTGTCGGGCTGCTTGGAGGGTTGCACTTGCCAGCTGTAGAAGATGTCACAGTTTCTAGGGAGCTGGGAAGATTCACATCCCCGAGCCATGTAATATTGGTCAGGCTATTGTCCATAGATGGCTTGTTGGGGTTGACGTTATGCTGTGTGGGAGATGCAACCTGAACGGCAGAAGATTTGTTCGCAGAAGTTAGAAAGTTGTAAAAGAGTGGATGAATGTACCCAGGGTCTCCATGTACTGGTGGCACGAGGCATACAAATACATAATTTTCTGCTGAACTTGCTTTCCGAAGTTCAACACTATCGTGATATTTTCCATAAGACAAGATGCACGCAATGCATGAGAAACAGGAGTTGCACCCAACCCTGGTTTTGGTGCAACTTGACACCCTGGTGAAAAATTACAGTGCCCATCATCCGGACGCCTAGATCGATTACAGATACATGCAAAAGTGCATACAAATGCATGTACAAGAACCTTCCGTGTGACGAGCATGCGTAGGCCGTACAAATCTGTGCTTTTAATACCCAGGGTGCTGTGCATTCAAGGTCACATGACTGGTATAGCATAATGCACTGGGCAACCTTGATGTACTCCCTCCCCCCCCCCCCATACTTGCCAACCCTACCGGAATTTCCGGGAAAATCAAGGAAAACTCGCTTTCGTCCCGGTATACCGGAAAATAGTTATAACAACTACAGGATTTTCGAAAATGTCCGTCAACACCTTTTTGTTGATGTTCAGTGTTTTGGACGCTCGCTCGCAATGCTGTGCCCAAAACGAAGGTGTAGCGATCGAGAACTTTTGAGTTAGCGCATGAAAAAGTACTTTTTTGTCGTACATGCTGTACTATTTGTAAATGTTTTGTGGTCATGGTGACGTCATTATGATGTCATAATTATACAATATTTTGCACAATTATAATGTAAAAATTGCAGATCAAGGAAAAACGTTATCAGTGTCAAGGAAACTGTTTGCCAGGGGTTTGGCAAGTATGCCCCCCCCCCTTCCCTCAGTCTGTAAACAACAAATAGGGAAGCAATACCGTAGGGTGTGTGGGTCACCGGGGGGGGGGGGGGGTAAACGCAATGCATGGCCACCAACCCGTCTGTAGAGGTAGTGCTATTACACCATCCTTTCAGATGCTCTGCATGGAGTGTCATGACTGCGGCAACAAACTGACCGTCGTCTTGCTATATACTCCACACAAAGCAGGGAGCAGTGATACATGTACATGTACATGTACCGTAAAGTCATGGATAAAAGCCGCGGCTTATATGGCTTTTTGGGGAATTTTGTAGGCTTCAATATGAGACAGGCTTCTATACAAGACAGGTACTTCTAAACAAGACAGGTACTTCTATACAAGACAGGTACTTCTATGTATGTCAACATTTTAAAACTAGGCTTATGTGCCGACAGCCCGGGCATCTTGAAAATCAGGCTTCTATTCAAAACAGGCTTCTACACAAGACCGGCTTTTTAACACAAGACACTAACACACTAACACACTACGGTACATGTATACTTTTAGTTATTACAGTCAGACCTCGCTTATCCGGTCCTCTTTTATCCCGATCCCTCGCCATTCGGGAGAAAATCGCTGGTTACCGATTTACAGCATATGCCATGCATACATACAGTATGTGTGTTCGGTTATCCGGTTCCCTCGCCTATCCGGAAGTTTTTTGTGGAAAACGGATATTTGCGGCTTTGCGAGGTCTGACTGTACTCCCTACATTCAATGCATGTGCAATGATGTGACCATTGTCACAACCTCTAGGCTCTATAGCCGATCCACACAACACAAGAGAAAAGTCAAGTACACGACCGTCTGAAAAAGTACAAGAAATGTGTACATGTACATGTACGTGCACAAGTGATAGCACAGGAATTAATGTTGATCATTGGCGTTGCCATGGAATAGACCATTGACACTGTAATGATTGTGATCTGTACACATCGTCACACTGAATATGTTCCATCAAGAGTCATTTCGAACAAGCGGGGAGGCTGTGACAACAATGCCATGTTGTAATCCTGTTGCAGCACCCCCCCCCCCCCCCCCATGCATTGCGTTGATTCATTCACACACATTTTTCGTGGGCATGGCTTATGCATGAGTTATGCATGTGTCACTGCGTATAAAGTACCTGTATCTGATGAGGCACAGGGCCGGAAGGTCTAGGTACCGAGGGAAACATTGCACGAAGGTGCTATAGGGCTTGAAAGTGATGACGTCAAAACGGCCAGGGAGTAGTAAGTTGACATCAGATTTCCATTTTTGGATCCACTAAGGTGTGACTTTGCTATTGCCTAAGTATGTGGGTGCATAGCAACCCACTCATGTCGCATGCAGGTGTGACTTTTATTTCGCCACCAGTTGTAACCCCGCCCCCAGTAGCCAAATCAGTCAGTTTTACTGGCTACATCACCATGCTGTGGGTAAGACCGCTTGAAATGTGCTTGGATCCATACAAAAACTAAATCCAATTGGATCCAATTTTTGAATTTTTGAAATTGTTGCTATGCTGTGACGTAGCACTTTCAAGCCCTATTATGAACCATTGTAATGCATGTATTTACATCACGTGAATGTGATGGTTTACAGCGATACATACATGTACGCAAGCACACAATCTGAGATACGTACCGACTTCTCCAACATGTCGTCTTCCCTGCCACCGGTTGCCAAATCAAGGCTGCGCATGATTGATCATGAACTCGCCGCTGATCCGATCCACGTATGGCGAACTTCGTGATCACATTGTTGAAGAACTATGTCTAAATCTAAGCCTAAGGTGGACTAGGCTGTCGCTCCCGAGACACTCAATGTTTGTAGTGGGAAATCGACTATTCAACTAGTAGCAGCATCTGAAGGAGTAGCGTGCGTTGCGTCTGGCTTCACTTCTCGCCCACACTACCAATTCAACTCGTGGCAGCAGCAACTACATGGAGAGTGCCACTGTCAGTGTCAGAACACGGTAAATCCGCTGTTGCTGGCAACCAACAATCACAGTGTTATTTCTAGTGCACGTCTTATCTACAGCACTATGTAGTGTGAGGACTAGAAAGATCTAATGCCTAATGCCAGTAATGGTCCTCTCTACCATAACCAAAGTCATCCTTACAATTACAAACGTTACCGCTACTACACTAATCATCCTAGCACAGCTAACCAACAAATTTCGAATATTCGTCTTTCAAAAAGGTGTCATCTTCATCGCCCTAGGGTCTGGCGATGGCATTTTGGCAGATACATCATCCAGAACCCTACTGAGTGCCTGTCTAACTGGTCTCCAACCCTAGCCTAGCCGAATGCCAGCCGTTGATGTCTTTCCGCAGCACTCACAATTTTGTCAGCAACAATACAGTCGACTAGTCATGATCAGCGCTCGATCACGGCATGCTCTCCACATGCACTCCAGTCCAGGGGTCAGTCTGGCATGCACTGACTGTGACCACAGAACGGACACACACATGTACACAGAGCACGAGTCTACGTCTGTAGCACTTGCATTCGCGCATGGACTTTGAACTATTACTTGTATCGTGCAATCGCCAGTCTAGTTGGTTCAAATTCGTCCAGGCAACAGTTGCCTGTCAACAGGTCAAGCGCGAGTGCCACATGCACATGGCACGCACATGCACGTGTACCAAACTCCAAAGGGGTCATGTACTCTTGCATATGGCCATACCCAGGGAGTACGACTACTAGTACTACTACTAAAGAATACGGTTTTTAGTACAGCATTTTTAGTATCCTACTAGATTATACTCTTGCTACTACCTGACTACGGTCGTATACTGTAGCTAGCTAGCCGGTGTAACTTATGCCGGCATAAATCAGGTCCTTTTTGAGAAGGAGCATAAAATCAAGAGTACATAACCCCGGGGGGTTATGTACTCTTGATAAAATGGCTTCCGAAAACAAGGGCAGATGCCCAATGAGGCTGTTATATACACACTTGCTATTGAAGGACCATACATAGCGCTTCTTGTCGATTTGGAATAATATTTTAGCAGCCACTATAGGACATCTCCCAAAAGTTCAGCATTTGCTTGTGAATTTGGTATTCCTCTTGCATATTATTGTCGTGTACTTCCACAAAGCTCCCAGTCCACATCACGACAATGGTCTGAGTCATTTTTTTCATGACGATTTATCTGTTCTTTTGGTCTTTTTGGCGAAGCATATGATAAAAGCATAATTGGCTGTTTTCTCGAGCATCCTGCCTGCATCCGCTAGAGCATACTCTGGTCATTTTCCGCGCATAATCCGCGTGCCCCTAGCCTATAGTGGTAACGCGAATGATTTACTACTAACTAGTAGTAGTACCGTATTATCTCTATTACAAGCGCAGCCTCTTGTAGAAGCCCAGTCTCTATTATAAGCGCACTCCGATAGGGCTTCGAAAATATACCAGCGCAGTCTCCAATATAAGCGCAGGGCTTATAGAGAACTGTATGGATCATGTCCATGCATACTTGAGTTCGCACATCACATACATGTAAACACAATGCTGATTGCTGTGGTAAAAGTCTGTGATCCCCGAGATCTAAAGTTCAGACTCCCTCAGAGTACCAGGAAGCACAAAACTGCAGTCCCGGTACCTGCTGGGAAACTTGTGCTACTCTCCTCCTCCTCCTCCTCCTCCTCCTCCTCCTCCTCCTCCTCCTCCTCTCTCTCTCTCCCTCCATCCCTCCCTCCCTCCCTCCCTCCCTCCCTCCCTCCCTCCCTCCCTCTCTCTCTCTCTCTCTCTCTCTCTCTCTCTCTCTCTCTCTCTCTCTCTCTCTCTCTCTCTCTCTCTCTCTCTCTCTCTCTCTCTCTCTCTCTCTCTCTCTCTCTCTCTCTCTCTCTCTCTCTCTCTCTCTCTCTCTCTCTCTCTCTCTCTCTCTCTCTCTCTCTCTCTCTCTCTCTCTCTCTCTACACATGCACAGTGTGCGAGTACGAGTCGTACCAAGAGTGCATAACCTGCAGAACTCCGGCCGGAGGGAGAGTGTAATACCGTCCTGCTGGTGAAGGGACTCTGGACCGATAGCCGGATCGCATCCTTTCAGTCACACGAAGAGTCCATAATCCCCCTCCCCCCCCCCCCGGGATTATGAACTCTTGGTCACACAAGGGTATTCTGTCCCCAAGCGTTAAGCCCAAATCCCTCCCGTTGTTCTTCCGAAGATTTGAAGGCGAAAAGAAGCAAGAGTACGGTGAACGCATCAACGAACTTGGGCATACATGTACATTGTACTTTTTTGGGGATACGTACGTCTCCCTGATGTACATGTACATGTACATTTTTTATCACATTGCACATACCTACGGAAGAAGGGGAAACAAACCGAAGACAAAACAAAAACAACAGCAATGGGTGTGTAGGCGCTACATGAGCTGCGCTGGTGAGATGCGGTGGACTCCCCCGACCAATGATCTCGGGATCGGCGTACACAGCAAGCACCATGGGAGGGGGGGGGGGAGATGAAGAGAGAGAGAGAGAGAGAGAGAGAGAGAGAGAGAGAGAGAGAGAGAGAGAGAGAGAGAGAGAGAGAGAGAGAGAGAGAGAGAGAGAGAGAGAGAGAGAGAGAGAGAGAGAGATAGAGAGAGAGAGAGAGAGAGAGAGAGAGAGAGAGAGAGAGAGAGAGAAGAGAGAGAGAGAGAGAGAGAGAGAGAGAGAGGGAGAAAAGGGAGAGAGAGGGGAAGGGAGGGAGGGAGGGAGGGAGGGAGAGAGAGAGAGAGAGAGAGAGAGAGAGAGAGAGAGAGAGAGAGAGAGAGAGAGAGAGAGAGAGAGAGAGAGAGAGAGAGAGAGAAAGAGATAGAGAGAGAGAAAGAGGTAAGTGAGGGAAAGAGAGAAAGAGGTGGAGAGATATAAGTATAGAGAGAGAAAGAGTTCTGGGGCATATCGTCGCTTTGACTATAATGCTACTTTTAGAAGAGGGTCAACATAATGATTTGGGTCCACTGATGGCAGGCTGGTCACGGTGATGCATGTGCATGGCTAGCATCAGTCATGAGCAGAGCACCAGTCACTCTGTTGCAGTATGCAGCAATCTTGAAGCTCTGCCGGTGTTTCCGGGCTGGCTGCTTGTCCAGAACTGCCTGTGGCAATCTATTCATAATTCCACACTGACCACGATGCAGAATCGGAAAGAGTGCAGAAGGTAGTCAGGAGCTCGTGGCGAGAGACATGTAGCTCCTTTCACACTTTTGTGTTACTGCATGGGCCCGGAAGCGGCTGCTTAGGTCATGAAGATGCTTGAGCATGGCTTGTCCACCATGGCACGAGGAACGTCACCCGTTTACGCGTTACTGTAGGCTAAAGCTGACTTGTGCCTTGGCTGCCGTGCTGCCTGACATTGTCACAAGCCAGGTCTAGTCTGCCATCCGTTGTGTCCCGGGATCACGTTCCACTCACCATCGTCATTTCCACCTCGTCCAGGCCAGGCCGAAGCTCGTCTAGCTCGGCACTACCGGTAGTCTAGATTGTGTTCATAGTCGCTTTCTATCTCCCTTGCTCTCTCTTCATTAGTATTTTGAGTTCATACTGAAGTATGATAATCAATTCATAATGATTATGAAGAATCAAAAGACACATGCGCCGTCGAGGGCAGTACTGAAGGCGGCAGCACAAGCACCCCAGGGCCAGGGGTCCCAGCGGCCGCTCACGCCCTTCCACCACCGACGTCAACGGCGAGGAACCAGTCTGTCCTATATTTTTGTTCAGACTGGTACAGTGGTAGTCACTATGTCAGTTTGTGTTTGACTAGATTGTATTGTAGCCGTAGATCTCCTTGCTGTTTGGTGAGTTGGTGGAATCAGGAGCCGAATGCCCAGTCCCGTCGCATTGCGATGGCTCCACAGCTGCTCAGTTCTCCTTGCAGCATGGCTCCGCCTGCATGAATGGCGGGCTAATCAAGCGTGGGCACAATTAATGATGTCCATGACTTCGATGTCCGGCTGGCAGACGCGGCGGCCTGACTCCTGTCCTGAGCCGGTGATGGTGCCAAACTGCCAGTGCACTGTGCAGTATGCGGGCCACGGAAACACAGGCACCAGGGAGTCGTAAAATACGACTCCCTGCGTCACACACTCCAGGCAGATGGTGGAGTCTGTGGGAGGGAGAACCGTGTCGGATGTGCACGGGGACGCACACACATTTCACATACACCTCTAGCTCTTACTCTTACTCTTACTCTAAGTCTTACCTGTCCTCGTCTCCTCGCTACCTTGTCATCGTGGTTCAATGATATTTTGGGAAGAAACTCCATGCAGATCCCGTTTGCATTTGCGAAACATAACGTGACAACAAGAGTCCATTATAGCAATAAAAACTGCTTTATGGCAGTTTTCTAAAAAAAGTTATTGTGTTCTACAGTCCATGGACCCCGTCTAAAAAGTAAGAAATTAACGAAATGTGATAGCTGAAAATTAAAATTTCACACAAAACCTCACAATAATCACAACACTTGAAATGCTGCTTTCAACACTAAACTTGTACTGCACCAACAATTGGCAACATGAATGCCATGCATGCATAGGAAAGAGGATCACGAGGGGAAAAGGTCTTCTGCATGTAGCTTTTCATTCTGTGTGTGATTATTGTGAGGTTTTGTGTGAAATTTTAATTTTCAGCTATCACATTTCGTTAATTTCTTACTTTTTAGACGGGGTCCATGGACTGTAGAACACAATAACTTTTTTTAGAAAACTGCCATAAAGCAGTTTTTATTGCTATAATTTCTTTTGTTTTTTCTGTCACCATGTACCAATCAATGGAATGCCCTATATCAATATGTAAATGATGGCCTTCACATCATATCAATACCATATTATACGCATTGATGTGCAAGCCTTTTCTTGCAGAAAATGGCACTAGCATAATGCATGTTCTTCTGCGGGGAAACATGTGAGCAGTGGTGGTGATACTTTTTTTATACGGAGGCCATTCTGTGCATGTTGCTGTTGCAGAATTTCATGACCCTGTCATAAAATTGTCTTGCCTTTCAGATTTCTCCACCCTCAATCAGATTTATTTGAGAAATGTAGCCATGCGCCAGGTGCGTGTCGCAGATGTTTTTGTTGATTCTGTGTTTATAATGGTTTATAGTCATGGGTTATCGTGATAAGGTCATCCAGCATCATTGAAACTGAAATCGTAATCCTGTTGATGTCGATACAACTTTTGGAAGTAGTTCAATGACTTCAAACTGTTAGTCCACGATTTTCTAAAACAACACAGCAAAGGAGGAACAATAAACCTGTATTAAAATGTAAACGAATACATTGCTGAGTCCAAAACCTCGTTCCAACAACTACACTGATCCTGAGGAGAAAAGGGGCAAGGCTATGGTTGGAGGTACTGAGAGATAAACAAGGCACTCCACAATAATGAAATCTTACACATCTTTTGGTGAGTATGAATGATATCCAGTCGAACCTCTTTAGGACGAACACCAAGGGAACGATGGTATTTATTCTGTGAGCTTAACCTATTTTATAACCAGAGAATACAATTATATCTCCAATAGACATACGAATAGATTTCTTCTACAGCGAAAGATTCTAAGCCACACCGACTCATTGACTCGTCTCGTATGAAACAATTGAGTCACTAGAGAGATTCTGCAAAACGAAATGCGTACAAACTTTCGCTCTACATCATGAAGTGCGAAACTTGCAGGGAACGCGAAATGAACTGTCGTAGGAAATTTCGTGAGATCGGGTCATGGCGTACGTGCACTTGGCCCGCGCAAACTACGAAAATGTGCAGAACGCAAAGTTCGTGCAAAAATTCGCACACACTTTCGCAAGGACTGTCGCGAAACTTCGTTCGAATTTTCGTTTTTCAGAACCTCTCTTTAGCAACATGACGGCAACTGAAACAGCAAGAGAGAAAGTACATGTACTCCACATTCTTACAGGTACTACAAACAGATTGCAGATCGCAATTCTTGCTTTGGCGGCACGAAACTTTATTTGGGGCAGTGCAATCTCGGCGGTACTCACAAATCAAACAGCCCAGACTTGAGTAAACAAATCCAATCATACAAGTACGAGATTTTCACGAGACGAGACTGCACCCATTGGCTTGTTTCGTATGAAACAAACAAGTTACTGAACCTCTCCACAATAGAGATTTCCCCTGATATGCGAATTTATTTTGCAAACTCGGTCAATTGGTACTTGAACCTTTCCCTCCAGATTGGGAACTGCCAACGATAGGATGCCACTGACCAGTGCCTTACTTGTAACGTACCAATGTACAATGAATATGAGTATTTCGACAACACATCTAACATAAGCCTTACCGTCAAGAAGTTGAACTCGCGTTCTTCGCACACTGTAGACAAGGGCAAAGAGATAAAAATTGATCTAAATCCGAATAAAATCAGCACACGTTTCCGTAAATGAAAGGTGAACATAAGCACATGAATCGAAGGAAACCGGTCAACTTAGAGATCACCTGTCATCGAGTATTCCGTAAAAGGAGGCCTCGCAGCTCGGCAGCAGAAGAGCAAAATTTAGAAAAGAGATCCTGTCAACTTTTTCCATTATTAAATTCCGCCCCAAAATCAGCACACTTTTCCTGAATGAAAGAGTCAACACAAGCAGAATCAAAGGCAACTGGTCAACTCACCTGTCATTGAGTAATATTCCGCGAAAGGAGGTCTCAGCAGCGCCGAAACGAAATAAGCCAGGCCAGGAGACGAAATATCCGAAACAGTTCATGCAAGAAGCAGTTCCAAAGAAGGAAGTAAAGTTCCTCGCGCATGCACATCCGAACACGGATCCGCGGACTGCATGCACTGAACACAATGTCTGCCGTGCACGTGCACAGCACGCGGCTACCACGCGGTAGATCTAATACCGGTATACCGAGCACCTTACGTAGAGACTTACGTAGCCTAAGGGAAATACCGAGCACCTTACGTAGAAACTTACGTAGCATAGCGATGTCGTTTTTTCTGCCATGTGAACACAATAATAGAAAAGCTGACAGGATCGCTTTTCTAAATAACCCATGCCATGGGTTATGCCTTATGGACTCTAGTCTTGGTAACAACCAGGGAGTAGTAAAATACGTATTTTACTACTCCCTGGTGACAACCATGGTCCATGCCACGATCTTGCACAATCTGCAGTCTGCACACGTACACCGTCATGCATAGTTCGCATTCATGACATCTAATCATGTTTTACCTTGCATGCGCTATGCAGCTTGGCTTGATGCGCGCATGCACGATGCATCGATATGTCGACAATCGAAAACACAAAAATAAAATAATTTTCAAAACATTTGGCGGGTTCGTACAAAAAAATTAAAATATTCTGTAAAAAAACGAAAATTGATCAGTTTCAGAAAATGAGTAGCTGCATTGTAGAATAGAATTTGCTGAGTCCTCTGCTTGTCTTGGCAATGAGTATTCCCTCTGCATCTTGGAAGCCGGCCTCAGTCGTGCTAGAGACCAATCTGGTAAGTCACCTCATTGCTTTTTTCTGCAATTCTATGCGTCCCCTTTCCAGTACATTCATATGCACTCTGAAAATTTGCAAATAAATGACTGCTGATGGCGAGCCCAGTAGGATCGGCGCAAGGGGCAATGCTGTACTAGCTTCTATGCGACTGTTGTCTTGATGTGCGTGAAGGGTACATTTGAGGGACTTTATCATCATAAATTGCATAATGCAAAGTCATTGAGCTAAAGTTCAATGCAGGTGGCCAGAGTTGTCCAGAGTTGCAATAGGAAAGGCAGAGGACATGGATGTGCGGAGTTTGACGGTACACCAGTAATATGAAAATCCACCGCCCTCTTTTCACTGTTCTTTGTATGTCTGCAACACATTGCTTTTTGTGATCACTGATGATGCTACATGTACTGCATCAGATATTACGAAACCTAATCCACGTATTATTCACTATTCACTGTTCACACTACACACACACACACACACACACACACACACACACACACACACACGCACACACACACACACACACGCACACACACACTCACGCGCACACACACACACACACACACACTCTCACACACACACACACACACACACACACACACTCTCTCACACACACACACACACACACACACACACACACACACACACACACACACACACACACACACACACACACACACACACACACACACACGGCCCGTAAGAGATTGGTTCAAAGCACGCCCTGTGAGTTACTAGTATAGCATGAGTATGGTATACAGTGTACTCTGTAGTGCAATAGTTAAAGTGGCAAAGTCCTCGAAGAGCTGGTTCAGAGCACGCCTGGGCAATATGGTACATGTACTGCCAGTATATTTATATTTACCAGGAGATTGCACAGTGCGCTTTGGATGTGCCTGTTCAGGATCTAAAAAAAACCCAGGGCAACCAGAACTTGGATATGGGCAATGCATGCTATCATGTGTACCCTGAGTGTCCAAGTTTTGGTCATGCAGCGGATGCATATAATGCTCCAGTGTACAGTTTCATTGTGCTCTGGTCGATATAGTAGGTGATACCGCATGTAAAGCTCACGTCTCTTCTTTCACAGGGCAATAGGGCATTCACACTACGATCCCAGTCACGTCTGGACGCAGTTATCCATGGAGATTTTGCGTGGCGGGATATGTGAATCGTGGCCGTGAAAATCGTAGCCGCGATCAAAACCTAGCGTTCGGTCGTGGATCGTCGACTACTGGGAGACTACTTCGTCATATCACAAGTCCTTTCTCTTTCTCTTGCGCTCTATCTGAGTATCACGATGGGTCAGACTGTGTTTTCTGTGGAGGCGGAGAAGAAATTCATCGAGTTGTAGGGAGATGTTCTTCTCCTCAAGACCAGCAGATGCTCTCCAGAAGTGCAAAAGTGCGGCTTGTGATGGAAAAGCTGAATTGCTGTGTCCGGGAGGAACTGGGCTCCTCCAAGAAATACACCGAGCAGGAGGTCAACAATAAAGTTGATTCGACGAAGAAGCGTGGGCGAGAAATATTTGAAAATTTAGAATTTTAAAATTGATCGTATGGAGAAGAGAATTTTTTTTCTCACACATCGGTCGAACTACAATCATACAAGTATAATCATGTGTACTATAATATGCATAATCGAGTAATCGAAACTTTTCGAATAATCGATTCGTTAGCTTGTAACGGTTTCTATTTTGAGTATTCGGTATAATCGTTTCACCCCTAGTTTTTAAGCCCGTAGAGTGGCTAATGAATGTGCGTGTATGGGTCTGTGTGTGTATGGGTGCATATGTCTATGTGTGTGTGTCTATGTGCGTCTATGTGTGTGTGTGTGTCTTTGTGTCTGCTGCAGGGCAATATCACAATCGAGCTGTATTGGGACCATGCACCAGTCACATGTCGCAACTTTGCAGAGTTGGTAGGTACATGTACTACACAACTGGTTGCTGTTCGCGACTCTCTCTTTCTCTCACTCACTCTCTCTCTCTCTCTCTCTCTCTCTCTCTCTCTCTCTCTCTCTCTCTCTCTCTCTCTCTCTCTCTCTCTCTCTCTCTCTCTATTTCTCTCTCTCCCTCAATCCAATCCCCACCCTATTCACTCCTATGTTTGACATATGTGTGAACATCATTTAGTTGCTGCCGTGAGACTAAAATTGTCTCAAGAAAACTGTGGCTGTCAGTGGTAGAAATCAAACCAGAGAAACGTGGCCTTTTGACAGATGTGTGGTTCTTCCGTTGTGGTCTGCACTGGTGTCCTTGTTGAGTGGGACTGGCTTATTGTGGTCTTTGAAAACAGGTGACCTCTGAGCACCAGCGTGGCCCATGCATACTCCCAAGTCCAAGCATTTAGTAACAAGAAAATTTTAATGGTATTCTTACAGATCAGGTGCTTACTGTAACCAGGTTTTGCCTGTACTGAGTATGTGACTTTATCTTGTGTCACACAGGCCCGTCGTGGTTATTACAACCGCATCAAGTTCCACCGTATCATCAAGGTCAGTTGTTGTCTTTGCAATATGTGCATTGTATTGTTGTAGCACGCTCAGCCTACAGCCTATGTAGTCAGGCATGCAGCTGGGAGCATGCTGAGATAAACTACATGTACTGCTCGCTTGCCTTCCATTTTAGAGTGATTTCACCTCAATGGTGCAACAATCGTGCCAGTGGTTGCTTCTGCTGAGTGTCATGTGATCATTGCGCTAGCGGCTGTGTTTTACGCGGCCAGTGCGCTCGTGGCTCTGTGTTTTGTGGTCAATGAGCTAACGGTTCTGCGTTTTGCGGCCAGTATGCTAACGTTGAATTGTTGCCTGTGTTCATCATCATCATAAGCCCATAGCCCTAAGGCCGTCGGGGCGTCACAGAGCAAGTATGAACAAGCGAGCGCCATAAAAATCTATCGCGTGCGGCAGCTAGCAAGGACTGCACGTCAAGTGCAGTCCATGAAATAATATTATCAAGCTATGACATTCTAGGCCTGCCTCGGCCACGACCTCCAGCAACACAACCCTGAAGAACAGTCAATGACAAACAGCCGAAACGAACAATATGACCAAAAATTGCAATTTCCTTCTACGAACAGAAACAATAAGTGGGACTTGTTGGTGAATACTATTTATTTCCTCTCTAACAGACACATTCGTCCGGTGATCAGTGAACGGAATCCTGAGAAGACGTCGATAGCTTCTCATTTCGAAAGCCTCGATCTTTTTCACAATTTCACAGTTAAGGTCCAAGACTGGCAAGCATAAAGGAATATGGATAAAACAATAGCATTGAGTAGACGTAATTTCGAGCCGATACTGATATTTCTATCCCTCCAGATTGTTACTAGTCGTGCAACAGCAGCCGAGGCTGCTGCGATCCGACTCCTCCCTTCTTTGATTGAACGCTGATCATCAGTAATCGTGCTACCCAGATATTTAAACTCGCCAACCTGCTCGAGCTGCTTCCCGTCGATGGCTATGCTTGCGGACAGACCCCCGCTTGCTCCCGTTACCAGTAGCTTACTCTTCTCAGTGCTGATTTCCATGCCGTATGCCTGTGTTGTATCCGTGATATATAGGACTTCATGATTCAAACGGGAGATCCAACCGGTACCGGGAAGGGTGGAGCGTCGATCTACGGGTGAGCTTCTTGCTTCTTGCATTGATGTGAATGGCTTCTAGCCGCGGATAAAATCACTGTATGTCATGTACTGCTATGTCAACCAACCTCATTTTGATGGTGAACGAACTTAAAGCTAATGCGAATACCTGTTGGTAGTCTGCTTTTGCACTGTGTGTATTGGACCGTTTTCAGTGCTTACGGGTGTACTACACATCTCGGTGTGCCCAACTTTCTTGATTTCTTATTTTGTTTTGATGCTTGTTTCGTTTTAGTCATTCTTCGATTGGCTAGGATAGCTGTTGGTGACTTGTCTCCTGGTATGCGGCAGATTTTTTTATGTACTCTGTTTTGATCATGCCCTCTGTGTTCATTTAGCCTAAAACTGTTCAATGTGTGTGTGGGTGTGGGTGGGTGGGTGTGTGGGTGTGTGGATGTGGGTGTGGGTGGGTGTATGTGTGCGTGCGTGTTTGGCCATATGCAGACAAACGTTCAAGGATGAAATCCACAAAGATCTCAAACACACTGGAGCCGGTGTTCTCTCTATGGCCAACAGGTTAGAACCACCGATCCACTATTATAGATTAGAGGTCGTCCGTAATTATCAAAGAATTGAAAATCAGTTCTCGTGCGAATCTTTCTCTCGCCCCCCCCCCCCCCCCCATTTTTTCTATTTTTGATTTTTCCCAGTCAGCCGATACCTACATGATTGTATGCCTATCCTGAAATACACATGTGCGACCACGCATGACTGCACCCCGCCTTATCAAATACCAATCGTATTCGTAGTGCATGACCATGATGACTGCATGCAGCTAGCTCACTGCAGCACAGACCATCACAATGCACAAGTACCGCAGCGTTTGCAACGATAGACAATGCATGCAATACAGTGCAACAAGTGTACGAACAGTCCAAAAAGTAAAATTCCACCATCTCTCATCCCCCCTGTACGAGGACGGGGATGACCTCTTGCAGACTTGTTGAACCACAGTGTCTGTGTGTGTGGATGTGTGTGGGGGTAACCAGTATAGACAGCAAGTGTAGGGGGTGCATTATGCCATAGGTAACTGTCTTGGCCGTCCTATTCCGATGTACTCCGTGCGGTGTAGACCATTGGGGGTCGATTCACATGGCTTCGCCAGTTGTGTGGATTAGACAGTTATCTGGCGCTTGTCTTGATCTGTTTCAATCAGAATCAGATCCGCTATCGTTGCTATAAAGAGAAACTCTGTGGGTGCACATCCAGTGCATTTGCAGATTAGCGTGCTTCTCTTGCGACAGGCGTATACTGTACATGGTACATGATACATGGATGTGTGTTTGTGTGTGTGTGTGCGCACGTGTGTTTGTGTGTGCCTTGTTTGCATAGCGGCCGTAGTCCAATATGAGTTTTCCTCTATTACTGCATGCATCGTCAATATGCGTCTTTGTCTTCGTGTACAGTCATGTACATGGATGAGGTGGAGAACTTCTCTAACAAAAAGCATGCGGTCGACTTTGCTAGTGAAATTGGCTGACTTTTCTAGGTGCTCCTGACTCGGTCAAGCACAGATTTAATCCTGACTCGAGTCAGATTAATTAAATTGCATTTGACCGTACTTGGTTGTGTTTGGTGCTCTGTGCTTTACCAGTGGTCCGAACACGAATGGAAGTCAGTTTTTCATCACCCTTGCGCCTACACAATGGCTGGACGGTAAGCTGCCCTCCATCTGCAACACGTGCTGTGTGTGTTTGTGTGTGTGTGTGTGTGTGTGTGTGTGTGTGTGTGTGTGTGTGTGTGTGTGTGTGTGTGTGTGTGACTCAATACAATCGTACGTGTACTAAATTAAATAATCAATCGTGAATCCTGGTTGAGCCCTTGCCATACAGAGATTGACATTGGCATTCGGCGCTAGAGACGGGGCTAGATTTATCGCAATTGTCTAGTTTGGTACAGTTGTATGTTGCGTACACGTATGTCGATGGCTTGTCTTTCAGTTCCACCCTTGTCTTCCCTTTTACACCGACTACCGTGTACTTTTGGTGCTGCCCCTCACCTATTCCTTGTGCAGCATGCTGCTTTTGGAGATGTTCTTTCCTGCAATGTATCACTGTGTGTCTGTACATACCGTACTAGTACATGCAGTGTCATTGCCGTGTGCTAGCATGTCACCAGTGGCTGTGCTGACCAACTTTTAACCCGCACTACCGTCAACTTGTGATGAGTCGCGCTCCTTTTACTCACATACTTGTGATAGGTCGCGGGCGTTTAGAGTTGGGACAGCATCTGCTTTTGTGTATTCGTATACTTGTACAGTCATGCACCCGTGATAAGTATTAAACGCACTGGCGATAAATCACGCAATTCAACCCTAAGACCTAAGTGCACATCTTACCGAGTGTACATGTAGACTGTAGTGTTTGTACATTTATCTGCAAGCACGTGCCTTGGGGCTATACGTAGCATTGTTATCGGCACCAAAGGTGAAACATCACAGGGAAATGGTGACCACCTCTCTGCTACTAGTTTACTGTATAGTGCTGGATGTTGCTGCTGTATAGTGCTGGATGTTGCTGCTGCTGTATAGTGCTGGATGTTGTTACTGCTGTATAGTGCTGGATGTTGCTACTGCTGTATAGTGCTGGATGTTGTTACTGCTGTATAGTGCTGGATGTTGTTACTGCTGTATAGTGCTGGGTGTTGTTACTGCTGTATAGTGCTGGATGTTGCTACTGGGTGGCTAGTAGTCAGGCAGTTACTCTCTTTCAGTGCACTTTGGATTTGTGCTGTTCGTAGAATAATTGAAGCAGAAAACGTTTCAAGCCATAGTCTATCTTTGCCTGTATTAGAAATGTTAGAATGCATGGATGGTTGTACAGAGAGTAGAATGTTGTTGTGTATCGCTGTGCATTTCTTGTAGGCAAACATGCTATATTTGGACGAATCAGCAATGGCATGGGAGTTGTGAAGCGCCTTGGACTGGTTGTGACGGATGATAAGGATCGGTGAGTGTTTATACGCGCGCGCATGTGTGTGTGTGTGTGTGTGTGCATGTGTGTGTATGGTGCAGTGGTATGTGCAGCGATTTCCAATCGATAGGTTGCGGGTTCGATTCCCTAAGATTACGGTCACACACGTCTTTCTTCTCTTTCTCAGACTCCTCCTGACTTTTCTTTCATTCTCCTGGGTGGTTACCAACAGCCAGTGCATGCCGGAGTATGTGGTGTGATATGTGTGCGTGAAAAAAATGAAAAGACCAAAAAGTAGGGATTCACTGGCCAGAAAAAGCCACTTCATAGCTGTGTGGTGTAGACCAGGCTGAATAGTGGTGGTCAATTCTTCAGCCTTGCAAGCTGTTGAATGGTGCAATCCCAGCACAAGCTGCTATGGCTTCTGCTGTAGCATCGCTATCATCGCCTCCGGCGATGGGCGTCCAATGGTCCAATGGTATGCGCGTGTGTGTGTGTGTGTGTGATTCGATGGCCACCACTGTACAGTAGATGTTCCGTTTCCAGCCTGCAACCATGTTGACGTAAAGGAAGGGAGGGCATGGCATAGTGTCACATTGCGCACTAATACTTACAAGTATGCATAGCTGTGCGTAGCGTTTTTGTCAGGGCATTTTCTAGCCAACCTGTGAGCCACCAGGTTGCCAAGGTAACCTTTATAAGAAGTAACTTACTGCTGATTTCGGATTTGGACAACTGGTAATGTGGCTGGTGTCCATCATGGACATAATAATTCCTTTTCAGTTTTCTTCACACGTACATGTAAATGGAGACATTGTGTGTGTGTGTGTGTGTGTGTGTGTGTGTGTGTGTGTGTGTGTGTGTGTGTGTGTGTGTGTGTGTGTCCAACCTGTCGGACGGCTACCGTCTTGCCAAAGCATTTGGAAGTTTGACTAGTTTCGGCTCCACAATCCAGTGTGTCGTTACTATATAGCTTTCATGGCTGAGGTTGTTGGTATGTCTGTTGGCTCTGGGTTCCCAGTACTCAGTAGCCGAGGCTGGTTGGTAAAGTAACTCCAATTTCACTTCAAGGTACCAGTGCATCTAATGTCTGCTTCTATCAAAGCAGCGTGCTGTCTATACTGGTTACCCCAGCAAGTGCAGGGTGTGCATAGGTAACTGTCTTGGCCGTTTTATGCCGATGTACTCCGTGTGGCGTAGACCAGGTGTGCATTGGTGGTCGATTCACATGGCTTCGCCAGTTGTGTGGATTAGACAGTTATCTGGCGCAAGTCTTGATCTGTCTCATTCAGATCTTGTTCGCTATCTTTGCTATCTCTTAATTTGCTGGCCAAAAATCATATAATTATAGGATTTGAAAATGTGTGCCTTTTATGCCGTTGTTATTGGTCATCACGACCAATAATAACGGCATAATGGTTTTCATGGAAGTTGTAAATATGTTTGAGGCATGAATGTTTACATTTTAGATTCATAGGGCGATCATATTTCTGATGAATACCCATTCAGCAAGAATTGGAAATTTGAGCATAATTTTTCAGCTGCTGTCATGGAAAGGACTGAAGCAGTGAATGTGCAGAAGAACATTGCAGGTGTGGCACGGGGTGGTTTCATGATGACATATCGCACATGCCGTCATGAAACTACCAGTTTTAAGGATAAAACAAGGTCCAATAAAATCTCAAATCTTATATATAGGATTCGAAAATAGGGCACAGGCCTTAGTAATATTGAGCAAGCAGATGAGCCTGAGATGTTAGTGTTTGAAAAAATTATCTTATTCAACTCTCCATATCTACTAAGACCTAGCAAGGAAGAATTGGTCACATACTTGTCCCTAGTCTCGTGCCACACCCATTTTGAGTTGAAAAATATGACCAAAATCCTATATATAGGATTTAGCAAATTAAGAGATAAGAGAAAATCTGTGGGTGCACATCCAGTGCATTTGCAGATTTGCGTGCTTCTCTTGCGACGGGCGTATACATGGTACATGGTGTGTGTGTGTGTGTCCCATATGGTGCAGTGGTATGTGCAGCAATTTCCAATCGATAGGTTGCAGGTTCGATTCCCGACGATTATGGTCACACGCGTCTTTCTTCTCTTTCTCAGACTCTTCCTGTTTTTTCTTTCATTCTCCTGGGTGGTTACCAACAGCCAGTGCATGCCGGAGTATGTGGTGTGATGTGTGTGCGGAAAAAAAAGATAGGATTCACTGGCCAGAAAAAGCCACTTCATAGCTGTGTGGTGTAGACCAGGCTGAATAGTGGCGGCCAACTCTTCAGCCTTGCAAGCTGTTGAATGGTGCAATCCCAGCACAAGTTGCTATGGCTTCTGCTGTAGCATAGCTATCATCGCCTCCGGCGATGGGCGTCTAATGGTCCAATGGTGTGTGTGTGTGTGTGTGTGTGTGTGTGTGTGTGTGTGTGTGTGTGTGTGTGTGTGCGTGCGTGTATCTGCATGTGAACACTTGTGTATTCTGTATTACAGACCAGTTGATGAGCACTTGATCATCAAGGCATATCCAGAGGATGACTGATGTGGACATGAGACCAGGCTATTATGCGTGTTGGCCCTTGACTGTGTACGCTGTGTCTGCACAACACATTTCCATCGCCAACGACACTATTAGAGAGATGTTTCGTGAGGAGGGGTGGCGTCGTTCTCTGCCTCCTGTTGACAGCTTCCCGCATCAGCATACCAGTATGTACTCGTGCTCTGCTGATCACACCTGTACTGCGGTGAACCTCCCGACTGGGCCTGAGGTATGATCACGATTGTGCAATGATTTGTTCAAGTCCTGCGGCACGAGTACGAGGCGTCAAATGTTGAGACATGTACGTGTCCTCATTGCAGGAATGATTATTGATCAGGGTATCTCTCTCCCTCTCTCTTCACTGTTGTGATGCCACTTCAACCTAGACTAGAGAGGAGGTCGCCACACTTTGGGACCCTACTTGCATTTTCATCATCGAATCAAACATGTGTCAGCTATGATTGTGCTAGGACGTTTTCAACAGGGTTCCTCAGTGCTGATGAGAGCCTGATACGAGCCCTGCCCCATTGACTGGCACCTTGACCCAGCAAGGGTCTCTCTTTTCTTTCTGCTTACTGTTCAGTATGATTTTTTTCTTGGAAAGCTCTTTTCATTCTATATTAGGTTCTTCATTCGCCATTATGACTGTTGGGGATGAGCAGGGCATATGCGTTCCTTAAGCACCCTATTAGGTCGTCCTTTGCCATGTGCCCCCCCCCCCCATTTGGGGCGGGTAGGCCACATGCAGGGCAAGCACCAGGTCGTCCTTTGGTTCGGTCCCCCTCCCCCATTCGGGGCCCGGGGCGGGTAGGCTGCATGCAGGGTGCCAACCCCTATTAGGTCATCCTTTGCCATGTGCCCCCCCCCCATTTGGGGCGGGTAGGCAGCAGGTCGTCCTTTGGTTCGATCCCCCTCCCCATTCGGGGCCCCGGGGTGGGTAGGCTGCATGCAGGGTGCCAAATAGACTAGTGCCAATTCAGCGCCAATTCTGTTGGGAGGGGCAGATTTACTGGGCAGATCACGCTGTTGACAACAGTATCGGTATGTATGATCGGTAATCATGGATATACTAAAAAATTTGAATTGGAAATAAAATCGTTTTCCTGGTGAAAGTGAGATCCTAACAAAATCCTTCCAAATGAATTGTCATCAGCATCGAGGAATAAATTGCTGAAAGAGCTTAGAAGAATTCCATCAGCTGCTAACTAGATTATGCTAAATGTAAGTTAAAACTAGGTTACCTAGGCAACTACAGATTGGTAAGAATGCTGACCAATTGTTGGAGGTGGTTGGGTTATGTCCGGTCAAGGCCGAGTGTCCAATAATATAGTTTGAAAATATTTCGGATTATGTCTGGTTAAGTCCACAAAAATATCGGTGCAGATGAATCGCACCCGAAGAAGAGACCACCACATAGCCCGGCCATCTGCCCAAACAGCACATGGCGAACAGCCACACATCACTTCTCGTGCAAGGTGCAGTGCATGCCTAAGGATTGATTGTTCTCACGACGGTATAGCGTTGGAACCCGCCAGACTTTCAAGTGCTGCACACCTTAGCAGATGGATGGATGGAGCAGTGTTGACACTTTCTAGAAGTAGACTGAACGTAGTCACGTCAGGAAATTGCAGACTAATCAATTGACCTTGACAGCGTGTTGGCTACACACAGTCACGTCAGGAAATTGCAGACTGATCAATTGACCTTGACAGCTTGTCGGCTACACGCAGTCAGACCAGGAAATTTGAAAACTGATCAATTGACCTTGGACAGTGTGTTGGCGTACTGAAATTCCCCGCTGGCGCCGCTGTCCCGAATATCGAGCGCCACAATGCAACTTTCCTGCGAGTAGGGGAAAGAAACCAGTACAGGATGCATGTACACAATTCATGTCAGTCAACATGGGCACAACATACTAGTGTAGCACGGGAGGACACGGTGATACTGCTGCGTGGACCTAGTTATTTATTTTTAGTAGAATGTACTGGGCAGAGCTAAATGCCACGTATAATCAAGAGTAGATAAACAAGAGTGTGCAACTCCGGGATGGGTTGGCCCGCGGCGGAATTTTTTGTTGACGTAATCTTTTCGACAACGCACGTGCTGCGAGTCTTTTGGAAAGTTTTGCCTCGTGCACTTGGCCGGGCTTTACATTACAAGGACGGTGCCCAGCACGTGCTCTCATCTCGGTCTGTGGCAAAATGTGCGTTTTTCTGAAAAAATGTGACGTCAACAAAAAATTCTGCCGCGGGCGGGGTTGTTGTTTATTTTACTTCGCAGATTCTAACGGGCAAGTTTCCCAATAACAAGAAAGCGAAGGGTATCTGCAGATTGTGCAGAAGAGATCCGGAGTTGCACACTCTTGTTTATCTACTCTTATAATAATGTTACAGTACAGGTCGAGACCGAGGATTCATGGCTGATAGATTCAAAAATTCAAGGTCGAGAGTCCAGATCTAAATCATCTGACAAAGACCCACACAGAAAATCTACCAACAAGTGATCCACTTACCCTCACTACTTGCTCACTGTCATGGAGATACTGCTGCAAGATGGGTGTGCACTCATCCTACATATACACAGCACATGGAAGGGATTAACACAACAGTCTACAGAAGTCAGCAGTGTGAATAAAAACTACATACGGGAGAATGAGAATGGAATCGTGTGCCGAACACATTGGCAAACACCCGGAATCCAGCCAGGGACATTCACTATTGGCCTGCTCTTATTCAACTGTTAGCCACTATGGAAATAATCGAGCAAACTTCACAACTCCGCACGCTGCTCTTATCCTGATGTAGGGAACTAGCTGAGCCGGTGGAGGGTTTGGACACGATTATTGTAAAATACTACTGCCTCAATGGCACTGTCCTTGCTATGGTCACTCAGGATACACAAGTGGAGTGGGTCGGCCAAGGGCAAAGTGTGGAGTAGTGGTGTCAGCTAAAGAAAAATGGTCCGAGTATTAAAATGCACAGAAACCGGACTTACAGAACCAATTGACCCAAGAGCCTCGGCACACTCGTGTCGCACCATTGGACTTTCTTCCAAGTCTTTCAGGTTCTAGTGAATAAGAACAAGGTGCAGTACAGAGCAGTAACACTTCAATGACGGTCACAACGGATAACTGCAGAGTCCTAGCTGCAAGACATTTTAAACAAACATTTACAGCCAGATGATGCTCCGGAAAGATTACAGTATAAACATCATACACGCGGAAAGTCAATACTGTCCCCAATACATGGGGTCACGGCTGGTGCTGTCCGGGCATGTATCCGACAGTATTGCCCTCTGCCCGGCCAACACCTACACGCACGCACAACATAACATGACATGAAAACATAAGTCATACAAGCGCTTCCTATTGCTCCTGTCTCGATACGTTGAGGCAAAATAACATGCATTGCAGAGCCAGTGTGTACAGGGGTCAGCTTCTAGAGATGTGATTTTCTCCGACATTTCGGTACATTTGAGACTCGGTGCTGTGAACAGTTTGTACATTTGGGACTAGGTGCTGTGGAAGTTGTGAACAGTTTGCAGTGTTCAAGAGTAGAAATAATGAGAAGATGGAAAGCCGTGACAGACAAGGTAACCACCACCACCACCAGCAAGTTCCTGCAGTGGCTTTAATAGGGCCATACCAGAGAGGTTTCAAGCCTGCTGTGATCAGTCTTGGCGATAACATTTCGGAAATCAGCCAGGCGAATACTTGGGCTGATCAGTTGGCATTCTAACATTGCACATGCACAATAATATGGCCTTCCTGCTGAACACACAACAGCAATTAGCAACCCTCTCACAAGCGTAGGACCGATATTTCACTGCGCTGCTAATCATTGATTGACACAGGTTTGAACAGCAGACTTGTTGACAGAACCACAGAAAAACCATGCCTGGTTCGTCCTGCATAGTGCAATATAGTGCATACTTGACCTTGGCATGCTGAGATCTGGCAATTGCAGGTCTGTACAAAACTTAATCACCGGGCATGCCGTTAAAAGACTTACTTCAGTCAAGGCAGCAACAACCGAATCCTCTTGCATTTGACCAAGGACATAAGCTATGGATAGAGAGAGAAAAATACAAAACATTCATCATGAGATGGATCCATGTACGGTGACAGGTAAGTTCGTACATTCTAAAGAGCCCGCACACGCATGCACATAGACCCGGACACAGATGTGCGCATAAATACATACTTCACATCGAAGCAAAGAGGGGTCCTTTTCATCCCTTGAAGAAAAGTTTCAGACCGGTTTAGTTTAGTCAAGAAGTGATGTCAAGTAACCCATGGGTGGAGCTCTTGTTGCGTGAATACAACTCCCCCACTAACACTCGCAACAGCAGTAACTTGTAACCTTTTGCCATCTACAAGTTCACACAAAACAACACTGAAACAATGATTGTAATAGTATGCAGTATGTATGGTCAGCAACATCAGTACACATGTGCTTAGCGTCACTTGGGCATTATTTGTTTAATGTATGTTTGCCTAACACTGCAAGGAAGCTAGTGTGTAGCATGTTAACTCACCAATCTCGTGACGGAACAAGGCACTTGTATCCTTCAGCCCAGTTGCAATTTTCTAAACACAAGTATAGAGAGAGAGAGAGAGAGAGAGAGAGAGAGAGAGAGAGAGAGAGAGATAGAGAGAGCGAGAGAGAGAGAGAGAGAGAGAGAGAGAGAGAGAGAGGTAGGTACAATGTAGATACTTGCAAGAGGGACGGAGACGGGCACAGAATCAAGCATGTGCTGGGTGAACAGTTGTCAAATCACCATTATCCCTAGTTTACGGTACGCATTTGGAATTCAGTCATGTGTACAGACAGACAAAAGAGCAATCAAAAATACCTTCGCTGCTTCAGGACCACCATGGTTGCGTAATGAGAACAGTGCACTGAGGGAAGAGTAAAAAAAGAAACAAAAGCCCCTTTGATGTAAATGCACATTGCTAATTTTGCTATACTTGATCACTCCTTCATCATATATGATGAGCGTACATAACAAATAGAAACTGATCCCCAGGTTCACACCCTGCAGTTGGACGGGACCAGAATGTCCGTTCGCATGCTACGGTAGAATACAGTCAAACCTCTCCAGGGTGTCCATTAGTACAGCAGAGACTACATGTATACTTACCGGTATCTGTCAAACAGGGAAAGAGATGTATTCATGAGATCTTGCTGCAGCTGATCCAGGTTAACGTCCTCGCTTTTCACAGCTGGCGGTGCTGGGTCCACGGACTTGTACGGGTTTGTACTGTCAGCGGAGCACACGAGGCGTATCAACCAAATAAAAGAATCCAGAAAACAGCTTGGCAAAGCGTACATTATATAGCGGGAATGCCATTGACTCAGGACACACACACACACACACACCTTGACCTTGATCTTGCCCATTGCGTACGCAATGATAGCGAATGTCGGAAAGTTCAAGTGAGAACACGAGCGCAGAACTTGGCATGTCGTTTCAGGTCTCCTGGTCGACGAAACGGGCATCCACAGACACAGAGAAGAGGATCAGGCCGTGGCGGTGGAGTGCTACTCGCAACTCGTCTTCAGCCGGGACGATCTTGGCAACTCTCAAGCCAGGTGGTCACGCCGAGGTCCGCCAGGTCAGTCGACACCACATCTCGCCACCTCTTCTTCGGGCCGTGACGAGGACACACACACACACACGATTGCATGCATGTGCATGCACACGCACGCATGTGCTCTCCCAAACTATTTGCATTATCCTCTCGCCAAAGTCAAAGTCAAGCTTACTAGTAAGTTACTACTCTATGTATACAACACACAACACATGTACATATTGCCAGTACGGTATACAACACATGTACATTGAAAGTACCAGGCATTGACAAGCTGGGGTCCACAGCTGACCAGCCTTGGACTGAAGATATAAGCTGACTAAAGGGAATTTTCAGCCACTCACCTCAACTTATCATTTTCCTGACAGGCAACATTCACAGACCACTGAATTCTATCAAGAGCAAGGCGACAGGTCTCTGCCACCTACAAAGCATTTACACAGCATGTACACAGCATGTCAAGAAAAGAACACGGTGGACAGAAAATACCTGTGAACAACTACATCAACGGTATTTCCCTAAATATAAGTCCCACCTTTTTTTTACACAAAACTTCAGGGCCACGAAAGGAGGTGCGACTTACAATCAAGCACGAGGTGCTACTGAAGTGAAAAATCTGGTATTGAAACCTGAAAATGAGGGTGCGATTTACAATAGGGGAAGTATGGACAATGATACATGTACTACCAAAAGAACAGTGTTGGAAATTTCCACGTGGGCAAATAATTCTGAAGAGAGATGCACTCACAAATAACTTAGTGCATGCAACCCTGCCACAACACACAGCTCAGCACACACACACACATGTATACACACAAACACATGCACACATGTGCACGCACGCACAACACACAAGCATGAGTACCCCCCCCCCACACACACACACAGCACAACTACCACAACCAGCACCAACAGCAACACACAGACAAGAGCATAATGTCACCTCTACTGCCGAGTCTTCCAAATATTGCTCTAAGATCGCCAAAGCTGATGGATCTCCAATGGCACCAAGTGCTTCGCCAGCCTAAACAGATAGGATGGACATAGCAAAAATTAAATGTACAAATACAAGACCGGTTCACAACCAATATGACCATAGGCAACAAGGCCAAATCAATCCCAGTGGTACGCAGTGATGTGTTATAAAGTACTACTAAGGCCAATAATTACAGTTCATAAAATACTCCTTTTTAGGGAAAAGTGCAGTGGTATTTATTGGAGACCATTAGCAAACCGTCGGGCGCGACGACTGGGACACATAGCTGCATGACCAGATTCAGATGCCAAATATAGATACAGTGTACATGTATGTAGATGCCACAGTGCATGCTTACCTCATGCCGCACCATCACATCCTGATCACGGTCCTCCAGTACTCTGGACCAGTCAACAACATGAAACAAAGCAATGTCTTAACGAACACAGTTCACTTTCCAACAGCACCACCAACACCAAACAAAGCAATGTCTTAAACACAGTTCACTTTCCAACAGCACCACCAACACCTAGCAGCACTGCCTTCACGATTTACTGCTATCAGCTCAAGTTCAAGGGGCAGTTCACACTAAAATGAAAACTTCACAACTTGTAGCGAAAAATGCACTGATTCCAATGGTGAAGGTCCCAGATTGATCGGAGTAGCAGTTTCCGAGTTTAATATAAAAGCCAGAAGTTTTCACTAAATTTGGTGACATCATAATGATGTCATTAACTTGTACAGAATAGGCCAGATCTGTGACATCAGAGAGATAGACTTCGTATGGGAGTAGCCATGTACAACAACGAACTTCTTACTGGAAATATTTCCAGTCGCGATACCGGCAGGGTGTCAAATGTCCCATACAGGTCTACCCTCGTTAGTTGACAATCCCGGGGTTTCAACTTTTTTGCTTACGAGTATTATCTACTATTAGGATTTGCACGTACGCGTTTCAAACGTCAGAGGACTTTGGATTTTAGTCTGCTAATGAGGTTTGTCTTGTAACCGATGTCGTACTAACGAAGGTAGACCTGTACCGAAGTTTGAAAAACATCAGACTTCTTTGGGACAATGGAGAGCCAAATACTGCTATTTTCCCATCTACTCACATACAACTTTGGATGCGAAACGAACTTTCGTAGGAAGTTTCGTGACATCAGGCCATGGTGTACGTGCACTTGGCACGTGCAGACTACGAAAATGTGCGGAACACAAAGTTCGTGCGAAAATTCGTAAACATTTTCGCAAGGCCCGTCGCAAAACTTCGTTTGAATTTTCGTTTCGCAGAACCTATCTTCTATGGGAAAGCTAAAGGTGGCATCATGAAGTCACCAAATCTCGTGAAAACTTCAAGCTGCTATAGCTCGGAGAACGGCTGCTCCGATCAGCCCGAGTCCTTCACCATTGGAATCAGTGCATTTTTTGCTACAGGTTGTAAAGTTTTATTTTTGGGTAAACTTCCCCTTCAAGCCTGGATTTCCGACCTCGGCTTCAGTTTTTGTCTCAGCATACATCCTCAGAAAATAGATCAGTCCTACCATTCTCAGTCATTCAATCTGGTCTATATCAGTTCACTAATAACAAAATAGGTCATTATCACGTACGAGCTAAGATTTCCCATATGACGGTAACAATGTTAGGATTTGGAATCCTGGCCACACCAATTTAGCTCAGACACATCGTTACTCAAAGACATCCCGACTGGTAGTGAGAAATACACACCCACGCACACCCACACACGCACATGCCTGCTATCTAAACATGTCCTGCACAGGCGCGTGCACACCCACACACATACTCAAAAGGGTAAAGAATCCGCAGTGAATGCAACACAAACCATGAATATTTCCATACTTGACAAGCACTGGTACTGCAGATCCATCTTGCATTTGACCCAGACAGTAGGCACACTCATGCTTGAGCAAGGCTGAAGAGTCAGAGAAACCTGAAAAAACATGCAAAGAATGTTAAATTGGTGAGTCCTGGTCTTGAAAGTGATTTTTTCTTGAGACACAATGAATACCCATGTCACTTAGTGAGCTGCACACATTCAATTACAAAATATGCTTTGCTTTTCTCATAATGTGTACTAGTGCACAGGAAGTCAGCCATACTGTCCACACTATAACAAGGGAGGATGCGCAAAGAAACTACATGACTGTACTATACGAAAAACATTGATATTCGTTGGAGTCGGTGACCTACATGCGGCAATGTGGCTGACAGCAGTTGAGCCACCCAGGTTTCGCAGAGTAAAGAGTGCTCGGAAACGGTCACTCAACGGCCTGCAACAAGACACAAATGGAAAGTGCAGCGAAGTTACTACTTGAGGCACATTTCGACATTTTTTTTTTAAACCACTCACTTGGCCGAGTCGTTGAGAACCTGGCCAACTGCGTCTAAAGAGTCAGACATAGTCAATTAGGAGGCTCTGACACTAGTCGTATTCAGTGGAAAGGTACGGAAAGACAACGAACAAGAAGAAGAAACAACACTACAAATGCCAGGAAAGTTTGTGAGAACTACTGTACTTGAAAATGAAAATAATGACACAGTATGATGAGCATGCATGAGACTTGAGAGCTTTTGAGTTTTGTTGTTTGATTTTGTTTTGCCTCACGTGTAGTTTCGATGGCAACGCGTGAGGACGCTAATCCATCACCGGTGCACCATGCATTGCCGCGCGTACGCAAAAAGGAGCGGTGAATGCATGCAGTGAGTGTCTCACACTCTCACATACCATACCAGTAAATAGCAAGAGTGCATACAGTTTATAATTTATGCCAAATTATGGGCTATTACTATTAGTATTACAATACTACATTGTAGTCTATAATATTAATAGAGTATAGTTCATAACGCGAACAGACTGTCAGTGTGTTGAGTGTCACTGCACTTCACTGACTCTGTCTTCAGCCTTTCAGTTCAGCCTACTGTACCATCGAAAATACTACTGGTACTTCTGGTGTGAAAACGTAACTATTTTGTCAGCCCTATCCCGTTGCCTGTTCCTGTCAAAACAATACTAAATACTGCTGTCGCTCTTCACGACTTTAGTCAGTTCAGACAAGAAAGCCAGTGGAGCCCTCAAGGCCGAGTCGTCTCTGGATTTTGTGGTGCCTGCATGTCCTTTCTATTTAGTCGTCATTCTGGTAATCGCGTGGCGGAGTGAGTATTATTGCTCACAGACACAAGAATGGCAAGTTTGAAATCGTACAGAAAGAGAGAGGATTCTCCTGAGGATGCAGGGGACGAAGGAGATTCGGAGATGCACGTGGCCGATGGTGCAGGAGAACTGTCATCTGACAATGATTTTATTGATGATGATGAGGATGATTTAATGGCTCGTAGTAGTGGTAGAGTAGCCTTTCATGGCAAACGAAGTGGTGCTATATCATTCAGACGCAAGATATGTATCCTGGTGATAGTGGTTATACTCGTGGTGGCTGTCATTGTAGTGGCAGTGGTTGTTGGCAAGAAGAAGGAGAACTGCCACCCTTATGGCAATGATAGCATTACGGTGCCCATGTGGGAACGTGTGCGTTTGCCAGAAAACATTGTTCCCAAATCCTACAAGATAGCTTTGAAACCAGACTTGGTGACGTCTCATGTAGATGGCAACACAACCATAGAAATTCAAGTGACAAGCGGGATAGCGGATGCCATACTTGTGCACGCCAAGAACATGAGTATCACGTCCAGTTCCGTGTCTGTCTTGTCCAGCACTGGCAGCATGCAACAAGTAACTGTAAAGGAACCATTCTTCTCCAAAGAGCATGATTTCTATGTCCTGCCGCTGGCGGAGTCAGCAAAAGTAGGTACGTACTACGTGCAGTTCACCTTCAACTATTCCTTGAGCAGCGGCCTGGTCGGGTTCTATGGCAGCCAGTACAAAGACAGTGCAACTGGAGAAATTCGGTGAGAGATTAGATTCTACTGACGACTACATGTTAAACACACTTGCCATACACCTGCAGCACAGTGCAATAGGACATGATCTTGGAATCCTTGTAGGCATACCGGCACCCGACCCAGCAAGTCTTTACAACAAAGACGTGTTTTTGGACTTCTTGCTGGTTGTATGTTTCAAGACCCAACACATCAGTTTTATTCCAAAATTCATATTGGTGTCTTGTAGCTGCGAACTTGCAGATGCGCAAGATATGCACAGAAACCCTTGCCTTGGTGTAGTTTGTTTGCGGGGATTGTTTATTTGGTGTTTTTTCGGTGTTCCGGGAGTATTTCTGTGCCGTTTCCCGTTTCCATGGCAACCATATGTGCAACATTTCCATTGAATGTTCTAGCTATGTGCATATATAACGTATATGCCAAGCAGCTGTACATATTTCGGTGTGCGTGTGTAGGAAGCTGGCCACTACACAGTTTGAACCTACGGATGCACGCCGTGCGTTTCCATGCTTCGACGAGCCGGCAATGAAAGCAGTGTTCAACATTTCCATCGTGAGAGATGCAGCGCACACCGCTTTGTCTAACATGGATATTGAGCACAACGAGACTCTCTCCGATGGGTTGGTGCGCGTGCACTTCAGGCCAACAGTCAAAATGAGCACCTACCTCGTGGCGTTCATCGTGTCAGATTTCCACTTTGTCCAAAGTCATACCAACAATCCAAGCTGTCCTTCGATCAAGGTTTGTACCTTGGTGTATTGGCTTGGCAAGACAGTGTACTACAGTAGTACCTTGTTCTCTTCTCTTTGTATGTATGACTCAGGGGCGTCGGAAGGTGTGTGTGGTACGGTCAGCCATCTGAAGTACAATTTACTCGTGGAGGAGGGGTGGCTGAGCCGAACAATTTGGAAAATTAGAGCCCAAATCAGTAAATTTTATTGATGCACGGGGTACTGGGGTCGAATAGTGGTACGGTCAATACCGTAGTGACCGTACCGTGTGCGACGCCCCTGTATATTCAACTGTACACCTTCATAATGGCTAGGTTACTCTATTCGCGTATGTGCTTAGTTCTCACGATATGCGTCTGTGTGTTTCTGGTACATTTAGGTGCGCGTCTGGTGTCGCCAGCAATCTATCGACCAGACAACTTTGGCTCTGAACGTTGCTGTGGACGTGCTTGGCTACTATGAGAGGTTCTACAATATTTGTTATCCGCTGGACAAGCAAGGTATGTAAGGCAGCATGCATCGTGAACTGTGGAATGCACCGATAGTCCTGTGTCACAACATTGCTATCATGGCACCATGTATTGTGCTCAGTGCTCAGTGGACATTTGCACTTCTGTTGTGAACTAATTTAAATTGTATTGTAGGTATCAGCGCCCGTGTGAAAACGTGTGCTGTACCGTATCCCTGGTGCCTGCTACAGATCTGGTTGCCATACCTGACTTTGCTGCTGGTGCTATGGAGAACTGGGGACTGATTACATATAGAGAGACAGCACTGCTCTACAACAATATGTCATCATCAACGTCAGACGAACAGTGGGTTGCCGTTGTCGTAGCTCATGAGCTTGCTCATCAGGTAAAGTCGGTCGATCTACTGTATTCATTTTTTTTATGGTGTGACCCAGCAGGACAGCTCTGCATTGTGTTATTCAATGAGTGATATCAAGGCATGTCATCAGTGTATGTTGCTGCTGCTGCTGCTGGCTGGTGTTGTGTTGTTTTCTTCAGTGGTTTGGTGACTTGGTGACGATGGAATGGTGGAGTGACTTGTGGCTGAATGAAGGCTTTGCTACGTTCATGGAGTACATTGGTGCTGGTCACTATGCCAAAGGCCAATGGGATATGGTATGTGTAGCTTATATGCCAGTGTTTAATACTCCTCATTACTCGCCTAGTTAAAGTAACATCTCGATCGGCGTGACCGTCTCGGCTCAACCGTTTTCTACTATCCTGGTCACGTTTTATTGCTGAAGAGTCCAAGTAGGGCAAACAGTTGCTGTTTGTAGATGCATTGTATTCAGTATTGTTCCATGTGCTTGGATAAGGTCATTCAAAATCATGTGCTTCAAAGTACAGCGAAGTATGGAACATACTAATAAGTTATTTGTTGGCTAGGGGGCCTTGCTGTGGCTGGTTTTCGTGTTTAGTGAGGATTTGACCACGCACAGCAGTGCCTTCACGCGAGCCATGATTTTCATGCCTATGAAGTGTGAACCCAATTGTTTGTTGTGTTACTTTCTGCTCCTTGCCTCGCGCAGCAACTTCAGTTCATGGTGGATGACTTTGAAAGAGCACTCGCATCTGATTCATTGCCGTCGTCACATCCTATTTTAGCCACAGTCCATAGCCCGAGTCAAATCAATGAAATCTTCGACAGCATCTCCTATTCCAAGGTTAGTTGAGTGCAGCATGTTGGTGTACAGTCAGACTTACTTCACGGTATGGTTGTTTTGTTATCCTCTTCCATTGCCAGACATTCAGAGAATGGCCAGAGCAAATTCACAGCAATCGTGTTTGGTGAAAGTACATGTTTTGGGCTATCTGATTCCCTGACATATCCAGATGTTTCATGTTTCTGTGAATAACAAATGTTTCAGCCAAGCGATATGAGAGAGAGGGGAAGAGACAGAGAGGAAGAGGGGGGGAGCTCATTGTTGGTGACAGGCTGTAGTGGTTTGTCTCTAATACTTTGGAGCATCGTGTAAGTGATGAAGCATCGCGTAAGTGATGAAGCATCACCGTATTCTATTACAACACGATTTCAGTTGTACTGTATACTGACTATGTATGTGTGGCTTGGGTGTTTCTCATTGCATTGTCATGTGCAGGGTGGATCTGTGCTGAGGATGCTGCGAGGTGTGATCGGGGAGACTGCGTTTATCGATGGCATCCGGGTAAGTCTCCAATGACAGTCAGGATGTAGCCAGAGGAATGGGCAGTTGGTCAGGCTGTTACAATTGATGTCGATTTGCGCGAGTTTTTTTCACCCATCTCTATTCTCCATCAAGTCATAGTCTGTGTGTGTGTGTGTGTCTGCAGCGATACCTACAAAAGCACACCTTTGCCAGCGCTCGCACAGCGGATTTGTGGGCAGCCATGGATGAGGTAAGTCGGGCAACACACACTCTGACCCAATGAGCCATGCAACACCTACAACCGTCTGCACATCATGTATTGGCAATCACCCAACTCACTGGCAACACCTGCTTGGTTTTCATACCTGCTTTTAAATCACTAGGTGCTGATGCGTCATACTTGTATTCCATCTTCCAAACTGGTCACTTTGAAATTGAACCCAGCTCTGGTATCCAATGCCTTTTTAGACATTCCCTGATGTCAGGGCGCTGTGTGTCACACTATGCATGATCATTTATCAGATCAGCCCTATGAGTTCCCGGTGTCTGCATGCTTGCCGATGTCTTGTGTGACTATTGTCACTGTGTGTTGATATCACAGGTGTACCAGCTGATGCCGAGCATTTCAGATTTCATGGACACGTGGACTCTTCAGATGGGATATCCGCTAGTTACCGTCTTGCCTACAAGCAATGGGCTTATGGTGGACCAGCAGAGATTCCTCATCGGTAGCAACGGCACTGTTCCCGAGTCTAAGTTCCATTCAGAGTTTGGGTAGGCGGGATGACCTTTTTGCCTAGGCGGCTTGCATTTTTGAAGTTGTTGTCTCTTCGATTCTTTGTGTTAAGCAATAGTCAGGGTTCGCAGCCAAAAAAGCACACAAAATTCCAAACTTTTTCCAAACCTTTTCCAAACTAATTTCAAGAGTTTCCAAACCCACAAAAGGCAGTGTTTGGTTCGAATTGGACGGTAATTTTTAAATTAAGTCGGTTGGTTGCAAGTCAGCGGCTATAAGTCACCGAGTATAATATAACACCAAACAATTTGGCAACTGCAGAGTCACACACGTCAAGATTCAAGAGACTCACCTCTGGTCCTCAAGACACAATGGAGAGTCCGAGACTCAAACAGAGGAGAGAGAGACTCTCTCAGAGATAAAACTACAATACATAAAATTAAACACCATAACGACTGTCACTGACCAAAAAGAAGCACAGCCGCCAGCAGCCGGCTTTTCATAGTAAATTACCAGACTAATAGGGGGAGAGAGAGAGACAGAGAGAGAAAAAATAGAGACAGAAAAAATAAAGACAGAGAGAGAGAGAGAGAGAGAGAGAGAGAGAGAGAGAGAGAGAGAGAGAGAGAGAGAGAGAGAGAGAGCGAGAGAGCCTGCAACTGACGGCCTACAGCGCCTTAACTTCTTTCTCCTTCTCCACAATCTCCTTGCTCACTGTTTCCAATTCTGCTGCTTTCTCTTTCGTAGATCGGCGCATGGCATTGGACTTCGAAATCAGAGCAATCGCATCTGCAGCGGAAGCACCACATGCTTCTGCCTCATCAGCAAAAGACTCGGCGCTGGAGGTCATCGACTTGATGCTGGTCTCCAGGCACCTTCTCTTCGACTTGAGCTGCTCAAGATCATCCTCAGCACGTTTTCTCTTTTCCCCACGATTCGTTGCACTGGTCTTTCTCCTCTGCTCCTCCAGGTAGGCCTGGTATCGGCTGTGTGCTGCAGCAGCAGACGATAGTAGCTCCGGTGTGATGGCGACATCAGTTGGCTTTCCCCCAACACTCAAGACGTGGTCTTTAATGATGCGCAAAGCCACCAAAGTCCTGTCCGTCATGTTGTCACAAAGGGCTTCCTTATTGATGGAAAACCCGCGTTCCACTGATGCTTGTCCATGGGACAACAGGAGAGCCTTCCTCGCCACTGCCCACAAGTGCTGCATGGCCTCGTTCCTTGCCAGGTGCTCATGGAGAACAACATCCAGCCGGTCAACACCTTGTTGAAAGCCGACAATGGTCGCTGACTTAGCTGCGTGGCGAACAAACTCACGGTACTGCTTCAGGATTGCATCACAATCGTTCACTGGGACGTGGCCAGAGTTGGTCGCAACCTTCAGGAAACGGCGTAGCTGGTCAAGACACCGGTCAGGGTTATCAACAATCATTGCAGGATTCAGCCAATCCAAGCACTGGACCACCGTGTAGCGAAGAGGAGACTTTGCAAGGATCTTCTGCACCATCTTGATCAGGCACTCCTTGGTGTCAAGCCTCAGTGCAAGCAGTTGCTGGTCACTGACCTTCTTCTTTTGCTTCAGAGAGCGAAGCAACTTGTCGGCCGCAAAGCCAATGTCGACACGGGATGCATCGATGTGGTGAGCTCTGTGCTCAGGAGCAAATGCCAGGAGCTTACTGGGAGAGTCGAGTGTTGCCAGAACGTCAGGCTTCACGAAACGTCCCAGGATGTCCAGAACACATGCTTGTATGTCGTGAGCCAGAAACGGCAGCATGGGCTTGTCTGACTGGTATTTCGTCAGCAGCGGTATGACGTCCTTGGCTATAGTCAGGAACACATTGACACGGACCAAGAACAGAGGACACGCGCACAATGACGCGATTGCGGAGAAGGACTTGTTCTTGGGATCCGGTAGCTTCTTGTCACGCACAGCAGCAACATAGACGACAACGGATGGCCACACCTGTAGCAAACGCTCCGCAACTGGAACGTTCTCCACCCACCTGGAGTGGAAACACACAGGAACAATAACGCGCACCCGCACGGACAGTCACACAAACAAACACACAGCGAATGGCAATGCATTTTAGAGCCAGACGTAAACATTACCAACAACCACACACTGGAGCGAAGCCAAAGGACAAGTTTACAAATTTACTGAAACAAGGACAGTGGTTCGTCATTAATTATTCTCATTTAAAGTACGGTACCTCAGTAACCTGAACCTCACCTGGTTTTGCAGAAGTTCCGCCCAAACAGGTTGGATCCAGTGAGCTGGGTGAAATCATCACGCCTTGCGGGAGAGTCCTTAAAGAGCCAATAAAGCGACGTGAAGGCATGCTCAATATCCCATGTGGTCTCAGCTATGCCGGCGCTAAAAGCATTATGGATAGTGTGCAGGCCACAGCTTCCTGCATTGAACAGCTTCCGATCCACATCCGCTTTCAGGCGATCGTTCAGTAGGTCGAACGCCTTCCAATTCACACTGGGACCATCCATTGAGACTTGGAGTAGACCACTCAAGCCCAGGGAATGACAGCTGTCAAGCAGCTCATCCACCAAGGTCTCCGCTCGCGCGTGACCAAGAAACTTGGACGTGAAGTATCGAGTGGAGACACGATCCACGTCCCAAATCCGAACAAGGACGTCCAGCTGCTTCGACTGGGTGACGTAATTGAGACTTTCGTCAAACAGGACGACATAGTCACTATTCTTAACATTGGACAGCAGCAACGACTCGAAATACGGAGCGAGCCCGAACGTTGACAAATAATTACATTTCCGCTCGCCACACGAAAACTTAGCAGCGATGCCGCTGTCGGGAAACATCTTCTGTAGAAGAGCTGCCGACTTATCGCTGGACCGGAACGACTGGTGTTTTGTGACGACGTTCAGGGCCCAGTATATCTCCGCAGAGAGCGTTTGCGTCGTTGTCACACCATCGCAGTTGCGGAGGTCCGGCGTAGCAGCAGCAGAAGACGTAGCCGTCGAGGACGCAGCGGTGCGCGATGATGGCAAGAAGTTTGAAATCGACAGTCCACATCGAAGCTTCGCTCGCTCGCCGTGCTTTTTGCTGGCCATATGGCTGACCAACGCAGCTTCTCCCATCGAGCCAAGCTCAATATCTTTGCTACACAGTTTACAACGCGCCTTGTGCCGATTAGACGGCATGGGGGCAATCCAAGAACGGTACTTGTCTTGGCTTAGCCATTTATCGGAGAAGGCACAACCAGGCATGACGGCTACACGAAATAAAATACTAAACGCACGACTACTACTTTCACTACAGGACACAAGTGACACAACTCGACTCACTGCACAACAGAACTGTCTGAACAACTGTGACTTACCGACAACTGTCATCACGGCATATTCCCTCCTGTCCCGACTTCAAAGAATCAAAGTCGAGCGCGAGCGGCAGAACAAACTTCGACCAACGAAAAAACGGCCAAAGTCTGCACCGGTCGCGCGCTTGAGCTGCCTTGACTGTATCCATGTAGTGAACACCGCGTACGCGTACGACTCGTACTTCACGAAGTACATGCAGTCAAAACGGCCACTTGCACTTCCGCGGCCAAAAAAACGAAATTCAAAACTTTTTCCAAACTTTTTTCAAAAGTAGCGCCTTTTCAAAACTTTTTCCAGACCTGGAAAATTTAAATCTAAAATCCAAACTTTTTCCAAACTTCCAAACTTTGCTGCGGACCCTGAATAGTTCGGTGTGGTCACTGAGGACGGATCTTGTTCGTCTGATTAAAGTAGCGTCTCTGTGATGTTGCTTTGGTTGCAGATATGTGTGGTATGTCCCGATCAATTATCAGACAGATGTTCAGCTACCTGGCAAAGTGACATTCCTTCACCAGACTGCAGGTATGTGTGTATACACGTGTATGTAGGGTATGCCAGTGTACCAGTGGCACCTCCGTTACAGCTACATTGTGCTTCGCTAATTGGAAAATGTCTAAGAAGTCTTTTTAATAATTCTATCACTGCTATAAAGTACTACGAGAGTGTCCCACCACATGAACCCTTCGTGATTGTGTTTGCGAGGTGGGCCAGGAGAGTGAGTCCTATCTGCAGGCTGATGTCATGTACATTGAACACACATTGCATGATGTGCATGCGCAGTGAATATGTACTTACTTCACCATTTGAATGGCAGTGAGGTCCACACAGGCATTGAGCTGGTGAAGATCTTCTTCACTTTGCAGCATATGAATTTGGTTGCACACGGCACGGACAGGAAATGGCATTTCACTGTTGCCACTGCTAGGCGTTTGGTGCTGTTGCACTCCAGAGAGTGATGCCCACTCTTTGCAGCAGTTGTACCACATGAGTCGCGTACCGGAAAAACCGTGTCGTCCTTCTGCTGCCGAAGAGACAAGGGCTACTTTCATCATGAAGCAGGATATGGTGTTTCTTGCTACACTTGCTGCAGGTAACACTGCTATTACACCTCCTCCGGTTGTGCCCTGCCCGCAGGCAGCGATAGCAAGGGACATTGGCTTGCGCATACTCTCTCCACTGCACAACATGCATGCTGTGTATCTTCTTCTCTATGTCTGCTGTGGACAGCTTGAAGCACTGTGCTGATGCACCTTCGGGCTCCCAGGCCATGGGTATTTTGTCAAACACACCACATACACCATAGGCTTCTTGTCAGACATGGCATGTACGCCGTGGGCTTCCTGGTATGCTGTACCTAGCTCCGTAATCGCTTCGAAAGATTTGTCGCTGATCTTATTCTCAAGCAAGGACGCACGGAGGTTGGGCGAACATCCCTGGAGCCCAATACCATGAACATTTCACTGTTGCCATTGCTAGTCTTCTGGTTCTGTGGCACTCCAGAGTGATGCTCACTATTGGAGCAGTTCTACCACATGAGTCATGTACCGGAAAACGTGTCGTCCTTCTGCTGCCAAAGAGACAGGAGTTCAGCCCAGGTTTTCTCAGCAGTCCTGACAAAATTACATGTTAGCTGTACTTTTGCGCCTTCATATATCGTTACATGGTCCGGTACAGGTTCCAGCTTTGTACCCATTGCAGCAGAACGGAAGGCCAACAACCACGTGGATTTTTGATAACCGTTTTGTTGAACGACAGCCTCAAATGTGACCAAATACCGACGAACATCCTGCCTCATTCTTATCAACTACCACACCACACCGCTGCGCTCTCCGGCCGACCTCAACACGTTGCCACAGCACACCATCATCAAAACGACACTTCAGTTGGTACTCTGCTCCTTCAGACAGCAGCTGTTTCGATCATCAGGATCTCGTCAGTGAAGGTTGATAATGTAGAATGGCTAACAGATTGTGAACTTCACCCTTTTGTAGCAAAAAAAGGGGGAAACATAATGGCGCATATTAGGCGCAAAAGGGGGGAAACATAATGGCGCATCTTAGGCGCGAAGATTAAGGCTAAGCAAAGGCGATATTGATAGACTACACTGAGGATACTAGTAATATAAAGGGTGTTAGTGAGAGTACAGTCATGTAGTGGTAGCCAGGTGTGACTTCGATAGATGGCACAGCATAGCACGGCAAGTAGCAACGCGAGAGGCCCCTGGGGCATTCACTCCGTCGACTCACTCACCACACAGCATAGCACCTCACCATTGTCACGTCAAAGCCATTCTTCAGTTGCCATGATAATGCCGTAGCTTAGCAATGAAGTGACGAAGTGACAAACACATGCCCTTCCCCTCTTGATCAGACATTCTGCCTGTCGGTGTATTTCGGAACGTCCCACTTGTGGGAGGTGCATCAGAGACCAGTGCATCGCCAGAATGTCTGTAGGCTCGCCTCCAGCTTCAGCGCTTCCACTAGCACCAGGTGATTTCTCTTGGGCTTCGGACTCGGCCGTGATAAGGGCAGCACGCTACGGCAAACACGATTTCTACTGGGTGGTCGAGATCCCAACAGAATACCGTAGAATCCCGCGGATAAGCCCATGGGCTTATCTGTTTCACAAGGACATTTCGGTGGGCTTATACGAGAACATGGGCTTATACGCGGGCATGGGCTTATACGCCAACACCAAGTTGTGCTATTGAAAGTATCAAGGAAGTGAGAAGTACATTGCTGAAAACCACTGTGCAAACAAAAACAACCGATGATTGTGCTGAAATGTACGAAAACAAACGATAATGTGCATGTACTACGTACATGGTATGGCCAAGAGTCCATAATTTATGGACTCTCGGTATGACCTAGGCCCATGGGCTTGTACGATGAAGCTTTGTGATGTTCGAACAAACCCTGGGCTTATGCGCGGGATTCTACGGTACTATTAGTCAACTACATGTATATCATATTACTTGAAACGGAAAGCCACCTTTGTCTCCAAACAAAACGACAACGAGGAGCAACCGAAGAACAACAAGCTTCGAAAACCAATACACAAACCCAGCCAGAATCGCGTATGCCAGCGACACGTGCATGAAAAAGGGAGTACAGAATCAAAGAAGTAGGTCGCATGTAAAGTGCGTAGCGTTTCCACGTGTATGCTAACACACACTACAAATCATGTACTACTCAGGACAACTGCGCAATACGCACACATTCACATAGAGCTGTAGACACGAACTGCATGCAATACGCACACATTCACATAGAGCTGTAGACACGAACTGCATGCAATACGCACACATTCACATAGAGCTGTAGACGCACACATTCACATAGAGCTGTAGACGCACACATTCACATAGAGCTGTAGACACGAACTGCATACAATACGCACACATTCACATAGAGCTGTAGACACGAACTGCATGCATCTACAAGTACGAACTGCTCACACGTGCTGCGCTGAAAAGGTACAAATAAATAAAATGAATATCAAAACAAATAATAAAATGTGTAGGTCAGCAGTGACAGTGGAGACGAGGTACTCTGGTGGTACTTTACACGGTACATCGATTTAGAAAGCAAAGTATGCACCTGTCAACATAGTCACATCCAGGCAAGAGCGCAAGTTGATGGGAATAACCAAAACTGTACTTGTTTTTCCATGTAATTCCATACACTACAATCGTGAGTGGATGTTGTGTTTGTTGACTGCTGCTACTGCACTATCTACAGTTACAATTCAGCCAACACGACCATACCAGTGGTACAAGTTGAACGCCGGCAATAACTTCTACTATCGTGTCAACTACCCTGCCAGCAATTGGGAGAAATTGACGCAGCAACTCTCCCGCAATCACTCGGTAAGCTCAATCATGCATTCAGTCTTGGTCACGTTACTCATCTTACTCATGTACTAGTATTCCTTGCGCCGTCGCTGTCGCTTGTACAACTTTCAAGTGATTTGTCTGTTCGGAGTGTCTCATCTCTGTTACTGTGTGTTGGGTTGTGCCGTGAATCTCATCTCTGTCACTGTGTGTTGGGTTGTGCCGTGAATCTCATCTCTGTCACTGTGTGTGTGTGTTGGGTTTTGCTGTAGGTCTTCTCTGTTGCTGATCGTGCTGGACTGATTGATGACGCCTTTGCTCTGGCCAAGTGAGTACTGGAACTGGTTGTCGTATTCACTGCTATACCGGTACACATGTTACTGGTGTGTTTCTCCTCTACTTGCATTGTTTTGCAGCTTGCTTAGACCGACCGATCTTTACTTGTTTCCCCCCCCCCCCCCCCCCCCCCCCCACTTCATGTTTGCTGTCCCTGGTTGTAGCTGTTGTAAGAATTTACGGGCTTATCACATGACCGGTGAATGAAGCTTGAGAGGCCTTCTGGCTGCTAACATGCTCTTCAACTGTATGTCTTGTGTCTTGTGTGTGTGTGTGTGTGTGTGTGTGTGTGTGTGTGTGTGTGTGTGTGTGTGTGCGTGTGTGTGTGTGTGTGGGTGCGTGTGGGTGCATGCAGCGATGGCCGAGTACCCATCACAACAGCCATGGCAACGACTGACTACCTCGAGCAGGAGGACAACTATGTACCATGGCTGACGGGAATTGATGCGCTGTCTCATGTCGACTTCTTGCTGTCTTCAAGACTTGGATCTGGACAGTTCAGGGTATGGTGTGTCTTTTGGTGCTCCTGTCAGCTTCTTCTCTGCCTTGGTCTTTTGTGTTGATGTGTGTGTTGAGGAGTCATGAATGGTTTGCTGGTCGAAAGTTTCGTTGAGTGTAGAGGGGACGGTTTCAAATAGGACAGGTTGCAAACCGGAACGGACTCAATATTCACTTTCTCTCTTGGCATTTTGATTAGAAAACATATGTCACAGTGAGACTACGATGTGTTATACGCCGAGCCAAAATTTCATGGCTCTGCGATGACCAGAAGCGCCATACCAAGCAGGTGAGTTTTTGACGTGTTGCTTCGCACTACGACTTGAGTTTTACAACTTTCGAAAAATCAACTTCTTGTCGCAGGTAAACAGCGGCTCGCCTCTCGCCAATAAAGCACCGCATACCAATCAAAACTAATGGAAGCACACACAAGGCTTATTGTTACTCTGTACTGGCCGTCGTGGAGCGATAGCAATTACCTAATTTCAGACCCAGAGTGAATTTGATGTGCACTCTAAAACGTGTCCGGTTTGGAGCCACCTCTGATTTGAACTTTTTTGAAGCGAAAAATTGGGCAACTTGGAGGCAATGGGTCAACACAAAGGAGTGGCTCAGTTCGATTGACTCTGGCCCCAGAGCAAACTTCAACATGCCAGTTTCCTTCCACAAACATATTTTGAGTGAAAAATCAACGCTGATGATCGATTTGGGTCTATACAAATTTGGCTGTCAAAGCGTCCCGGTATCGAGCCGTCCCCTCTACCTGCTAGTCCATTGATTGAAGTTGCATGTAATCCTATCATGCATTGTGTGTACACTGTATAGAATACCATCATTGTGTGTGCACTGTATAGAATGCATTGTGTGTGCACTGTATAGAATGCATTGTGTGTACACTGTATAGAATACCATCATTGTGTGTGCACTGTATAGAATACCATCATTGTGTGTGCACTGTATAGAATACCATCATTGTGTGTGCACTGTATAGAATACCATCATTGTGTGTGCACTGTATAGAATACCATCATTGTGTGTGCACTGTATAGAATACCATCATTGTGTGTGCACTGTATAGAATACCATCATTGTGTGTGCACTGTATAGAATACCATCATTGTGTGTGCACTGTATAGAATACCATCATTGTGTGTGCACTGTATGAATACCATCATTGTGTGTATACTGTATAGAATACCATCATGATGTTTTTCTTCTTGTGTTTACTCCCATATTCCTTCCAGGCGTACTTCTTGAAGAAAGTGCAAAGAGCTCTCAGCACGGTTGGTTACAATGACAATGGCACTCACGCACATAGGTAAGACCGGTTTTTCTCGCAGTCGTGCAGTCGATCTTTTACTCCAGTAACAGTACTCCGCGGGTAGCTGAATGTGACAGCGACGGGCTGCAGAGGGCTGGGGACGTCTGTGTTTGTATAATTTTTTTTAATGAATGCAGCAAAGTATTGATAAAGCGATGGTATCGACTTGTCCATGTTCATTCTTTCCCGGGCTACTCCATAGAGCGAGGTCTTTGTTTCAGATAGTGCTTGTGTTTGTGTGTGTGTGTGTGTGTGTGTGTGTGTGTATGTGTGTGTGTGCGCGCGTGCACGCGTGTGTCTGTGTGCGCACGTGTGTCTGTGTACTGTGCAGGCTATTCCGTACAGCTCTATTGCATCGGTCATGTGACCTTGGTGATCAGACTTGCATTACTGCAGCGGTTGCAGCAGTCAACCAGTGGATGGCAACTGGTGGGCCAAAGTGAGTGTCACCATTTGCATGCATATGTATCATACAAATAATCTACGTGGAGATAATAATTTTAATATAGCTATGAATAGGATGAAGGCCGCAGACATCACGCAACTACGTTACTTGTTTGACATGTATTTACTGTGTATTTTATAACAAAAATACTTCAGAAGTATTATTGAAAACCCATAATCGATTTTCTTGTTCCTATCATCAGTGGGAAAAAATACGGAACTGTAAGGATACAACCAAAGAAACTGAAGTTAAGTACTGTAAATAGAAAGGTGTTAGAAATAACAACAAGATACAAGTGCAATAAAACCACTAGAGGAAACGCAAAAAGGTTAAGTACTGTAAATAGAAAGGTGTTAGAAATAACAACAAGATACAAGTGCAATAAAACCACTAGAGGAAACGCAAAAAGGTAACAAGATTACGTAACCAAAGGCGAGAAGGCACTAAACGAAGTGTCAACCTACGAATACAACTTCAGTGCAACAACGTGCTCCTTCTGCTTACACAAAACAGGCTTATGAATACGTATACAAACTGCCTCAAGGACTTTCAACTGTTGGACATAACGCGCACGACACAGTACAGACAAATGAGAGTCATCATACACACTAAGACAGTCAGGACGAGATAACACGTGTAGATACACAGCTGACTTCTTACGATCAACACATTCATCCGCCTCATCTCGCTCCTTCCCACCCGACTCCTCCTCGTCCATCTCATCATCCTCTTCCTCGTTCCGCTCGTCATCCTCACGATCATCATCACTACCATCATCTGCCTCGTCCTCTGTCTCCTCATCAACCGTTTCGTCATCCAATTGCTCTTCCATCCTCTGATCACCTGTCTCATCCTCCGTTTCTGTACAGACCACTTGTCTCCCATTTGCTAGCTACTCGTCCCGTGAGCGGAGTTGTTCCTCCAGATCCGCTTCACTCACTGACTCATGATCCTGCTCGACCTTCCTTCTGTTGGTATTGTCCACAACGCGCGGTCCTTGGCCGTTTCTGGCATAAATATCTGTGGAGTAGTTTGCTGTTGCCCTCCGAGGTCTCTGGATTAATGTGGGTGCCGTGGCAATTTGTGTGAGAGTGGCCGACCGCGCAAGAACCCACCCCCTGTGCCAGTGGTACAGACTGAGCCAACACAAAATGCGGTACCGTGTGAGAGGGCTAGGCTGCCCAAGTTACCAACTCCAGCAGCACCACCGTTGCCCTTGCCACCACCAGAACCGCCACCGGCTCTTCTTGTGGCGGGGGCTGCAGTGGACCCACCTACACCCGCGCTGGCATCACCAACTCTCACACGAATTGCCACGGCACCCACATTAATCCAGAGACCTCGGAGGGCAACAGCAAACTACTCCACAGATATTTACAGTCAACTTCGCTTATAACGACACTCGGCGCGGCATCAAAAGGTGTCCTTATTCGCGAAGTGTCGTTATACCCGAAGTCTCATTATATGTATTACAGTGGGATGGGACTTTGCTCTGGGCATGGAAATTCTGTCGTTATTCGCGAATTGTCGTTATATCCGCAGTCGTTATTAGCGAAGTTGACTGTATGCCAGAAACGACCAAGGACCGCGCGTTGTGGACAATACTTCATCCTATTCATAGCTATATTATATGTATCATAAATGATAATTTATCCGCAAGTCATGTCGTGGTTATAACAATGGTCATTGGGCAATCAAGAGAGTGATTGTTGTTGGTGCGGGTGTTGTCTGCGACACTATCACTGCTGTGTGTACTTTGAAGTATGGACCACAGACCACAGTGCCCCCCCCCCCCCCCCCCCCCCCCCCGCCTGGTTTGTGACTATAGGCGTGCTGTTGGCTTTCCACATGTGTGCACGTAACACCTGTTCCTCTTTGCTTGTTATCGTTTCTTGTGCTCAGTCCCATCCCAGCTAACTTCCGCACCACGTACTACGCAACAGCTATTGCTCATGGAGACGAGAAGGTCTGGAACTTCTTCTGGGGTGTGTATCAGAATGCTACAGTGGCAGTTGAGAAGCGCAAATGTCTGTATGCCCTCTCACAGACCAAGGTCAACTGGCTCCTTCATCGGTATGTCCATGGATGTTTTGACATTACTCCGATTTTGAATGATATCCTTTCAATATGTGTAGCTTGTCAAGTTGTAAGCATCATTTTATTTGCGTCTCGGGCCCGTTCTTCCTGATCAAACGAACTACATTGAACGTACAGTCGAAGATAGGCCGCTGATATCTTCAGGAGTTTAGCTTCACGGGAAAAAGTTAATCTCGAATGCTATCTTTCAAAAAAAGAGTACCAGTAACTGCTTTCTGTCTGAAAATGACCTCCGGTAAACCTCTGATGCTATACAGAGTCTGTGCTTGTGGCAGGGAATGTAGCGATGTGGCTTCTAGTCCAGAGAGGTTTTATCCATCGTGTATAACTGTCCTGCCTCGGCAAGATGATTGTGTTGGAGAGCTTGAATTCCACCTCAATATGCAGTCAGTGCCTGTACAAGGTGGTGGTGATTGCTTAGAACCAGCTCCAAGCACGATTACCGCCTGGTAGCTTCTTTTTGTTCCATATCGTTCTGTTTCTGTTTGGACTTGAGCCACGTAGAGAAGACTACAGGCAGTGTTAGCCTTTTTTCTGACCTTGATTTCTGAACTGCATGTCTAGGTACCTTGTGTGGGCACTGGATGAGAACAAGATCCGATCACAAGATTCGACTTCAGTCATTCGCTACGTTGCCAGTAACTCTGCTGGCCAGCTGATGGCTTGGGATTTTGTACGCGCTAACTGGAACGACCTGCTGGAACGGTACGATTTCGTGGGGCTTTAATGCACGCACCTGGTGGCTCCTGAAGGGATGCGAACACCAGCTTCAAATCTTCAGTGCATATACTGCTCAATAAAATCCAGTCCCGTCACTCGAGTATGCGCCGGGCGCTGTGCAGTCCTAGACATGCGAACACTGGGCTGCCGAATGGTGCAAGGCGCAAACTTGAGACGTGACTGGATTTCATTGAGCAGCACTGTAGTACATGTATGATCAACTGTGTATGTGAAGTAACCAGTACATGGCCATTGTCGCAACATACAGTCATACTGATTGCATGCAAGTAAACAGTTTTCTAGATTTTGTGCTTTTTTTAAGCCCACAAGGTACTAGGGGCATGTTCGATTGGTAGGATAGGATCGGGATCCAGATCAACCGGATCCACTGGATTCGCACCCTTTCGATTGGTCGAATCCGGGTCCGGATCCTTTAGATTTGGATCCGGTCAACCCACCTCGGAGAGCAGGGTTGACCGGATCCAATGGATTCAAATGTGACTTTGTGCGTATATGGCGGGTAAAAATCATTTTCGTACACATCGTGGTACGCACACACGTGTATCTCTTGTTGACTTTTCGTACGAAGCACACAATGAGTACGACTTTCACCATTTGGGCCATGGGGTGACCGGTGAACGCCATTTTATTTCTTCGTCAACATGACAACAGTCAGGTCTAAAATATAGTGTTCGGTTGACTCTGAAAGATCTGATGCATCTGAGATCTGGATCCCGATCCTACCAATCGAACATGCCCTAGGTGTCGTCCGTAATTATAGAATTTTTTTAAAAATCCTTCCCCGTGCAAAAAGGGGGTGGGTGGCCAAGACCGCTGGTGGAATTTTTTATATTCTGATTTTCGTACACTTGTTGCACTGTGGTTTTTTAATTTGTCGAATATTACGGACGACCCCTTACTTGTAGAGGAGTTGTATTGTAATGTCACTGCAGTGACTCACTGGCATAACTGATACTATCCCCCCCCCCCCCCCCCATTTTCTCTTGTGCATGTTACAGTTATGGAGAAGGTTCATTTTCCTTCAGTCGCCTCATTCTGAGCACCACCGCATTTAGCACCCCGTTCTATTTGCAGGAGGTAAGCCGTTTGGTTGGTGGGTGCATGCGCTGGATTCGCCGGTGGTGTACCTGACTAGATCTGTTGATTTGTCATGTGACGCAGCCTATGGGAATACTAGAGTGCATAGTGCTTGTCATTCGTTGTGATGGGAAAGGTCCTTTTGTGATGGGAAAGGCCCATTATCTATCCTGCCCTATAAGAGGATTTTCCATTACATCACCTTTTTGACGCCTTCCCGGTGCCCACCCAAAGATCACCCACGGGACAAGTCCTTTGACCTACGGTAAAATTTGCTTGGGTGGCAAAAAGAGATTGAAATTGTGTTGTTCGGCGCGTAGTTCAAACTGAGTGTTGTGGTGGTGAAGCACCTTTGCAATGTCATCTAAGTTAGTGCTAAAACCAGTACTCTATAAGTTATCGAACGAGTAGCGCCGCTATCGAGCCGAGTATCAAGTACTCTATAAGGGAACCTAGTTGCTCGTGTGTGCACATTTCCACCACACCAACATGAGGTTTAAATTAAGTACACATGTTTATTGTGCAGGGTAGGTCAATTTCTAAGTTTCGCCCGAAGTCAGTGACATCTCTCGGACTCTTTTCCTCTCGCTCACTTGCATCTACATAACTAAAACTTCCAGTAACAGAAGCACAACTTTGACGTCGTCGAAAAGAACTTCCTTGCTTGACTTTATCAGTTTGTGCTACACAAAAAAGTCACGACAGTATACATTCCTGTACTATACGTGTATGTTATCGAGTATTGAGTCCCCTTTTGAATTCGAGTCGAGTACTCAGCGAGCGATTCTCCAAATAGTTTGAAGGAAATATTGGTTCATATAGTCCATTATTACCGTGCCCATATGCTACAAGTAATCTCCCTTCTCTCTCCCTTCTCTCTCCCTTCTCTCTCTCTCTCTCTCTCCTTCTCTCTCTCCTTCTCTCTCTCCCTCCCTCCTTCTCTCTCTCCCTCCTTCTCTCTCTCTCTCTCCCTCTCTCTCTCTCTCTCTCTCTCTCTCTCTCTCTCTCTCTCTCTCTCTCTCTCTCTCTCTCTCTCTCTCTCTCTCTCTCTCTCTCTCTCTCTCTCTCTCTCTCTCTCTCTCTCTCTCTCTCTCTCTCTCTCTCTCTCTCTCTCTCTCCCTCCTTCTCTCTCTCTCCCTCCTTCTCTCTCTCTCCCTCCTTTTTTCTCTCCCTCCTTTTTTCTCTCCCTCCTTTTTTCTCTCCCTCCTTTTTCTCTCCCTCCTTTTTTCTCTCCCTCTCTCTCTCCCCTCTCTCTCTCTCTCTCTCTCTCTCTCTCTCTCTCTCTCTCTCTCTCTCTCTCTCTCTCTCTCTCTCTCTCTCTCTCTCTCTCTCTCTCTCTCTCTCTCTCTCTCTCTCTCTCTCTCTCTCTGTCTCTCTGTCTCTCTCTCTGTGTCTGTCTGTCTGTCTGTCTGTCTGTCTGTCTGTCTGTCTGTCTGTCTGTCTCTCATGTGTGTGTGTGTGTGTGTGTGTGTGTGTGTGTGTGTGTGTGTGTGTGTGTGTGTGTGTGTGTGTGTGTGTGTGTGTGTGTGTTCCTTCTTCCTTATCAGTACGAGTATGACCTGTGGCGGCTGGTAACACGAAAGCTGACAAAGTCAGACACGACCACTATCATCATGGCCCCGATGTAGCCAAAAAGGCTGGTGTAGTAGCGGACTTAAGTTGTCCTGATCTTAAAACACGCTGAAGAATACACAACCAATACAGCAATTGCTTTTCCTGGTTGTCCCTCAACCTGGCATTCTCCATAAGCAGTTGCTGATTACCGGTATTGCTGCAGAAGAAGATACATGTAGTGGCTCCAATTACTTCCTTTGCAAGAGTAACGCAAGACCTAAGATCAAGATGATCCTCAGCATAAGATCAAGAAGCTGAATACCTAATTGGCCAAATAGACAGAATATGAGGTACCATACTATTATGTGCCGCAGCAGATGAAGAAGTGTGCACAGCACAGCGACCAAGTGGGAAGCAGAAGACGATTGAGCAACACATGTTCGACTACAGAGTTCAACTTCGACAAAGACGCATACATAGCGACCAAATGGGACGCAGCTGAAGATCAACACATGTTCAATTACGGAGTTCATCTTCGACAAAGACGCATACATAGCAACCAAGTGGGACGCAGCTGAAGATTGAGCAACACATGTTCGATTGCGGAGTTCATCTTCGACAAAGAAGCATACATGTATGCACAATGAAGATGCAGCAGACACACTGACAAAGTACCCAAAACATGAGGTACACACTTGACTGAGAGGTAGCTTTAAGGCCGGGATCGTTCGAAACAAAAACGGTTAGAACAGAGACTTGGTGATCCAGCTCGACAAAGAAACAGCATATAGGGCAGACACACTGAGGCAGAGGATGAGGACTCAGGTACAATGTACACTCAGCGATAGAGGTGGGTTCACATCACAATGGCCGAGTGGAAAGCAGAAGAAGTCTGCTCCCCATCCGGTCATTGTACCCTGCAGCGTCTGCACATGCCTCATCTTTTTTAAATGAAAGTGCACCTGCCTCATCTTTTTAAATTTTTTTTAAATTGAAGTGCACGTGCCTACGTAGAACGGAAGAGGACAGCAACAACAACAACAGCAAGAGAACATAGGGGACTACAAAGGGCGCGTACGTGCTATAAAAGCTCCCGCGCAATGTCCGTTCCTTTGTTATTTTTAAACAATTATCCTGATCAAAGTGTGGCAGCTTCAGTCTTCTTCAAACTCGGGCTCCTGCTCCCACTCAGGCTCAGACTCGGACTCAGACTCGGACTCGGACTTCGTCCCCTGCACTGCTCCTTCCTCTGGATGAAGATGGAGCAACAAAAGAAATTCCGGCAGGGCATTCCAAAAAAAGAGTGAGACACACATAATGCAGAAGTGACAGATGATGAGTTGCACCCACTACTATAGCTAGCACTATGTTAAGTTATCTTTATTTTACTTATTTTTTAGGCATTGCTGCCGTCCTGCTGTAGATCATGAATGATGCCACGGCTCCCAGGCTATGATGAAAACTACTTGTAGAGGTACGGGTATGTGCAAAGCAGGGCACATTACCGAGTGGGAACCAAGCAGGCGTGACTTCAGCATTGGGAATGTCACCACCATCAACATCAACACTATCAATCATCACAAACTCCAGCTACAACGGACAACCTTGCACTGTGACCAACTTAGCTGATACTAGAAATGTTCGGCATCATCTTCTGCTGATACCAGAAATGAACTGAACTAGTTAGTTTGATACCTACTGGGGTGACAGGGGATGATCATCACTTTTTTTCTCTTCGCCAACAAAGCGAGTACTCGTATCCGTCGTGCCAAGAGCTAGAGTACATAAACCAGAGTGTGCAACTCGGGATAAACGAGAAAAAGACAGTGATAAAGGACCATCAATAAAAAGGTATGATAGAATTAGAACTGAAAGAAAAAAACGGAAGGAAAAAGGTAATAGATGGGAGAGCCACAGAAAGAGAGGAAACCCAGAAAAAAACCAGAACAAGAACAAGACTCAGTGACCGATTCCAACGCCGGCCCCGTCATGTACGGAGCCAACAAAGTGATGGACCAATATTCGTGTCCTTCGAAGTACATGTATTTGCATTTTTAGTTAATAGGACCAAAGTTCTCGAGTCGTGTGCCCGTCATCCACTGGTTCCGTCGTTCTCCATCGCAGGGAAAACTATAAAGACTTAAAGACGACCCAGATGTGGAGCAATTGGAACATCCGATTACGCAGCAGCTCTTTGACATTCTCAAACTATCCGAATAGAAACTACATGTACTTTTGAAAAACACTGTTTCCTTCCATTCTCCTTTTTTTGCCACCCAAGCTCCGTTTCAAGTCTGGTGATCGGTGGTCAACCCAATGATCTTTGGCCCGAATCCTCATAGGTCGCATGGCATGACACATTGGAAAGTCCTCTATACCACAGGCCAGCTCGAGGATATGTTTTAGCTCCAGGGGTCTATTCTGCACACGTATTACACAAACATTAATCGCATCCACTGTTTGTTGCACTCCTTGCAGGTGAAGAAATTCTTTGCTGAGAACCCAAATGCTGAGTCTGGACAGCGCGCTACACAGCAGACTCTTGAGAAGATCCAGGCCAACATCAACTGGCTGGCTAGGAACGAGGACCAACTCAGCTCATGGCTGACAGCTAAGGGCTTTCAGTACGAGTGAAAGGCGTGAGCCCAACTCGGCAACCGCAACTCCGACAGTACCTTGTTGAGTTAGTGTTTTCAAATTTACCCAATTTACCCTGCAGTGCTCATGTTGCAAGACGACAGCAGTCCCTAATCAATGCATTCCCATACCAGAAGCAGCAACAATACGAGCATCAGCAACAGCAGCAGGAACTGCCTGCTCGGTTAGATGGCCAGCAAGGACTGAACACAGAGAAAGAAGTACAGTATATTATTACCTTCTGCCACAGCCATTCACAGCTTCTTCCAGACTTGCAAGAACGTATTCATTTCTACCTATGAAATACATTTTATCATACTACGGGACACTCCCAAACATAAAACATACCAGTAGCTTGGAAGCATTCTATAGTTCCGATCAAAGCTTGCACACATTCCTTGCATGGAGTTACAATTTCGATGACTTTTACCCCGATTTTTCACATATTTCTCATTGGTATTGAACGGGATAGGTAGAAATTTACAGTACACTACTATGTCCCTGTCATTATCATTTAAAATGTAATCGAGACCAGTGGCGGCATCACTGCACCCACAACACATGTCACTATAACAGCTTGTGTTTTTATGATAATATTTTTTTTAAAGGATTGAGTGCGTGGAAGCAGAATTGAGATACGTCGACTAAAACACTGGGTGGTAAGAAACGATAAGAAAAGGAGATAGCAGGTGTTGAAAATGAGATAGTTATAAATAGATCATGTCCATCATCACTCTGGACTCCAGCAGCGTGATGTACAATAGGCAGCAAAGGTTGCGCTGTGGTGAGCAATATGATAACATCAATTTACTAAACACTGTACCGACCAGAACAGGGCACCAGCCCCCTGGTGTGAGTATGTCTTATTGCAGAGGGGAAAAAAGCACAGCTTGCACTAACAAAATGGACATACAGGGAAACGAACAGAGCATGTGCATCGACGGCAATTCAAATGCACGCACCCAAAGGACAAAGGACATGCTCAGGTACACACACACACACACACTCGCTCGTGACGCAAAGGCAAGTCTGCAGTGCCGTGTGACCCTGCACAGAACAGGACCTAGCCGCACAGCGCTGCGGCAAAACTTATGTACATACAACAGTAGCAAGCGGCCACTGCTCATACGTCCACTGCGCATGCTCACACTCCTCTTGGTGAGGGTGGTTATGACTAGGATGATCATGTCCATACAAGTAGCAGCTAGTAGCTACAGATACAGTGTATAGCATCCGCATACACAGTGGACACATGGAGCATGACCACCAGCAGCAACACTACTACTAGTGCAGATAGTCATAGCAGGTGTACCGTGTGGATGCACATAACACTGTACCCAGCACAGTGAAAGCAACAAACTGCACCGCAGTGCATGTCCGGCAGCGCTTACACAGCTGCATTAGATAGGACATAGTGCACAGTCCAGGCAAACATCACTATTGCAGCTATCACTACTACGTTACCGGTTAGGCTATGCTGAGGATAACGCGCCGATGTGCTAGACTGACCTTTCGATGGTGCTACCTTTGTGTCGGCGCCGTTTTCTTCCGATGATTCACTCTGCTTTTTAATTTCCTGTGCAAGAGTGAACAAATGCGCATGCACACCCCCCCCCCCCCCCCCCCCCCACACACACAAGCACACACACACACACACAAGCACACACACACACACACAAGCACACAATGAACAATTTTTTCCTGCACAGAAGCACCGCTCTGCTTTCTCATTGTAGATGCTGCAGCGGCTTGCATACTGCAACCCACGTCACACCAGACCCCAGGTAGTACAAGTTGATTCACTACCATTTCTTCTTATCACAACAGGGAAGAGAAATCAAAGTAGCCTTTAATTAACTACAACTAAGTAGATCCGAACGCTTGCGAAGTAAACCGAACAGCATTCCTCCGAGGAGACTCCTCTCACCCAGCAGCATGGAAATATCAGTGCGCCCTTTATTTTACAACTAACTTGGGTCAAAGCCTTACCTCCAGCAGATCAGGAAATAGTTCACAGAACGTTGGGTTTTTGAGGTTGTACTCTCCACTTTGCTGTGCTAGTGTACGTTTCTGAATGACAGGTATAAGGCAGAGCAATAAATTATAAATAAAATTTACTTCAAAAAGCATAAGCAAATCTTGTTTTCATGCGTAGAAAATTTACTCCATGTATAATGCCTGTATAGTTGTCAGCTAGACAGAAGCGGAACAGATGTTGTTCCAGTTCTTTTCCAAGCAATATTCTACTACGCGAACTGTTCAATTATCATTAATTACTTCAAAGTATTAGTCAGCTACACACCAATACCTCACACTGCAAAGACGTGGGATCCTAAACACGATGGCCCAGAAATTCCTGTACTGTAGACCGGCTAATCGTAGCGGGTAACATTTTTAGCATATTTTCTCAATCTGGCCCAATTTGCGATGAAGTATTTCAGCGATACGAGTTTCAGATTTTAGAAAGAAGGATGACTACATCGACTAGTACTGTACATGCAAAATTTCGATTGGTGCGGCAAAACATTTAGCAAAAACACTCCTGTCGCTAAAGTTGCTAAAATAATAATTAGCCGTTTTACAGTAAACAAGTGCATGCCCTAAAATGTACCCCTCCAAACTCTGGATGTTACACTCCCAGCTTAAAAGCACCCACAGATTTGTCTTATAGCAACGATAGCGGATCTGATTCTGAATGAAACAGATCAAGTTAAGCGCCACATAACTGTCTAATCCACACGGAGCGCATCGGAAAAGGACGGCCAAGACAGTTATCTATGCACACCCTACACTTGCTGCGGTAACCAGTATAGACAACAAGCTGCTTTGACAGAAGCAGACACTACATGAACTGGTACCTTGAAGTGAAATAATTGGAGTTACTTTACCAACCAGCCTCGGCAACTGAGTACTTGTACAGTCGGCCTACCCTTATAACGATATTTGCGTCACACCAAGAAATATTGTTATAAGGGTAATATTGTTATAGGGGTACAGGTCGTCCCTCGTTAATACATAATCTCTGGGACTTGACAAATGTTATGTATTAACGGGGTTTATGTACTAAACGAAAGTGTACATAGCTTGCTTGTGTACCAGGATTTTTCACTTTTTTCACTTTCTGAGTGTTTCTTGCTACCATGACTAGGCAGCGAGATATTCTTGATTCCCTCAATATAACATAAAAAATTATGTTATAACGGTCACAGCGAATATTCTACAGTTTGCATGATACATATAATTATGCCCAGCCGCGCCTGTACGGTCACTGGAGAAAAACAGACCTTTGTCGGTTTGCGATGTGCGCTCTGATTTCTGAGCTAATTGCGTCCACAAGAAAGTAGAACACGATGTGCCTCCACTGGAAGGCCAAAAGACCAACAAATTATGTACTATTGAGGTAGGTGGCATGCGGGTACGGAGAAATGTTATGTACTAACGGGGTTTATGTACTAACGAATTATGTATTAACCGACACAATTTGTATGGAAGTGACCACGTTTCGTCCGGGACTTGAGATTTCTTATGTACTAACCGGACTCGTATTAACGGGGGACGACCTGTAACTGGTTCATTTCATACACATACTGTATAAGCAGAAATATTCGTCCGGAATTTAATTTCGTCTTTTTCGTCCAAGGAGCTTTAGGAATAAATTAAATGTAGGACGAATATCGATTTGTCCAGCTTTTCTATACACTCTTATGATCCATGGACGAAATTTTCAACCGGACGAACTCCTTTTCTTTGGAGTTGGACGAAATTATTGACAGACGAAATTTTCTGCCTCTACAGTACGTCATAATGCATGGATTTCGTTCATTTTTTACACTCTTCATAGCATAAAAAACATGACGTACATGCACATTCTGTGCACAGCAAGGTGCCCACTGGTGCCCCATTGCATTTCGTCCTGTCCCAGCCACTTATCAAGTGAAGCTTGCCCTACCTGGATAGTGGGCTCTACATATTCCCTGCTAGATATTGTTATACAATGGAAAATGTCGATTGGTCAGCCCATTTTATATCGTTATAGGGGTAATATCGTTATAGCAATATTGTTATAGAGGTAAGGCATTGTATACACAAGTCAATGGAGTGATTTGGTTTGGCAGAAAAATATCGTTATAAGGCGAGACCAAAATAAAATCGAGATTCCCGGGCAGGACCCATGAGAAATAGGTGCGGGCGGGCGAATTTTATTTTTCAGACAACAGGTACGCGGTTTACCCGTTCAAATTTTCTATATTTCGGCCAACGATGGATGGCCCTGTACATCGGGAAGTCGTACAAGCTCGGGTTTGTGTGACTCCACGTCACAGATCTACTCACATGATCAGTACTGTACATATGTATGAACTGTTTAAAAAAATTGGCTTTGGCTCGATTTTGGTGCGGGAGGGCCCGGGAATCTCTATTTTTTTGGTCTCGCCTAAGAGTAATATCGTTATAGAGGTTATCGTTATAAGAGTAGGTTGACTGTACTGGGAACCCAGGGCCAACAGACATACCAACAACCTCAGCCATGAAAGCTATAATTATAGTAACGACACACTGGATTGTGGAGACGAAACTTCCAAATGCTTTGGCAAGAAGGTAGCCTTCTGACAGGTTGGACATGCACTCACATACACACTCTTCTTGGCTATGGCCAAAACATACCCAAAAGAATGTCCACCCCAAAAGTTAGTACAGTGCCCGAGATTCAGTACGGGGAGAGGTCCTTGCATCGAAAGATGGAGCACCAAAGGTGCAAAGACTATACTGAACTATCCCATGTATTACTGAATCGGAAAGACAAACGTCAGATGGGAGTACATTGGAGTTTCTATCAAACAACGCACAATGCAATCACGCTCATGCACACATGCACATATGAGAGAACTTACATGGAATTTTGAGGTGCTGAGACTTCCTAGTGTTGGCGTGTCTTCCAACTAAGGGACACACACACACACACACACACACACACACGCACGCACACACACACACACATACGCACACACATGTACATACACATACACAAGTTAGGTATGGAACTAGGCTGAATTAAGCTGTAAATACACCAATACAAACTGAAGCCTCCAGGGACTATTCTACTACTGTATAAGTCTACTTGTGTACAGTACGTACCATGAAGCTTAGCAGGCCAGTCAAGATGGTGGATACAGACCACGCTGGATTCCAGGTATCCGGATGAAAATCCGATATCGATAAACATAATCTACCCATGAAAGAAAACAACACACCAGGAAGACACGTGTTTAGGGCACACAGTAACACATGACAAAGCAAAGACTGGTGGGTAGGGGTGTTGGTGGTGGTTTCCACTTGAAAAATCATAGTTACATGGTGACATCACTGGCTCTGTCTTAGCAATAAAAATAGGGCTGAAACGATCATTCAATAACTCCTAACGATCAGCCAATATCATTAACGATCGATATATTGGTTTTATCGATTCTTGTCGGCTCTAGCCGTGTACCTTAAACACCAGTTTAATTCAACGATGCCTTTGCTACGTTTGAAATTTGTGGCACCGCACTGCTGATATCTATAGACATCTGGCTGGTTTTATCAACATGAACTGGAGAATTTCATGTTGTTTCTAGAGCAAAGAATCGTGTCATCACACTCTGGCAACTGCTCTTATCTCCGACCTCTCCCACAAATGAACCAAAAAGACAAAGTCTTCTCTCCCGATGTCTTTCAAAGCCACAAATCAATTTCACTGTGCTTGAAAGTACATGATTGTACTTGTACTCACTATCGGATGGAGTGCAATGGCTAGAATGCTGTCACTGATATGCATGCATAAAAATCGTTAGCACTCGTTTTGAACACTAACAATTATCGATCGCACTCTTAATGATCGATATGTGAGTTATCGGTATAATTGTTTCAGCCTATTCATAATTTTGATGTTAGCACACATGTGGGATGTGTAAGACATGCTGGGCATAAGAAAGCTAACAACAGAAAGTTGTTTCCAAACACCCACGCCATAAGTGATACGTATGGTAGCAACAAAACCATCCGAACAAGAAAGTACGCACGGAAGGCTCACGGAAGATTTGTCAGTTTTACAGGACCCACAGTTTGCAAGCAGCAACAGCAGAAAGAGAATACCGTATTTCACCGGTTATAAGTCGACCTTTTAATGACCTAGAGCCCCACCTAAAAAGGGCAAGTCGACTGACAACCGGGTTGGTAAAATACGGTACCCTATTTTCCGGAGTATAAGCCGCACTTTAAAGTTAGGCACTCGTTGTTTACCCAAAACAATCCGTGCGGCTTAGGGCACGTTTGGTTGGTACAACCTAGAACAGGATTCACCAGAACAGTGCGTTTGGTTGGCACAACCTAGAATAGGAGTCGGTTGGTACAGCCTAGAATAGGATTCATCAGTACAGTGCGTTTGGTTGGGACTGCACCTGTTCTGGATCGGCCAGAACATGTTCCGCTTGCAGGGGCGTAGCCAGGATAGTGATCAAGGGGGGTGCCAAGACTTTCCCCACACAAATGTACATGCACTTATGTTGGTCCTTTCATTAGGCATATGCGGATAATGCCGGCAGAAAATTGGCAGAATTCGGTACTTTTTCTGGTAAGTTTCATGCATGTTTGGTATGTGGATAAAGAAATGGAGCAGAATTCGAGGAATTGCCCGCCATAAGGTTTGTATGGTTATGCCATTTTCACTGCTTTTTGAGCAGAATCTGCCACCTTTCGAGCATTATCCGCACACCCCTACCTTTCATGCACATTATTCGATCCGTGAAATGGGGGGGGGGGAGCAAAATTCGCCCCTAATTTGACACTGAAGATCAATCAGTGAATGGCAAATCTCCAACCAGGGAGTAGTAATAATTATGGTATTTTACTACACCCTGGCCTGCTTCCAACTAATGATGGACTAAGTCCTGGATGCTGCTTTCTCCAGAATTATCTCACTCTCCATCGAACTTTTAAAGTGGGATTTCTCGAGCCATTTTTCCCCTTCGTCATGTTTGATAGTGCAGTAAGGCATCCTTGATCAAACCTACACTATTCCCCACAAAAACTCAAACTGCACTTCAACGTTACTTTCACTCTTCTACTGCTGTATCCACACTTGCAATGCATGAAAGAAACTTTGCCTTTCCACAACGAGACCAATTAACAGCGAGAACTACATTATACAAAACATAGCGAGAACAAACTGCTATGTCTGACGTGTGCTTTCCGGCCATAGACTGCATTGCTACTTCCTTGCTTCTACCAATGGCGTGTTTGTATGATTCTTTGCTTCTAACAAAACATGTGGAGTGCAATACAAATCATGTGCTGAGCCTGCTGAGGCCTGATGTGACACTGCACAACGCGGAGTTCTCTTGGCTAGAAATTTCATTGCAAAATGGCCAATCATGAGACAAAAATTAATAGTCCACTAGCATGTGGTTTGGTTTCAGATACATTGTACTTGCAGGTCTGAACCAGGGAGTAGTACCTACTACTCCCTGGTCTAAAACAGGGATGGCTACAGTGTGAGATGTGCAGAGTTGCGCATGTGATCAGCGGGTCTGCTATGGTCTCTCTCGAACCAGCTGTGAACCAAGATGGAAATTTTTGAGGGGGTGCTTTGGCACCCAAAGCACCCCCCCCCCCCCCCCTGCCTACGCCCCTGGCTTGCTCTGGCCTTGAGGCTGGAGCAGCCAGAGCAGTTGCACTTGGCATGCACGCATTGTACAAAGTGATCATGGTGACTCGTACACATTCTCACGAATGCAACCACGTTAGGGGCACTTTTCACATAAATGCACTCTGTTTCTGGAGTACCGTTTGGTAGGTATGAGGCTGCTCCATGTGTACCAGCTGTTCGATCCTGCTCTAGATCGTACAAACCAAACACGCCCTATGTACTACATTGGTCAAGATAACGGTGATAAACAGGGTAGATATCTGTATTCTGTGACAAAAATCTGGCTGCGGCTTATACTCCATAAAATACAGTACTAAGAAGATATGTCCCAGTACCTTGTCCCCGTCTTGAAGCGACCATTGGGAGTGAGCATCATGATTTTCGGTGGCAAGAACGGATAGTCCGGTGGAAAGACTAGTTTTCCATGATAGTAACCCCCTGCAAAGCAACACAAAGAAGACATCACCATTTGTAGAGATAGCAGTGTACTGCTAATCTAAATGCTGTACACGAGTGCATGCAACAACTAGAAAGTACCGGTAGTAGTATTCTGGGAGTACATGCACCATGCACCTACACACACAGAGATTCTGTAGGTCTTGTGCATGAGGACTGGTCACTGGGTGCTACACACATAGAGATTCTGCAGGTCTTGTGCATGAGGACTGGTCACTGGGTGCTACACACAGAGATTCTGTAGGTCTTGTGCATGAGGACTGGTCACTGGGTGCTACACATTACTAGTCATGCTACAGTACTGTCGGGCGCCGAAGAACTGGGGGTCAGGGATCTAGCCTAGCCCGTTCTTATTTTTAGCGAACACTGCAGTTTCATTCTTATTCGATGGTACAGTCTTACATGTACATTTATGCAGAGTTATACGTCTGGGTGTACATTATAGTGTATATTACGGTTTCCGTTCTTATCTGCAAAACAACCAGCCTACACCGTTCTTAAAAATTAGTGAAATTCTAGCCTGGCCGTTCTTCGGCGCCCGACAGTACCGTACTCACCATTCACCCATAGCGGCACTTGATCACATAACTCTCTCTCTCTCTCTCATCCCATCTCCATTCATCCGACCATCCCTCTATCCACCCATCTCCATTTACTCACTCATTTACTCTCCCCCCCCCCCCCCCCCCCCCCCCCTCTCCACAAATAGATCTGTGGATACCAGTATGTGAAACACATGGATAAGTGAAATCCACACTTCATCACATGCTCATCCACATGTCTTGCACTGCATAGCAAATGCCGCAGTGCCCCCCCCCCCCACCATTCTGCATTAATTTTTATAATTTTTTTATACTAGTACTCCAACTTACGGATACCTGAAGTCCCGGATCACCGAAGGGCGGATAAGCGAGGCCATACTACTCAGTATATCTACACTGGAGCCGTAGCTTCATGCACATAGATTGTGAGCTAAGTTACCTACATTCGGACACCCCAGTAATCACCAGACATTTACTGTGGATAGATGCGATGCACGGTGCGTACAAACACTGCACATTTATGCTGGCACTATTCTCATGACAAAGAAACAAAGACAGAGGGGTAAGAGCTGGTGCGCGTGTGGCAGGACAGACCGCCACTACAGGACAGACCGCCACTACAGTACTGTTGCTTCTAGTCTTTCTGCCACCTAACGGTCCCGCACCACTTTCTGACGGCTAACACGTCCATGCAACAGCAAATGCGCTAATGTTGTATTCTTAGCAAACATCTAAACGCACATACCTGCATACGGTGAATCCTCGGGGCCTTTTACACAGTAATGCCTGAAACACAGACAGACAAACAGACAGACAGAAAGGAACACACACACACACACACCACGTGCACACGTGTACAGACACCTCAGATGCCGATCGCCAAAGGCAATGATCACAATGCCACAGCAAAAGCCAGAGCAACTGGTGTAGGGATTGCACCAATCAACAGCTTCCAATGCTGAATAATCGATTGTCATTATCATGGCATTATGTCCAAACTTGCACACACTTATACACACACACTCATACATGCACACACGCATGCACACGTGTACGTCCACACACACACACACACACACACACACACACACACACACACACACACACACACACACACACACACACACACACACACACACACACACACACACACACATCACAACCACCACACACACACACACACACACACACACACACACAAGTGCGCGAGCGAGAACACACACACCTGCATGTGCGCACGCACGCACACACACACACACACACACACACACACACACACACACACACACACACAAGCACAATCACAATCACATACACACATGAACAAACGCACACAAACGCACACACACACATACACTCTCACCCGTGTGCACACGCACATGAACACACACACACACACACACACACACACACACACACACACACACACACACACACACACACACAAACAAACACACATACATACACACACCACCACCACCACCACCACCAACGCTACACACAAGCACACACGCACGCACACACACGGACGCACGCATATACACGCACCAGGCGTGTAGCCAGAGTGGATACCTTATACCAGTAGTCAGGTATCCATACGTGGTTGGCCTGCACATGCCGGAATGCTGCACTGTCTGTAGACCTACCGGTAGTCTGCTCTGCACAGACCACTACTAGTACTACAGACAGGGTGAGGTAGATCTACTGACTTCACGCCTAGATCTACTGTTGACTTAGAAGAGTTTGCAGGCCGTCTACTTGTAATTGTTAGTTGTGAGGTCAAGTACATGCACATGCATGTACTTGTACTTTGAACAGCTGTTTGATTTCAATGTGTGGCACCCTGCAACAGTGTTGCACAGCACCACTGCACTCTGCAGTGCAACACCCACTAGCAAAATCGGAGTCGAACTCGAAGTCGGAAAGTCACAGTCTTCTGGTTTCGAGGGCTTTCAGTTTGTTTCCATTCTCTTTTTCTTCTTCGCCACTAATTTCAAACTTCTGCCAGTGCGGTAGATGTAAGCGCTTTCAGAGATTTGCAGAATTTAGAGATTTGCTTTCAGCGCCTTCTGCGAAGCGTCTTGATATCGGTGGTTCAGACAACTCCGCGATTTGTTGCTGAAAACATCCTGGTTGTCTTTAATGGCTCCAGGGCGAATTGAAACAATTTACTAACTTTCGCTATCCATTACCCGCTTCTGTATTACATACATTTCAACTGCTACATATTTTGCATAGCATCCAGTGGAATAAATATGCGTTATCTGTATCAAGGACCTCAAATCCCCCTCCTTTGCATTGGCTTCTGCCATTGGATGGTGAAATAAAATAAAATAAATAAATACATCTGCATGTATACTCCGTTGGCCAAAGATATCCAGTACATGTATAGTGTACCCTGACTAGTTTGAGGGAATCCATACAAATATTGCCCGAGTTACGCCACTGCACACACACACACACACACACACACGCACACACACGCACACACACATACACACGCGCGCACACACGTACACATACATAGAAAATGTGCGCGCTCACTAGAAAGCTTACCATTCAAGGATATTCGAGGGCAGAGGCTGAGCCTGAATATACGGAACTGGATCTGACATGATCCTGAGATAGTCTTGCTTCAGACGATTCGTAGCACCAACAGGCGATTTCTTCCGTGAACTGCGTGCAGCACTCATCTTCTCAGCGTCGAGGAGTTTCTAGGCTACAACTTCGCATGAAGCTATATATTTAATATGGAAACTTGATAGGGAATATTGCTTGGAGAAGAAGGAAGTTTGAAGGCACTTCACAATTGTTCTTGTTAGAAAAATAAGCGAAATAGTTCACCCTAGAACCGAGAAGCTTTTAATACTACGGGGAATTACACTCTAGTAGTAACAGAAGAAGATGTTAGCTCAGAAGATGTTAGCTCTTGTTCTTCAGAGGTCCGATACCAAGGCAGTACTTCAAACCAGGGAGTAGTACAATAGTCGTGCTTCAAACTACATGACACACACTTTTTGACTTTTGAGGCTCTGGACTTGTCTTGACGTAGCTCCAACTAATTACTTCCAAATCCAAGTCCAGGCAGACCGTTTATGATTGTGTCAGTGTGGTGTGAGGTAATATCTCACGCGTGCACAATCGATCTGCCCATTATGATGTCATCATGATCAAGAGTGTTATGTCTTGCACAGGTTTGAATTAATTTTTGCATTTGTACAAAATTGTAGCCTTGTTGAAAGACGAAGAAAGGTGGAGCGTAACACCTTCTCTTTGTAGGAGTCGTTCTCTTGTTTTCACCAGTATAGATAGTAGTATTACTATTAGTAGGCACATGCGAAAGACTGTGTCTGTAAATGTAGTAAAGTGCCCAGTCAGCACCGTAGCTTCTCATCATGGAATTGGAATTGGATAATTTGTTGAGATTGGGAATTCACTATCGCGGTGCGATAATGACCCAAGCTTTACAGCGTGAGATGTGGCATTTGAAAGAGGAATTCACGGCTATCACAACCCTGGGCGATCCCTTTAGTGCTTACACGTTGATGTTTCCATTATTCGTCTGCTTGAAGAAATCCATTGGTCGTCGCATCCTGTGGTCAGCATGTGTGGCAGAGTGGCTCAACATCATTCTGAAATGGTGAGTAGAGCTACACCACATTCACACTTTGGGCTGGGCTTTTCAAAGTGTGGCCGACAACCCGACTACATTATTCTTCTTATTCTTACTCGACGGGCTTGCGTACCGGGCAGGTCAAGAACAAGGAGTCGTACAACTCCCTGGTCAAGAACCACCTTTCCGCTTCCGTGGGACGCCACCACCCCATGATCAGGCGTCAGATGCGGCTCCTAAACGGTGGGGGAGGATAGATCAGATCCACCAACCAGAGGCCAAAGGCCTAAATCGCATTTGCCACATCCACATCCTTCCGCTTCCAAGCAGGACTTGAACCTGGTACCTCTCGTTTCTCAATCATGGTCTTAGACCAACCCACTGTGCCTGCCTACCCGACTACATAGGTAGCCTCAAAAGCGATGCAGAGAGCGCTAGAGCCGCGTGGACACATGCGGCGGGGCCGGGGGGGGGGGGGGGGGGGGGGGAGGGGGAGGGTACTGGTAAAGCACGAGGTTGCGGCATCTTATACCACATCCTTGCACTTCAGAACATGTCGGAAACTGATGTTTTTAATTGATAGAAGTAAGTGTCTGTCTGTAGTTGTGAGGCCCTTTCACAAAGCGGACAGATTCGTCGATAACTACAGACGGACTGTTGTGTATTATGATGTATTTATGTACGCAATAAAGCTGTGGACCAATGCTAGGGTGTTGTCACTCTGTGTTTTTGCAACTTGGTGGATGATATTGGGCTTGTCGGTATGGGGTACACCGAAGAAGGGGGGGGGGGGGGGGGAGCTGCTAACAGTGGGTATGTCGACGTGGCAGTGCAATGTATTCATGTTCACCGGGAAGTCGTAGCATCTATTTACTAAGGAGATGGCATGATACCATAATATCCAGCACCATGTGCGTTTCGACGAGATCCGTGGGTTACACAATTCACGATCATGACCTCGGCCTGCTGACCCCAAATGCAGCCCAGACCAGCGCTGGTATTTGAAGTACATGTATATGCAAGCATGCATAGATCGGCCCTTCCCCAAGGGCAGGGTCGAACTAAGAATAAATTCAAGTGATTTGAGGTGTTGTTATGTATGATACTGGTTTGAGGTGTTGTTATGTATGATACTGGTTTGAGGTGTTGTTATGTATGATACTGGTTTGAGGTGTTGTTATGTATGATACTGGTTTGAGGTGTTGTTATGTATGATACTGGTTTGAGGTGTTGTTATGTATGATACTGGTTTGAGGTGTTGTTATGTATGATACTGGTTTGAGGTGTTGTTATGTATGATACTGGTTTGAGGTGTTGTTATGTATGATACTGGTTTGAGGTGTTGTTATGTATGATACTGGTTTGAGGTGTTGTTATGTATGATACTGGTTTGAGGTGTTGTTATGTATGATACTGATTTGAGGTGTTGTTATGTATGATACTGATTTGAGGTGTTGTTATGTATGATACTGGTTTGAGGTGTTGTTATGTATGATACTGGTTTGTGATTGTGTTGTACAGGTTGCTAAATGGTCAGAGACCCTATTGGTGGCAATATGAATCTTCAGAATGGAGTAGACAATCTGAGCTACTGCAAGTTCCGTTGACCTGCGAAACGGGGCCAGGTATGACTTGTGCATTCACTTGTACAAACATATTTTTCTTTTGTAATTTACATGTGCTCTTCGCAGCCCCTAAGTTCAGAACCAGCGGCTATGTGTAACTTCAGGCTGTTGTGCTTTGAAAGGATAATCAGTTATGCCAAGACCGAAGGTGCATTACGAAATTTATCCGGTGAATGTGTACATTGTGTAAGTGTTTTCTCAGCATACTGACTGCGTGTGTTTCCTTCTGCTGCTGCTGCTGCTGCTGCTGCTGCTGCTGCTGCTGCTGCTGGTACTGATGTCTTGCTTGCAGGTAGCCCATCCGGTCACTGTATGATATCCGCTGCTGTTTGGTATGTCATATCTGACACTGCTTTGCGCGTGCTACCAAACGGCTCCAAGTGGATATCAGGAGCGATATTCTGGTCACTCCTGTCTCTCGTTGCCGTGTCAAGAGTCTTCATAGCAACTCATTTCCCTCATCAAGTGTTACTTGGTTCAGTTGTTGGAGTGCTAATTGCAAAATGCTTCCTGTCAAAGTCCTTCCGGCACTTTGTGGACAGCAAATCTGCCACACATCACTTGGCAGTGTCCTGTGTGTTTGTGGGTGTTGGCTTCCTCCTCTATGTGCTGCTGCTCCACCTTGGTCTTGATCCATCCACATCAGTTCGTCTGGCATTAAAACACTGCAGTAATCGTGATTGGGTCCACCTGAACACTACTCCCTTCTTTTCTCTTTTCAGGATGTCCGGCAGTCTTGTGGGTATTGGCGTTGCTCGCCACTACAAGCTCTTCTCGAAGAAATTCAAGAGCGTACCACTGCGTGTGTTTTGTGGCATTGTGTCAGTGGTCTGCGCTCATGTAGTGTGCGCTGTGCCCATTGCAACTCCATCTCCTATCATTTTCTATTCCATATCATTCATACGGTTTGTTCTGTTGCCCGTGTCCGTTGCACTCTGCACCAAGATCCTCTACTTGCTTTTGCGATGAACCTTTTCTCATCACTGTAATAGTGGCCCTGTATCTGCTTATTTTGACACAGTGCAGGATGTCTACGAAGTGATTCTTAATTTATTTGAGTTTAAGGAAGGATTGTTGATGCTTTAGTTTTTGAGCTTTATCCAGCCGAAGCCCACATAGTCATTTGGCTGAGAGCTTGCGTTTTTATGATAATAATTGTAATCCTAGCGACTTGTGTGACTCTAACTGTTGCTTGTGCTGGTACCAAGAATACACAAGAAGAGGACCTGGTAGTCCCTGAAGAGTTATGCCTTAGTTATGGACTCTATAGTAACTATAGCTGATACTCATAACGTGTGCGGTACACACACGCGGCATGGTATGTTGGGTTTGGTCAGCCTTGCCGTCACTACTTCTGCTGGAGCTGGAAGTCTTTCCGCTGTATTCATGCACGTACCTTTATGTTGTACATTGTGTAAGGGCTTGGCAATTTTCGCCACAGTACAGTATACCCCCACCCCACCCCCAGTCGTATGTGGTCTTGATTTTAGAATGACTTGTTGTCCCTGGTCAGAACAAGATACAGTACATAACATAGCACACACAAACACATAGACAGATACTGCCACCCGCACCTCACCCGGTACCCAGCGGGCTTGGCCAGGTCGGAGAAAGGGGGGGGGGGGGAGTAGTCTATGGCCCCGAACCAGGTTTTAGACTCTACCCACATAAATATTGGCTTCAGCCTGTGATTCGTGGATCATGCATGGAGGGGTCGTAAATAATTTATTGCGAGCAATGAGCATCCCCCTTTCTCAAGCCGACTCCGGAAATGCGCTTCCCAGCACTTGCACTTTTTGCAGGCTGGTCGGGATCGATTGTGCGTTCGATTTGCGGTGAGACTTTCATCTCCCGATATGGAGTGAACTTCTGCAGCAGGAGAGTGCTGTTTTGCCAACTTTTGGCGTTGTTCTGATTCCTTGGCAAAGGTTCTGTGTTATTCCTGTCGGAACGACGAAGTTAGTTGAGAGTTCCGTGTCAAGTGTCTCGCTTGTTATTACTGCTGCTCTTCACTCTTGTACTAAGTAGTTGTAGTTATCAGCCTTCGCCTTCCGAAGTAGATTTGGATATGGGAACAGACAGATAACAGAGGGCACGGGCTGATGAGATGCTCAACGGAGCATTGATCATACGAAATGGAGAATGAGACAAAACCACCGGAGATTTCCTCGGACAAAACTAAGGAGTTGGACATTCTGACGATTGGCCTTTCCACTGGCTGGGCTGTTCGATTGGTTGAGTCAGAGGGAAAGAAAACCAACAGGCTTCATTACGTCAAGTGAGTGTCTTGAGCTGTCATACCATGGGACTGGCTGATGCGAACCGATGTTCTGCTCTCTTACAGGGAGATTGACATGTTCTTGAAACTGTCCTCGTTGTGGTGAAGTTCGGAAGTCGTCTCTGAAGAGGAAAAATAGTATCTGAAAGGAATTATTTGGTGTCTTATCTGTTATGCTCCCGGAAATGCTAAATCACTGGAATGATGAAGTGAAATGTCTGTAAACCACTCAACATTCAAGTCGCGGTTGGACGCTTCTTACTGCTTCATACACTTTACTACAAAAGTTCCAGTTCCTGAAGATAGTCATAGACTAACATGTTGAACATTTCTGAAGAGTAGTAGTTCAATTGAGATATGCCTGTTAGTTACAGTGCATCGACTATACATGAGACATGCCTGTTCCTGTATCAGCAAAGTGCGTCATGAGTATGTCATAGTGTTCTAAAGAACATGACAAGCACATTACAGTAGAGTCGCGCACCCAAGAATGTTGTTTCCAAGGGGTTAGCCTTCTTATTTTTCAGCAATCTGGCTGCGTTCTTATAACACGTTCTTAGAAACAATCCGTACTGGATCGTATGTATCCCACAAGATACCAGAAAACCAACACCGCCGCTCTTAGCTTTAGGCTGTGGCGTTCTTAGAATTTCAGGCTGGACGTTCTTGGGCTCCACGTTCTTCAGCGCTCGACTCTACTGTAGCCTGATTGGGCATAGCAAACAAACTAGGACAACGGAGAAGGAGAATATGAGCTGTTCACATAATTTGTTGGTACTGTATGGAGTGTAGCGTTGAACACAGAGAGCAGTGGATTGATTCCGCTGCTTTCCACTTTCTGATTTTTGCCATGTAGTCACGTCAAGCGTTCGGCGCAGTGGCTCCCTCCTCCGGAGTTTTGGAAATGCCCCAACTTGCTGCCGTATGGATGGGAGCTTGGCATTGACGATGATGGGCACGTCTATTACATCAAGTAAGTATTGTTGATCCTGTGCCTTGGCATTCCTGCTGCTCAGCAACTGCTCTGGCTTTGTGTGTATGTTGGTAAGAAGCTTACTAACGGTTGACCTAAATAAAAATAATTATTTTTTAAAGTAAGGCTGGTGATCATAGCCGTGTGTTATTCAGGCAAGTCCACCTTTCATGGTGCCAGGGCACCGTAGCATCTTGTTTAGCTATACACTCGTCTGATGGCATTAACTGGAGTTTCAGTTGGAATTCTGATGATTTGAACCCCAAATTGCCGGAGGAAATATCCGGGCATTCTAAATGTCCAACCACGTGCCCACAGCGCAATATTTATGTCAAAATACTCCCACAATTGTCACACAGAGTGTAATATCCACTACGGACAGAGATTCTGCACACTCTGAACTGGCCAGTGCTTGCTCAGTCTGAACTGACTTGTATAATGTAGAGTGAACTTTGAATTATGCTTTACTAGCTTCGAATTATCACCACAGGTCCCACATATTTCCTATGTATTTCGCTCCTGCTCTTGTAGCAGTTGAGCACTCTTGTGTGGAGTAGTGCCTTTGCTGTTTGCATTATGCAGACCTCACTGACTTTGTCAGTTTGAGCACTCTGGCAAGGTACGTTCGGGCCTGGTTTAAATCTGGCTTTGGAAAATTTAGTTTTCATTGCTATCAGGTTCGGCCTCATTTCCTCTGTGCTGCTCTGATGAGTCCACAAAGGACGAAACAGTTCTGTCTGCAGATTGAGCATTTCCTCTGTACGTGGGTTTCGTAGGACTTCTAATTAGGCGTACTTGCCCAGTTGAAGGTTTGAATTATCAGACACCATTATGCGTGAATCGTATTGGCTGGCTCAGTCCTGGTAGAATGCCAAATTACCATGCCAGTACTAAACGCGGTGCTGGTGCAGTACTCTATCAAGCCTGCTAGGACTTCTGTATCCTGTTACTGGACTGGTGGTGGGGTCTTGCTCTGTTTCTTTTTGCAGTCATTTAAATGAAATCACCACAAGAAGGGATCCACGTGTTCAAGCAACGCTGGTAAGGCTCGTTTGTTCACATTTTTTTAAATGTTTGCAGAACTATTCAGGGCCACAGGGTTCATAAAATTCATTAATGCTCAATCTAATCATGGATCCATTGCTCTGTCTTGCAGAATTTGTTGGTATTATTTTGTAAATGTGTTTGTATATTGGCTCTTCAGGATGACCAGGATACCAGGAAAGAGTTTCTCCTTGAAAAAAAGGACAGTGATGAGGGTAAGCTACTTACAATAGTGTACACTGATTCAATTCATTATTTTTTTCTATCTTCATGGTTGGCATTTTTTTGGGATTCGCAAACTCCGCGAGTCGCAGCCATTTACACATTGCTTTTCTCAGTCCAAACACTCACACATGGTCTCTGCTACTGCAAAAGTCACTTCAGGTTTAGCAAATTACAGGCTTGGCCCATCATCAGGGTGAAACGGTAAAAACTACTCAACTAGGGGTGAAACAACTCACCCAACTAGGGGTGAAACAACTCACCCAAATTCAAACTAGGGGTGAAACAACTCACCCAAATTCAAACTAGGGGTGAAACAACTCACCCAAATTCCTTGTCAACTACTAGTACTAGTAGTACCGTACTGGCAATATATGTTGCCGCGTAACGCGTAACGCAGGGGGGTGCGGCGTAACGCGCGACCAGGCTAGTGCGACACATTTTCGTCAAGTTCGTAACGCTCGTCCGGCGGGGTGCGGCGATCTTTTCATTGCAGTTTGCACTGCAAAAAAAGGCTGAAAACTGTGAAAGCACGTGTACCGCGTGGTGAAAAGTTCAAAACTGGACGCAGCAGGAAGTCCTGACACTCGAAGGCGCATCATTCAGTGGTTGGCGATCTCAATGGTTTCTTCTTTCCCGAGGTCGTTTTGCGAAGAAGAGTAATATGTTGTACACTCATTAACTGTGTGAGTGACAGTAGTTTTTGGAGGAAGCGCTCTTCCCCTATGTCACTTTCCTTTTGATGATCTTTTTGTGAACAGATCACTCTGATAGTTAAAATAATACAGTCTTCTATTGATATCGTTGTCGCCCTTTGCCGTCGGGTTTGTAACAGTTGGATAGCAACTGAATTTCTGTGCCTTCAATGTGGATGAAAAGAAAAAATGATGCGGCAAAAGCAAAAAAAAATGATGCGGCAATAGCAAAAAAGTGATGCGGCAATAGCAAAAAAGGACTGCGGCAATATAGAAACCTGTGTAACGGCTCTTGTGCGACTTTGCATGTAACGCCCTGCGTGCGGCAAACATGTGCCAATGTAACGCTTCATGGCCTCACTGCGGCAACATATATTGCCAGTACGGTAGATTCAATGCTATCGACTGACATTGCCTTCATGCAGGAACACAGACACAGCATATTTACACATACATGTACATAGATGCACATGCATGTTCGCCCGCCCATGCACAAGCAACAGAAGCACAACATGAGCACATTGTGGGTTTCGGCGTTCAAACGCACCCGCATGGTATGTGTTGTGCACCATTGTCGTACCAGGTCTGTGTGAAAGGAAAATGGATTCATGTGCCAAGTGTACTTCGCAGTGTATGACCTGTACTCGCAGGACAAGTGCATGAACTACATGCACCTCTGGGTATTTCTTTGTTAGCATGAGTGTGAGTTGATACGGGTTTTCCGACTGGCCAGTCGACTTATCGACTCAGTCACTTCACCCCAAGTAAAAACATGGTTTAGTACTGATTACTTGAGTGTGTTCACTGTGTTGCTACTGCTTGTGCTGCTTTGGGTTTAAACATGATGACCTTCATTCAAACATAGCTAATTTGCTATGGCAGAAGTTAAAGTCTTTTCTATGCCAATTACTGCTACAGGAACGGCAAGTGTGCAGGAGTAATGGCTTTTTTGTGTGTTCTTTTACACAGATTTCGGCTTCACTCTAAGCGATTCCCCACCGTATGTTGTGACCTCAGTAGCACCAGGTTAGTATTACAGTCGCCCCTCTCTAATCCGGCACCTTTAGAAACGGCATTTTCTGCTGGATAAACAAGGGTACTGGATTATCAAATCCTGCCCTCCAACCCGGCCCACCTATTAACCTCTTTAGCACGACGCTACCTGAGCGCGCCCCACGTCAACACCTGTAAAAGTCGCATTTTCCCATGAAAGTACTAGCTGCTCAAGGATCGATAACTTTACCTTCCCTTGGACGAATTCCACGATCTTGAGCTTCCTGGAAAGGTCGTGAGACGAGGGACAAACTGGTATCAAACCCAGCTCGGAGCGAAACCAAAACCCCGTGCTACAGTCTGGCAAACTTCATCCACGCGCTCGACAGACTTGAGCACGGCCAAAACTAATCAAGCTCAAATATTCAGCTGCCTTTTCGGTCTCCTTGCTCGTATCGAGCTCAAATTTTTTGTGAGGACTCACGGGATCCACTACCATCATTTGAATCTTGTTTCCATGGCAGCAGGTAGCGCAAAAAGGATCCATGATGGAAAATACGCGTTCTGCAGACTGCGCAAAAAAATCGAGTTGAAATTTGCCGTGTCGAGTCGCATATCTCAACAACCGGTAGTCGCATCGCTTCGGCGATTGTTTCTATCGCCAGCTGAGAGTTTTCTCTTGCAGATACATGTTTCGATTGTGAGAATCGACCAAGTATTGAGTGAGTTGCGATAGTTTGAACAAGTCACTATGGACTCAACACGGACCCCACGACTATGAGATGCAGGTTCACTGTATAGTGTACAGCGCGCGTCGTACTAGTACGACGGCCGTGGGGCATGCAACTCATGTGCGTCGTACTAGTACGACGCTCGCGCTAAAGAGGTTAACATGCAAGTACATGTTTGTGTCGTACGTCAAAACGTAAGGATTTTCTGTGTCAATCCAAGAACTTTGTGGAATGCATGTCTGTAACATGCCATGTCTATAGCATACACTTGGGGAAATATCCTATGATCTGGCATAGGATACTCCCAAGTGTATGTTACAATCATGTGTTGTGTATGTTACAATGCTCCCTGATAGCGATGTACAACTGCTGGATTAGAAAATCGAATTATGTTCAGTTTGAGTGATTTGTTGCAGAAAATCGCTGCAGGAGGCGGAATTCAAGTGCCGGATTAAAGCGTAGAAAATGAACTGGTTTACAAGGGTGCTGGATAAACAAGTGCCGGATTAGAGAGGGACGACTGTATGTGAATGAACATGTTCATTTTCATGGTGCGGTGTAAAAAATGATGGACCCTGGTGCGGTAAATGTGTTAGTACGTGCATTGTAGATTCTCTCTCTCTCTCTCTCTCTCTCTCTCTCTCTCTCTCTCTCTCTCTCTCTCTCTCTCTCTCTCTCTCTCTCTCGCTCTCGCTCTCTCTCCCTCTCTGTCGCTCTCTCTCTGTCTCTCTGTCTCTCTCCCTCCCTCCCTCCCTCTCTCTCTGTATTTCAACCCTTGGAGTGGAGCACATTGGACTGCTCAATGAAATCCAATCGAGTCACTCAAGTGCGTGCCGGCCGTTGCGCAGCCCTCTACCTGCGAACACTGGGCTGAGAAATGGTGCAAGGCGCAAACTTGACCGACGCTACCGGATTTCATTGAGCAGCACTGAAGAACAAGGGGTGTTCAGCGTACACAAACAAACACACACACACACACACACACACACACACATGATGCTTTATTGCTGTCTTTTTGTATTGTGTAGGGGGTGCTGCATCGTCATCGCTAAGTGCAAATGACGTTATCTCCCGTGTCGGACATGTTGAAGTGTTTGAACTTAGCAAGGACGAAGTGTCTGATCTTCTTAAGTAAGTTGTTACTTGCTTTTGTTGGTGAAGTAGGTGGTCACTGCAGGAAGTGCTGCTGGTCTTGCAGTGACTTGCCTGTCCTGTCATACTGAGGTTTTGTGAGTGTCTGTTGTGTAATGATGCCTATGAAGCCGCATTTGCTACTAGTATCCCATGTTCAGGTGTTTCAGCCATCTCGTGTTGATTGCACTGTAGATTATGAGTATATAACTTTGTGTGTGTGTGTTTAGTGCAATATCTCTCTTTGCCTGCAATTGGCTTACTGTTTTCTGAATGCACATGTGAGTATCGTAAACTAGCGTTGATCAACCCCCTGTGCTCTGTACTCTGTTTTTTTTTGCTCTGTGCAGGGAAGCAACACATACGGGGACTGTGAAGATTCAGGTGATGAACTCTGAGGTGTCTGGTCCGCAGGTGTGTGTGTTTCCCTATGAAGTAGTGTATCATGTATGATTGCTATGAAGTAGTGTAACATTAATTTGTGATCGTTACACACCTTAAACACGTCCACATTTGCAGAGCGGACACAGTATGTATCGACAAGCGTTCTCATCATTTTCATCATGCTTGCTTGAGCTTTTTGGTAGATGTATGTTGTTGTAGCTGATGCCAATATCATCCAGACACTCAAATCATATATATTTTGGTTTGTTTGATGTGTTTGCGTACAGAATGAGAGCCTGCCGACGCAAACTCAAGATGGAAAGCTTGTATGTCATGATTCTGTTACTAGAAACACTGCTTTGTTTTAGCTATGTTCTACTGCTGTCGATTGTTGAATTGCAGGCCATTTAGCATCTTTTGCCAGGACCATAGCTCGTACAGCTGTGTTGGGAGTGTACATGCTGTAGTCCTAGTGACGACCATTGGCCTGGTCCAGCACATTACAGCTGAAGTTACTTAACTATGCATAATTTCAGCATTGTGGTGCAATGTTCAATGACATCATGTCACCAGATCTCACTACACGCAGTAGCCCAGTGATTGCTCACAAATGCCCAATGGACTTCATTGGCTGCTACTATACATCGTATAATTCTGTGTGTACGTGTGTGTCTGTGCGTGTGTGTGTATGTGTCCTCTCAGGCTACTCATTTACTACCTGGCGTACTACTAGTTGATCTGATGACTGGTGGCTCAAGGAAGTTCCGTATTACACGCACAACAACTGCTCAGGTAGGGATGAAACACAGCACACACACACACACACACACACACACACACACACACACGCACACACACGCACACACACACACACACACACACACACACACACACACACACACACACACACACACACACACACTGGCTTACTTTCATATCCTTTCACTGGTTTGTTTGTCTGCATATTAAATAGGATATGCTGTGTTGCTTACTGGTCACTGTGTGGCCTTGACTGTCTGCTGTTGCCGCAAGATCCACAGTAACACTACAGAGTACAAGATCCACAGTAACACTACAGAGCAAGATGCACAGTAACACTACAGAGTGCAAGATGTACAGTAACACTACAGAGTGCAAGATGCACAGTAACACTACAGAGTGCAAGATGCACAGTAACACTACAGAGTGCAAGATGCACAGTAACACTACAGAGTGCAAGATGCACAGTAACACTACAGAGTGCAAGATGCACAGTAACACTACAGAGTGCAAGATGCACAGTAAGACTACAGAGTGCAAGATGCACAGTAACACTACAGAGTGCAAGATGCACAGTAACACTACAGAGTGCAAGATGCACAGTAACACTACAGAGTGCAAGATGCACAGTAACACTACAGAGTGCAAGATGCACAGTAACACTACAGAGTGCACAGTAACACTCTGTAACACTCTGTAGTAACACTACAGAGTGCACAGTAACACTACAGAGTGCAAGATGCACAGTAAGACTACAGAGTGCAAGATGCACAGTAACACTACAGAGTGCAAGATGCACAGTAACACTACAGAGTGCAAGATGCACAGTAAGACTACAGAGTGCAAGATGCACAGTAACACTACAGAGTGCAAGATGCACAGTAACACTACAGAGTGCAAGATGCACAGTAACACTACAGAGTGCAAGATGCACAGTAACACTACAGAGTGCAAGATGCACAGTAACACTACAGAGTGCAAGATGCACAGTAAGACTACAGAGTGCAAGATGCACAGTAAGACTACAGAGTGCAAGATGCACAGTAACACTACAGAGTGCAAGATGCACAGTAAGACTACAGAGTGCAAGATGCACAGTAAGACTACAGAGTGCAAGATGCACAGTAACACTACAGTAGTACAGAGTGCATGTCATAACTGTGCTGTAAACACGTTGACCCCTTGCACTGTTATGTCTCCTCACCGAAGCCATCTGCTGTTTTTGTATGTTCCGCTCAGGATATTGTGGACAATGTGTGCAAGAGACTAGACATCACCACACCAGAGATGTTCGGACTGTACATTGAAACAGTGACACCAGAGCGCTCCTCATTGAGAATCCTCTACGGATGGCAGCTGCTGGCTAAATTGCCTCAAGAAATCATTGACTCCATGGTGGCCAATGATATTGAAGCTGGCGAGCCTAGGCCCGAAAATGACCGGTCACACATCGTACGAATAGTCTGCAGATTGCGTTTCCTTCCAGGATCTATTGATGATCTTTATGATGTCGATCGGAGAGCGTTTGAGTACTTCTTTCATCAGACTTCTTTGGATGTAGCCAACGATCGTTTCTCTAGTGAATGTCCCAATGACGTGGCCTTACTGCTGGGCAGTTTGAGTATAGCACACTTCTGTATGAAACAAGGCAAGAAGAAGGTCAGCCTGAAAGAAGTCGAGTAAGTCTCGTCCTCCAGTTTTGGGTTTTTTCGTTTGTTTGCTTGCTTCAAGGCGCATTCCTCTGGTAGTCCTTGAGTCGGTGCAGAAGCACAGCTATGATCTGTCTCATGTCTCTTTGTTCCAGTAAGAAAAACATGTGCTGGTAACTGTTTCTTAGGTTGCTCCGGTCCCACACCTGACTAGAGTAAAATGTCGTTCTGAAAGAATTCTGTTCTTCCTTTATCTCTGTCTGTCCCATTAGGAAAACTGTTGGAGGTCTGCAGCCTTTCTTTCCGACAAGCATTTTGGATCGCCTGAAGACTGCTGACCTTCGAAAACACGTGAAGAAAGCGCTGGACACACAGGATATTGACATGGAGCAGCCCAATGCAACAGATCTACAGCTAAAGTATCTTTCACTGCTTGCAGAGTTCCCGTCACTGGCTGGCGAGAAATTTAAATGTATGGTAAGTTGACGACTAAGTTCCTCTAAAAGTGTGCCGTTTGTGGGTGTAGGTTGACCTACAAGTATTTTGTTTGTTTTTTGAGTAGCAAAATACCCAGTAAATGGTGATCACCCATGATCAGTTCTGGTCATAGTAAAGGGTAGTAGTCAGACCTCTAATCATTGAGCTCCGCTGAGTATGTAAGAAGGGGGGGGGGGGGGTCTTATTATATTGTTCCCTCGCTACCGTTACCGTAGATGAAGATACATTTACCGTACCAACTGAAATCAGGTACGTAGTACTCAAGGCCACATAGGTTTCCTGCAATTGATATTTTCTCCTAGGTCCTTCCAGTCCGTCTGCCTCGGTAGATTCCAGGCCACCAAACGTTTCCTTTACCGAACGGAGAGCATACTATATACAGTTTGCAATGTGTTCAATGTGCTGGGCCAGTTCAATGTGCTGTGCCAGTTCAATGTGCTGGGCCAGTTCAATGTGCTGTGCCAGTTCAATGTGCTGTGCCAGTTCAATGTGCTGTGCCAGTTCAATGTGCTGTGCCAGTTCAATGTGCTGTGCCAGTTCAATGTGCTGTGCCAGTTCAATGTGCTGTGCCAGTTCAATGTGCTGTGCCAGTTCAATGTGCTGTGCCAGGATAATTTAGCCTCTCAGTATGGAGTGTTAGAGTGTTACTGCAACAGCGCTTGCTGTATGTGCTTGTGTTATGTCTGTGTTGCAGGATGAAGTGAACAACCAAGAGATAACTCTGTTAGTTTCACCGCAGAATGGTTTTGGCTCGATCGACAGTCCCTTGGAGGCCGGATGGTGCTCAGAAGTCCAGGTGAGTGCTGCTCTCATTAACTAATAATTGTCTCAAGAGTTGTCAACACATCCGGCAATGAAATACTGTGTGAACGTGCAATCCTAAGCTCTTGATCATAACGTATTCTGGTAAAATCCTGCCAGAGCGCCCCTACCTCCTCCACCCTTTGAGAAGGTCCAGGCGGGGAGGGGCGGATGGGCGAGTCCACTTACCGCATTCAGTACTACATGAAAAAGTACTCACCCTACAAAAACTGTTCATGCATTTCGTACACCGACCAAAGGTCAAGAGCCAGGAGGGTGGGCACTGTTGCATACATTTCCAATGGGGTCGAGCACCCGTCTGCAGTACAGTACGGCATCACAGAGTCATACGAGGATACAATCAATCACTTCCCTGACAAGAAGTCAGGGAGGGGCGGATGTGAGAGACGGGGCGCTCTGGCAGGATTTTACGGTACTAGTTATAGCTCGCAACTGTACACAGGGGTGCGAAGTACAGCCGTGACCAAAGAAATCTGACCCGCGAGTCAGCGCCGCGTTTCTTTTTCAATTACTAAGTACACCATGCACGTTCCAAAAGCCCATCCAAGTGCCGTAGTGGTCGCATGAGACCTGTCACTGTTTTTGCCACACTGGTCGGATTTCTCTGCCAACGACTGTACATCAAGTAATAAAAATGTGATTCTGTTATCAAAGAGATTGTGCACGATGGAAGCTCGTAAGGCTGGGACCTTGCGACCTCCAATACGAGCGCTGATAAAAGCTTTCGGCAACTGTTGACTGAGAAAGAGTTTGGCAATAAGAATTTCCACGTAGTCATCATCGTACTGCAACATAGTGATCTACAACACCTGTCAGAAAAGGGCCAAAAGGGCTCTCCGCAGCACCAAAGGGGTTGCAGCAGGGCAAAGAAGGGGGTACAGGGCTGGCGGGCATTCCTACACATTGCTGTATTTCTCTTCTTTCATTAAATCATCATGATTATCATTAGGAGCTAGCTGTGCATCAAATTTCTTGTTGATATAGCCACCTTTACGCAGTATTCCGACGTGGGCAATTGCCCTCTACTCTGACCACACTCTTGGGCAGTAGCCATTGAAATGGTTGAATGTAAAGAAGTAAACTTGTAACGGCTGGATTTCGTGCTCCAGTACAATCAGCAGGCAACTACGCAATATTGTGTGAAGAGGTACATTATTCAATTCAATTGTTGTAATAGTCAACACCCATGAACAGTTAGTGGGGTCTTCAGGATTATAATCAAAATAGCCAGGCTTTCTGGCGTGGCAGTATGTATCAGCAAAGTGCTGAACTCTTCCCCTATTCTCACTTTTCCCGCAGATCACCACATTTTGCTCATTTGATGGCCTGGAATCTATCAAAGTAGAAGAACTTGAAGTGCCAACGGAAAAGGCGACAACGCGTGTTATCATCAGCTTTGAGGATTCTGATATAGAGGTACGTGGAGAGGCTGGCTGGTGACGATGATGTTTCTACAGTCCAGTGGCATACTGTACAATGTCATGCTAACCTGCCTTGGCGCCATGTCATACCTACCATGTAGTCACATCAGCCTGGCCTGGTGTCTGTACTAGTACAGTAAGGTATCGATTTATCCTAACCATTCGGAGCAGACACCATTCCTAAGGGGTTCGAGGGAGGGACCTTTTGTGTTCAATTCTACACTTTGACCTCTAGTCAGCTGCTTGTCTAGTTCAGAAACGAGCGCTCCCCATTGCCGCTTCAACAATGCGGACTGTTGTGCTGCATGTTGTTTGTGTGTAGCCACACAAGTACCAGATGAGCAAGGAAGCAGCCAGAGAGATCGGACACTTACTGCAAGGTTACGCGCAGTTGCTAGCAAAGGTGGAGCTGGCGTTGGATGATCCTGTTCTGCTGATCGACACAAAGTTGGAGACAGATAAATGTAAGCAGAGTCGCTCTCTGATTGAACTTGGGGCCTGGTTCATTTTTTTGTTTCCATTTGGCTGTGCAATTCCAGTCTGTATTGTAGTACAGTGCCACAAGCTATCCTGCCGAGTGTACTTGTAAGAGTCGTGTGATTGTTCACCTCATCAGTGTGTTGAGCGCACAGCTGCTCTCGTAACTGGCACGAGGTACTGGTATGTGAGCTCAGTATGTTACTAAACACTAGCCTGACAACGACTTACTTGCATCTTTAACAGTCTGTGTGTCTCTGTGTTTGCATCTGTGTGTGTGTGTGCACCTGTGTGTCTGTGTGTCTCTGTGTGTGCATCTATGTGTGTGTGCACCTGTGTGTCTGTGTGTATGCTATGCTGCACAGCCCCACCATATCGCTCATTGCATCACGTAGCAACAACAAACTGGAGCTACTTTGATGGTGCTTGGGAGACCTATCTACAGACGATGAATAAGTCTGAGAGTGCAGCGATCTCCCAGAACAACTCATGTCGTTTGAATTTCCCAGTGGGTAAAATCCTAGTAGAGAAGGCCTCTCTTTATGAGTACATGGCGGTTGATCTATCACAGAAGCTGTCCTACGGTAAGCGGAAGAAGAAGCGTGTCATTTACTTGCGAAAGACCGGGGCTGATCTTGCCCGTGATTTCCTAAATAGGCCAGAGCCACTTGATGTAGAGGAGCAAGAAGACTTCACGGCTCATCTCTGTTCAAGACAGATGGTTAGCACAGCGGTAACGACTGAGGAGACGGCTGAATCCAGTGAAGACACTGCGAGTGCACCGCCAAAGAAATCGGCCGGCGCAGCTGCTGCCCTTGCTGCATTGCTTGGCAGATCGAAACCTGTGGTTGATGAGTCAGAGGGTCTAGCCACAGCACAACCCTTACGTGGAATTGTTGCCAGCAGTGACTTTGGCAACTCCATGAGCTTCAACGAAAGTAGCAATGACACGGCCAGCACAGCTCCTGATCCAGGCTGGGGTGGATCAGCCACTGTTGAAATTACACCCGCGGCCGATCCACCTGGTACCGCGCCTCCTGATGCAGCAGGTAAGCATGCTACTACTGACCGCTGCATATAGTGTGTGTGTGTCTGCATGTGTGTGTGTGTGTCTGTGTCTGTGTCTGTGTGTGTGTGTGTGTGTGTGTGTGTGTGTGTGTGTGTGTGTCTGCATGTGTGTCTGCATGTGTGCATGTGTGCGTTGCCCGCGCATTGAGCTGCGTGTGTGTGTGTGGGGGGGGGGGGGGTACGTATGCCTGACACACATTGCATGTACGGTCATGCAGTACAAAGTGTCTTCATGTGCAGCTAATGTTTTTTAGAGATGCTTTTAGTAATGCAATATCTCTCTTTGCCTGCAATTGGCTTCCTGCTTTCGGAATGCACATGTGAGTATCGTAAAGTACTGTTGATCAACCCCCTGTTGATTTCCTGCCCGCGAAGCGACTCCAGCGTATTCGTCTAAAATTGTGTTGAACTGACGCATGCACTGCTGCACGCAGTACGTGCCAGTGCAGTACGTCTGTGGATGAAAGTGTACACTTTCCACCACGGCAAGTCTGATCTTTCGTATAGTTGTACATAGTACTGCACCCTTGATCTAACTAACTCCGCCCCCTGCTGAAAATCCAGCTGGGAAGCGGCACAGCGTTGGGTGTGGATCAATGGTATTTTACGGTACTAGAATCGGTGTGCTGCTCTGCTACTATGTAAGGGCAGGTTCGATTGGCAGGATCGGGATCCCGATCCCCGGATCCACTGGATTCGCACCCTTTCGATTGGTCGAATCCGGATCCTGATCCTTCGGATTTGGATCCGGTCAAACCACCTCGGGGAGCAGGGTTGGCCGGATCCAACGGATCCAAATGTGACCTTTGTGCGTATATGGCGGGGAAAAAACATTTTGTACACATTGTGGTACGCACACGTGGATTGAGATAGAGTTTGTTGACTTTTGTACGATGTGTGCGATGAGTGCGACTTTCACGCTTTTGGGTTACTCGTGAGCGCCATTCTATTACTTCGTCAACATGGCACGTGTTCAGTTGACTCTGAAGGATCCGACGGATCTGAGATCGGGATCCCGATCCCGATCCTTACCAATCGAACATGCCCATAGTGTAGATGTACTTTGAATTTCATTTGCGAACAGTATCGACGATGATTGTGTGTGTGTGTGTGTGCACTTTTCCTAGGTTGGGGAAATGAAGATGAAGCGTCTGCAAAGCAGCCATCTCTCTCTGACTTTGGCGTTTCTGTCCGTTCCACCCCACAAGGATTCGGATTTGGTGCTGGAGGAAATGAAGAAGATGAAATTGCTGGCTGGTAAATTGTGCCTATATATATATATTTATTTTTTATATTAGGTCAGGTCAAGCTCATCACCCACTAGATAACATTGTTAGAATGCTGCTATTGCTTACATTTTTTGCTTTGCCAGGGGCTGGATACTCTGACATGGCGTTCATGTTGTTTGGCTGACACAGTAATACATGTAGTTACTTCACGTAGAATGTTCCTTGTCCCATGTTCGTATGTCTGTAGTAATTTTGCCAATCATCTGTTTTTCTTTAGATATTTTGATTTTCTTGCTGGTTAGTGATAGTGCTGTACAAGTTAATTAATAATCACTGCTGCTTGATGTTGCAGTGGTGGGGGATGTTGGTGACCCAGGGGCCGCCTCATAAATAAGCATCCCGTTTTGCTCAGTGAGACTGGCATGCATGTGCTGTTGCCTTATTTCGTCGCCTTATTTCCCCGTTAATTAATGAATAAATGTAGCTTTTCCATTTTTACAGACTGTCTAACTAAACCAACTTCTTTGTGTGTTCTCATGGCAGTTTCTCGACATTTTCCATACTACACACCTGCCACTTTCAGCAACACAAAATTGCTAGTGCCCTTTTTATTGCTTCATCTAATCAGCGTTGTGTACGCACCCAATCGTAGTCCTTTGTCACACCCAAACGCCGCCCTACTGGGTTTGGCATATCCACGTAGCATCCACTCTCAACATTCACTAGTATCCTCTACTTTCTTTTGCAAACAAAACTGCTACATTTGTGCTAGAGATCAGCACAACATATCTGAAAATTATTTAATTCCGACTCAATTCAATACTTTTGGTCTGTAGTGTGTTGGAAACTTGGAATTGTGTGAGTTGAAGAACAGTTGGTGCCAGAAAGATCTCCAATAAATCACTAGGGGCTGGAGCCACAGTCAGCATGTATACAGCTGCACACATTTAGCTCCTGTGCAGAAGCAATTGCCATGATTCTTCTATTTGCAAATGAAGGCTCAAGATAGAAAGGCATTAGCTGGCTGCTAGACATATGAACTCAGAATGAGGCAATTGTTTTCTCCACAACAACAAGAGCGCTGGTGATGATTACACTTAATGTATTTGTCAGTCCGTTCCATGGACTACACTCAGTTGCAAATATAACGTGTTAGCAGCCACAATATTGTGTACATGCATGCACATCACCATGTAGCTTCCTTAGTGGCAGTGCACGGCTTTGTTGTGCTCGTGTGCCAAAGCTGGAGCATGGTCGCAATTGCAATAATCGGCATTTGTCATGAAAGGCGAGTCAAGCACAGTAGGATAGTGGACAACAGCCTCCCACTTCTAGAACACAACTGCCTCCCACTTCTAGAACACAACAGCGGCTCTCACTCAATGCGCACTACAGGCAAGTCGAAGGCCGTGTATGCATCTCTGTCACATACTGGTCCTTCACTGATCTGTTGTTTGCAAGCTGGCAATGGCACGCCATCATTGTTGTCAACCAACCACCAGCATTACCATCCGCCTGTCCTGAGATGCGAGCGAGGGAGAGGTGCTAGCTCAAAGCAGATAATGATGCGCATAATGATAACGTTTTGTCTCTACGGTGTTACACCACTGCTTTCAAGAAAGAATTTGGTCAACTTCTCAAGTCTCAATAGAAGCAGTGTGGAATATAATGAAGCTCGCGTTAGCACTACTCATGTCACAAGAGTCATCTGAGCGCTTGCAGGAGATGACATACCACTGTAAGCAGAATGCTGACTGCAATGCTCATCCTGGCTATGGACCCTGACCCATCGCCAGTGTGCAAGGACATGGCTGAGGAGTGGTGAAACGGTGGCGTGGTACTGTGCACTAAACGTGTCTTGTTACGAGCCCGCTCAATCAAAAACTGCGTGGCATTGATAGGCGAAGGTGGTTCCAGAAGCACACGGCCAATTGATTTCAGCTCGCCATTGGTGGCCACTTCACCACCATACAAGATGTTGAAATGATACGAGCGAGGCTTGAAGTCAATCACCGACATTTCAGCTACAGATGGTGTGGCTAGAAACTCTTCAGGGGTGTAGACTGTGGATGCAAGGAATGTCTGAACACAACAAAACACAACACAACACAACACAAGAACAGTGTTTTCTTTTTCTTTCTTTCTTTTTAAATTTTGCACGTTGCAGGATACTTTTCGCAACAGAGATTTGTGCAGCATGCATGTACATGTACTGGTGAAATTACCTTGACAATGTAGGTGCCTGCCGTCAGCATAGCTGGCATGCCTTCCCCAGTGGTGACATTGTGCATGATCTTCAGTACAGACGGACTGTCTTCCTCTAAAGGATCACTGTTAGCTTGAAGCACCAGCACATCTGAATTCAAAGCAAAGAGTTCAACAACAGAAAGGCAAGAGTCAACTGTATGGGCACACTAATAACAAGAGTACATAACCCCAAGAGTGTGCAACTGCCTGCACAACCTCTATGCTGTGCTGCGACGGCAGAACTTCACATCACGTGACATGGTTCAAAAGGTTATGCTGGCAAACAGTGCAAAGTGACCACAAGAGAGTTGTACCCAAAGCTGGGCTGCGTACAACCCAGTATCTATCATGCACTAGAGTGCACGGGTTCATCACGTGATGTGAAGTTCTGCCGTCGCAGACCCCATAGCTGGAGTTGCACACTCTTGGGGTTATGTACTCTTGCTAATAATGATAAATGGGGGGGGGGGGGGGGGAGGTGATGGGGGTCAATAGGGTGGTTCAGTAACTCGTTGTGAACTCGTACACGAAACAAAATCGATTTCGTTTCGTGTTCGAATTGTGTTCTGCAAGGCATAAAAGAGGTTCAGTGACTCGTGAGCAAAGTGCACTTTGATTGCTATGGTGACAGGACGGCAACTGAAACAGAAACTGAGAGATGGCAACAGAAATACGGGTACTTATCCACGGACACTAGATCGTACTTCTTGTTTTGCCATGATGTACATGTATCCTTACTTGGTGCGGTGCGGTCTCGGAGCTACTCACGAATCAAATAGCCCGGACTCCTGTAAACGAATACAATCTACGAGATCTTCATGACATTCTGACCCAGACCTGATCCATTGACTCGTTTCGTATGAAACAAACGAGTAATACACTTGACTGGGAAATGGTGATAACTGATCATGTTGTCCCCAATCAGCGAGTCGCATATGTCACAGCACCCACACGTTCATGAAGTCCTACTGTATCCATTAACAGTTCATTCATTACTGCTTGTAGCTTTAAAATTAGGCCATGGCAACATACCAACAGGTGCAAAGTCCTTGCTGAGCGCATTGTAGGAGAATATCCAGGAAGCTGCTGGTGCTAGGTAATCATACTTTGCCCAGCAATGCTGGAAAGCATCCATGTCATTCGTTTCCTTGTTGTTGTCTGCCAGGAAGATGCACATTGTGCTTTCAGCCGCATCAACCTCAATTGGCGGTGGGTCCGTGGCTATTGAGCGAAGCAACAACAATGCAAGAAAATGAGTTTTAGGTTATTTTCAACTATTCTTCAGATACAACTAAACTAGCACCCATAATATCTGACTTCCCAAAACGAACTACCGTAAAGTACTGACCCCCCCCCCCCCACACACACACACACATACACACTGTGTCGCTTCCCAGCTGGCTTGCCAGCAGGAGACGGGAGTTAGATCAAAGTTCTCATGTGCAGTATTATGTACATGTACAACTACTCAAATGATCAAACTTGTTGTGCTGGATTGTGCACATGTTCATCCACAGGCCTACCTGCACAGGCATGTGCCGTGTGCAGCCGTGCATGCTTCGTTTCAACACCGTATTTTAACGTACACCGGTACGTTGAAGTCGCTCCATAGGTGGACATGTGACATGGAGCGGAAATTAGAGAAGAGGCAGATCAACAGTACTTTATGGTACATGTATTCCTCTCCTTATAGACTGGATCCCCGGACAACTTGCTATGGTTCGCATGAGACTCGGCTGGAGGCCGAATTTTCCGCATCCGCAGGAATGCCTCCACCCTCTAGGATCAAGGCGCAGATGCAGCTCCTAAGCGGTGGGAGGTGAGTAGATCAGACCCACGACAAAGTGGTCAAAGACTGAAAATCCCATTCGCTGCATCCATGTTTCCCTCGTACCAGGCCACGAGTTCCCCTGAATTAGGCAGCAGGACTTGTAAGAGAGGTTTGAAATATTTGGTGGGGAAAGCAAGTCTCCTCTCCCCCATGGAGAGGGAAATGCTCTCAATAAACATTGCCTGATAGCAATTTTACTTACTCTGTCCTTTGGTATGCACTTTGAAGCAGTCGCCGTCGTGTAAGTTGAGACTTTCAAATCGAGCACTGTTTGGTGGTAAGCTAATTGAATGGTAGATGTTGGGGAACATGAATGTGACTGGGTGGTTGAAGCGGTTTTCCGACGTCTGGTATACGTTCAGAAAATAGATATCAACTCTTCTGGGATGATGCTCTGAAGGCGTGCACAGATTAGGAGGCACCATCATCATCTCTGGTGGGTAGTCGGACGATTGCCGATACCGATCCATGATACCATGCAGAACTACATACTGATGTGTGTGTTCTGTGATCTCGATGCATGCCGGTGGAATGAATGATCGCACTTCTTGAAAGTCACAGATGTTCACAATAGCTCCACGGTGTGTCACCTAGTATTCACATTGAGGCAAATCAACAAAAGACAGTGTCAAACGCCGAGAAATAACTCTTAGCAATAGTTCCACCTACTTGAGTAGTACAGTGTATATACACTCCAAGGAAAGGTCATGTGTTAGTCGTATCTATGACCTTGAGATGTACTAAGTAGTGCGGCGTCTCACAGGATACTCATGCATATTCAACCGGTTTTAGCTTGAGGAAGAGTATCCCCATTCAAATTATTATCAGTGATCGGTGGAAACTTTAAGGCACCCACCGATGGGTATCGTCCGGTAAGGTAGAATTGGCCTGGCCAAAAGTAGTGTGAGCTTTAGCCAAGCTTGTAACTGTTGTACCAATATAGGATCAAACAAACCTCGGTTATTAGCCACATATTCATAGTATGCTCTACTGTACTTACTTTGAGCTGATAATGCCCCTCTGGTAACAGAATCTCAGCCCCAGTGTTCAGTGGAATGTTATTTCCAAGTCGAAGCAGCGGGTGTAGGGCCTTCTTGAAATGCTGCGGTGCATAAACTACGATATCTGCAGATGAAAGTCAACAAGCAAATGAGCAACAGGTATTGTATTGACACGGAGTTCAGAGAATGTAGACACACATTTATAACTATTGCTACTGATGATTGCAACTTCCACTAACAATGCGTGATTCTAACTAATGAGAGCAAAATGAGAGGGAAAGCGACCCACAGGCACTCACAGACAGACAGACAGCCAGAAAAAGGAAGAGGGAGAGGGAGAGGGAGAGGGAGAGGAATGTCTCCCTTTAGGTGGCAATACAAACAGTGTACGGCACTGCAAAGTACCAATAAGAGGATCCCAATATACCATCCACGAAACATTGTTACATTAACACTCACCAAAGTCATTAGGATCACCCAGAGATGGTGGAATCAAAGCGTTGTAGACATACGCAGAGCCTCTACCGGGTGCTGTGAGTTTGTTCTTAGAGTAAGGAAACACTGAAGCATGCAGGCTAAGACTGCTGTTGCCATCAAGCACGACAAACAACTCATCTGGTGATACATGTGGTAAGTTGCTGTCGAATGCTGATGTGGCAAGTTGATCCTCATACACCTCTGGACATCAGAAACATAGAACAAGTGGAGAGAATATGCACACTTGATCAACTTGCACCCGGCATGCATGGATGGCATTGCAAAATGAGCAAGTACAAACAGTGTTCCATGATTGAACCTCTTGCGTAATCCATTTGTGCAACAGGGAAGAATTCAACTAAAATATTACCCCTTGCGGAATCATGTACATGAAAAATCAACAACCCGGCGACAAAACAAATGGGATTCATCACTAATAGATATTACCGATTAAAGGGGAAGTTAAGGCTAAAATCAAAATTTCACCAGTTGTAGTCTTCGGGGTGCTGAGTCGAATGGTCTTGGTCCGAGAAAGCTGAGACGCTCCCTTCCTACTTGAATCCCAATCGAACTCGCACACTTCCACCGAAACTGGGTGACTGCGCCCTACTAGATGGGGATTTGTATGCAAAATGTCACTAAAAGCGCCATTTTGTTCTTATAAAAGCACGGATGACCGCGATTGGCCCATATGTTGTAGTCTTTTGGACGCTGAGTCGACTGGTTTCGGTCCGAAAAGGCTGCGATGCAGCGTTCCTCCTTTATTCCCAATCGAACATGGTTGAACAAGCGGTCACGTGCTCCTGCGTACACCAGTCACCTGGTCACCGTGCCTGCAGGGTACAACTTACTAGCCTGTTTGACCTTTTTTGGGTGCAGTCCTGTCACTCGAGTTGAACTCACGTTCAACCTTGGTGTGAAAGCTGTCGCCTGCTGGCATGGTGAGCAGGTGATTTGAGCACTCAGGAGCACGTGACCGCTTGTTCAACCATGTTCGATTGGGAATAAAGGAGGAACGCTGCATCGCAGCCTTTTCGGACCAAAACCAGTCGACTCAGCGTCCAAAAGACTACAACATATGGGCCAATCGCGGTCATCCGTGCTTTTATAAGAACGGAATGGCGCTTTTAGTGACATTTTGCATACAAATCCCCATCTAGTAGGGCGCAGTCACCCAGTTTCGGTGGAAGTGCGCGAGTTCAGTTGGGATTCAAGTAGGAAGGGAGCGTCTCAGCTTTCTCGGACCAAGACCATTCGACTCAGCATTCGACTCAGCATTACAACTTGCATCATGACGAAAGAGAGAAAGGTGGTGAATGGGCCAGGCAGATTGCTTTTCTCACAAATAAGTGAGGTATTTGGATGTCACCAAGAATGTTCAACTCTTCTGATCAGGGTCTGTGAGATATTTTAGTGACATGTGAGGCAATGGGTGAGTACACTCTTGCTAAGCTAGCGGAAACATTCAACGAATGCGACAAAGACTCCATCGAGACGGTGGATGGTGTGTGTTTTGGAGCATCGCGGGCAGTGGATCAGACTGGATCAGGAAGAATACGATCCAAAGTTCAAAGACCTCGGACTTCGTATAGCAGTTAGAAACTATACAGTAAAAAAATGAACTTCCAGACAGTCAGCTTCCTGGCCGCAACACTGAACCTGCCTGATGGAAAGCTTTATCCATACAGATAGGAGGGGTTATGAAGGTATGGTTTTCTGATTTGTACGGTTCAAATCTCACGATGCCCTTGCCGATGGTGTGACGGCTCGCTTCACTCAGCACAATTTACTTCCAGAACAGGCCGAGCATAGCTGACTTGGCCGGTGCAAGGGTAACCACAGCCTAGATCTTCCTGGTGTGTTCTTGAACACTGTCAGTTACTACTGAGCACATGCATTTACTCGAGTCTTCAACCAGTTGTACTCCAATAGCCCTTATCTAACAGCAATGGTATCCTATTCGCTTGCCTGAAGTTCCAGTCCTTGTTTTAAAAGAATGATAGCAGCCATCACTTGGCACCTACACATTGTGCCAGCTCGCTACAAGTTACAATAACACCGTTCTATTCTAATGCCCAAGCTGCAGGACTGGTAAGGGTCAAGAATTGCTTGCTGAGCACTTGTCCAGGCCGTGTCCAAGTCGTGACCTTCACTGCCCAAAAACACATGTCTGACTGACAATTATGTGCAGTTCTGTTTGTTTCTCGTTTACAGCTTCCTCTTCTGATGAGGTCATAGGCAGACGAGCAGATTGTGGCCATGCTCTTCGCCAGCTAGCTACTCCTATGACTTACGGGTCAGTGTACTTGTAGCATCAGCTTACAGCCGCTCCTAAACGGAAAGAGCTACTGTGGACCTTCCAGACAGCAGGGCATATTTCCGCAAAGCTTGTTCACGTCGAGGACTGTGGCAAACAGTCCTGCACCTGTCACTCTGTAAACATCCTGTTCATGTCACCTCGGTCTACACCAACCTTCACAAGCTCCATTCTTGAAATGCACGGGAAAGAAGCGGAGGACGAAAACAAAAAATCTTGCTTCTTGGTTGTGACTCCGCTGTAGCCCAGTGTAGGTTCTAAAGACTAGCCAATCCAAGGGAAGATGGCGTCGATACTGTTCTCTGGGGTCAAATCTGACAGTGATCCTGTGATCATCAACAGAGATCTCAGTCTGGTTCCTGTAGACTTCGGTTGGTGCTAACAAGTTCGTTGTAGATCTACTGCAGATCGTAGACCTCTATGTGCTTTCAAAGTAAGGTTTCATGCATGGACTGCCTACACCACCCACATGAAGCAGTTTGCACCTCGAGGCCTATCGTTGTCTCTCCAACAACAGCGACTGAAACTCTGAAAGTACATTCACAGAGCCCGAACGGGTCGGTGATAAATGTAGCGCATGTAGCGAACAAGAATCGAGTGGACCAGTCATGTACCTTGGTCCGGACACCTCCGCGTGGTGAAACGACTGCGCATGCAACATCTGTTCTAATTACAGTCGACCTACCCTTATAACGATAACCTCTATAACGATATTACCCCTATAACGATATTTTTCTGGCAAACCAAATCACTCCATTGACTTGTGTATACAATGCCTTACCTCTATAACAATATTGCTATAACGATATTACCCCTATAACGATATAAAATGGGCTGACCAATCGACATTTTCCATTTTATAACAATATCTAGCAGGGAATATGTAGAGCCTACTATCCAGGTAGGGCACGCTTCACTTGATAAGTCGTTGGGACATGGCGAAATGCAATGGGGCACCAGTTGGCGCCTTGCTGTGCACATAATGTGCATGTATGTCATTTTTTTATGCTATGAAGAGTGTAAAAAAGAACAAAATCCATGAATTATGACGTATGTGTATGAAATGAACCAGTTACCCCTATAACAATATTACCCTTATAACAATATTTCTCGGTGTGACGCAAATATCGTTATAAGGGTAGGTCGACTGTATATCCCTTCCTGGCCGAATAGACTCTCGTAAATCTACAGTCTTGTATAATAGAGTCACCATGTAGTAGTACAGCTAGTTACAGGGTTAGATGACATAGACCTAACGTTACTGTGCTGTATTCTTGGCACCTGTGCCTGTGGTTAGCCAATGGGTTAGGTGCAAGCCTTGGACCCTCCAATTCGCCGGTTCGCTCCCGCTGAGGGAGACGACTTACTGGTTTTTGAAATTCTCAATGCCGAAGATTAGCCCTTGGATCATCCATGAAAACAGCTAAGCTATAGTGCCAAGACGCCATGACATCACTTGTGCACTTTCCACAGTATTCCACCTACATCATGACATGTATTCATACGGTTGACCCAGCACTGCATGCACGTGCCAACGAATACAGGCAGGCAGATCTACATAATCACTGCTCGTTCCTTTCGGGTGATGAATTCAAGCCTTTGCTGAGAGTCGAAATAATGTCCATCTTTGTGTGTTCATTATTACATGCTTAGTGAGTGAACATGGCCATTGTGTTAGAGGAGGCAATTTGTAAGAATATGGTGATTAGTACACTAACCAAAATTCTGCACTACTACTATTAACATTATGTGCTGACTGCATTTGGTAGGTTCTATCATTGGCAAGGTTCAGAAATGTGTGCGACTGTATCCACTGCAGCAGCAGGGCAGGGTTTGATCATTGTCTGTCGTCTGCACTGTTGGTAGCATTGTGCTATCCGGGTGGCCGTCATGCTTACAGAGTACAGTGTACAGTGTGCAGTGTACCGTTTGCACACAACTGAACTTCTAAACTCCTCCCCATCTCTCAGTGGAATCCATCCCTTTCTATAACGCTTTAGAAAAGCTCTTTTTGGAACTGAACAAACAATATACATAAGGCACTTGAACGCTGCTTGAAATTATTAATAAAGATATTAAATGACGTACAGCAGTACGAGTGCTCCTGCTTCAGAATGCCTTCATTTGCAAGGAGATGCTAAGAATGAATAATTAGTTTTAATAAAGTCATAGTGCACCATGCTCAATATCATCTTCAACGTGCTAGTCAACGCCATTGTCTCGCACATCAGGTTTGTTGCCGGTTCCAGAAGCATGAGAGATGTCTAGCCCGCAGCATTCAAAATATTTCCCGAAATATCATCTCAATTTCACAAGCATCAACAAGGTTTTTGTCTTGACCAGCATGGAATACAGGTACTAACAGGATCCATGTCGCAATATTTGATCATCAAACCACAAACCCAAAATTCTGAATTTTCGAGTTCTTTTAAACAGCCTCATATCATGTTCCATGTGCACCTACCTACTCTGTACAACGTACCTTTGAATCCAGCCTCAAATTTCGCAATGGCATTGAAGCGGTCCGATGGAGAAATCTCCGACCATCTCTCGTAATGTGATCCGTAATCTAGATTATCCACATTGAGTCTCTCAAGGCGTTGATCAGATAACATTCGGAAGGTGAGTGTGGCATCGCGTGGATAGACATCCAGAACATGCAGTGTGGATTCCATAGTTCCACTGGTATATAGAGTGGCTCCACTGCTTGTGTTCGCGGATCTTTTCTGCCTCCCGTGTCTTTGATGTTGTTGCTTGTGTTGACGACGCTTGTGAGGATTGCTCCGTTCTGTCGGCTCTTCTGCAACTACCTCAGCATCAATAAGTTTCAACAGTTCAAGTCGCTGTGGTTTGTAGAGATCAGATTTGAGAAGAACTCGGCCAATCTCGGCACTTGCCACAGGTTCCCTGTGGACGTTTTCCATCTTTCTTCTTCCAATGTTCTTTTCAGTGTCAGGGCTGATCACAACTGAGGGTTGACTTGCTGAAGCGTATCCTCCAAGCAAACATTCGACAAGCACTATCTGGACGAGAATTCCTCGGAGCAGCGCCATTATTATTGGTACCGGTATGGTCATTTCGTACCTGTCTGAAGACGGCGGGATGTGCAGCACTATACTATCGTCATGGAACGTCTGAAAGAAAGCAAAGACTGTTCTTGCTGAGCACTTGCCTGACCCCTACAGGTCTTGAGTCCTGTCACTTGGGAACTGAGGTAATCCAGTCCTACTTTGCGAACAAAAGTCGCATAGCAATTGCGGTGTCGCTCTTGCAGTGGCTACTTGCCGATCACAAGCCCCCAGGTTAAACTTTCCACAACTTGATGATCACTTCTGTCCTGTGAGCAAGCTCAACGAAATGCAGCGGCCTTTTTAACTGGAAGTTCGGTGGCTAAAATGGAACGTCCCTGGGAGTGTAGATGACACAGCCAGGCGATCAGATTGAATGAACTCGCCTCAACAACAGCGACCTTTCTAAGGTGAAGCCTCTGCAAGGACGAACACACATTTACCGGTCACTCAGAAATCGCTGCCAGCTGGCAAGGAGACATGTTACAACTCTGCTTTCACAGCCACGTCTACGATCACTACACCTTATTGGAGGCGCATAGAATACAGTCGGGCTGCATGCCATGCACATGTATCTCCAACATGGCTGCAAAGCAAGCAATGTGTGTGCATATACATGCATGCATCCTACTGAGCAGTGGGTAATAGTGGCCCGTGGATACACAGGAGAGTATCAGATCACCACAATGCCCCTGCTGATGATGCTGACAGGCTGGTGTTGCAGCGTTTAGTGGTTAACGAGTGACTAGCTTGGCCACTTCCGGTGTGATGGTACAGTCAACCGTTCCACCTTGCCTTCGAAGACGGTGCGCAGCCAGCAGTTAAACGCAGCCATCTCCATCAGCAGTAGAATGCCGGTGGGAAGAACAAGGAAGCAGTACAGAATCTGTGTGTGTGTGTATTCTGGCACTTGTTGTGCCTAGCTGCGAGAACCTCCTGAGATGTACTTGTTGACATTATCTGCTGAAAAGCTGTCCTCGGCTCGACTCCCCACCATACGACAATATGACGACGGTATGATTCTAGAAAGGAGACAGGGACAACAGCCCTGACTCTTGTAGCACTGAAGGAAGTCATGTCCCTGGTCCGTCACTCAGACCTCTAACGAATTGTTTTTGCAGATGCTATCCTAGTTATCGTCCTGCAACACGGTGGCTCCACGAGTATTCTAATTCAGGGCCCAGGTCACCCACTCCTAGAAAGACGTAGACTCACCGACTAGTATACACTCAGACGTAACTTCTTACTCTGCGGAACGTGATATTGCGATGAAAAAACCGTATCAGACGTTTTGAACTCCACCGGATGCCAGAATGTCAATAATGGTGCCAGAATTTAAAATAGAAATGTAGTTTCTCCCACCTATACAAGTGTGTTTAGAAAATGAAGTGTACAGATCGTACCCAGAATACATTCCTGCCCGGAATACGCTATCCACTTCCCTCATGGCACAGATGCGAAAATGTGTTTGTTGGCAGGAAAGCGACCGCCTGGGAAACGTCATGAACTAGGTGCAGTGCACACCCCAGGACATGGACTCAGCTCAGCAGATTGCCTGGGTCGAGCAGAGGAAGTCACTGATTCAATCTACCCGACTCTGCCCAGTACACACTTCTAGAGGACATCGTTATCTTCCTGCTTATAAGGTTACACGTGACCTCGTGGCCAATGCGTGTCGTTATTGCTCTATACTTGAGCGCTCCAGTATTTGGCGAGCTCGACCATGTCGAAGCAATTCATGTCAGCGGTTTGTTCGTATTGTGCTGGCCACACCATGACACACAATCTGGTCATTGGAATAGCTATTCATCGACATACTACAAACATTCATCTAACCCCATCCGTAACACAATTCTTTTCACCGTTACTCGGCATTCCTTAGTCACTTGCACACCGACTGCTTCTAAAACAGAAAGGTTGGCCACCCTGTCACAGGCTAGGGGAGGATGTGGAGGCTTGTTATAGGTTTTCCGCTGAGGTCACTTTCTGGTCGGGAACTGCAGGCGGCAATGCTCACTTCCTCTGTGCACCTTTAATGATACATCTTACAGTCATTGTCAAAGTAAGCTTCAGTCCTACATCACTGGATATCTACATAGACTGGATATCTATGTAGATCTGGTGTCGGATATGTGAACATGAACGTGAAGCTGTTACTCGTGTCACATGTCACGGTCACACTTAACAAGGATAGACAAGTCTGATCGATATTCATCGGATGGTGTTGCACTAATGTTCTCGCTTCAGCATGCACATGACAGTGTGCAGGCGATTCTGCAAGGCAATGACAGAAAGCAACAAACCTTGCGCAAAACAGAATAAAAAATATGGACATATTTTTGCCAGAGGTTTTACCAAGCTGTCAAATTTTAAGTCTTCGCCACTACCCTAGTTTTCTAGCTTTGTTTATATCGCCCATCATTGTAACTGTTATGATACAGTGTGTGGTTGCATGATATGGGTGGGAGGCTCTATGCGGGGTACAAGTCGATTGCTTGAGCGTTGGCAGTCATTAAACACGCCCGGGCCAAACGATTCTGGGCGACAACAAGCTGATATGGGAACAGTGCACTTGTCTCCTCATATTGATCGTGTACGTACTTATAGGAAGTACAACAAGTCATGTGCTCGCACAGTTTTCCATAACATGCCAGAGCTGAGCAGAGCAGAGCTGAACTGAGCAGAGCAGGCAAGCAGTCGGCCAGTCAGTCTCCAGTCGAGCTGACTCCACGTGTTTTAATGATGTACACGATGGGTACGATGGGGTGCAAGTGGGACGTGGGATCCTTCATGTGAAATACTGGTTCTCTTCATGACCGCTGAAATCAGGGAGTAGTACAATACCCGGTATTGTACTACTCCCTGGCTGAAATACAAGGAGTTAAACCAAGAGTACATAACCCCAGGTGGGTTAAGTACTCTTGGTTAAACTAATAGTAAGGCTGTTGTCTGAACAGTTTGTTTACTGCTTTTGTGGTTCAAACATACATGTACATGTACACAATCTGCGGACAGCATGCTGTTTCGTCCTTTGTGGACATGTACATGTACATATGGAGACAAGATGCGTGTACAGCTACACAACTACACAACTACACAATCCCGCAGAGCAAGAACACGAGCGGAGTAAGAAGAGAGAGAAGCAGGAGCTCAGCGACAGCGAGACGAACTGCATTGTAGTGGCGGCACTGGCCGGCTGCTCGGCCTAGCCTGTGACAGTGTGAGCGTGTACTGGACGGACTGAAGGAACACAGAGACCATGCCTAGCAAAACCAGGACACATACACACTTTCACATTCACACAAAGGTGATAATTGTACTGTGAAGTACTATACACGAGTCTGCTTCTCAGCATGCACGAGACAGCCTCTTGATTGAACGATGGCCGGGATGTGGGTCATTATTGTCGTCAAGTAGGACATCTGCCGTGGCTAATGTTTTGGCTTGGATCGAGAACACACCTCACGGGATAGTGGTCCATGGATAACAATTAATTTGCACATTGTCCTGTATCGTTACATGTGCCCCAGATGAAGTATGATAAAAGGGTAGGCCAGGGCGCGTTGTCAGTTCATGGAGAACGACTTGACAAGATAAAAACGAACTCTGGAGCCAGTAACACCAGTCTGTCAGTGTAACTGTCATTCCAGCTAGTTCCAGTGTGCCAGCCAGGCATGTAGCGTCGGCAATTGTTCCTGGGGCAGAGGCTACGCTACTTCATGACGAGTTCTTCCCGGTGAATCAGCTGTCCAGCGTGCAGTGTAGACCTTTCAAACCTGTTTATCAGTGTGACTGGGACTGGCGAATACTCCACTAAAATGTTACGCACAGTCAGTGTGGAATGTTATTATCAAGATTCCAGGACGTGGCATTATGCCTGAAAATGCCGTGTATTCGCTACCACCTTTTAAGGCGATGATGTTTGCATAATCAACGCATTAGATCATGATCGCCATTAGAGAGATCCCAGAATGCCCCGCGGCGCCTTTGTGAACGCCCTTGGCGCTACACCTAAATTTAGCTAATGGGTCGGTGACCTTCAGTAGCACTGATGCTAGATGTGGTATTGGTAATCATTGCCCATTGCATATACATACTCTAGACTAGTGCTATTTCTAGGAGTAACTTGAGAACGGTATCGCCAGGGGGAGAGAGAGCGGGATCTATTCGATCGCGGTAGATATGTAGCGTTGAACAGTTGAACATCGAATTGGCAAGTCACGCAGATCCATCGCTATCTTCACCCTTCAGAAGTACAGATCATTGTTGATAAAATGCTGGAGGGTTGTCCTCGATATACTTATACTGTATGTTTATGTCATTGCCATGCTATGTCGTAGCCGATCATTCCTCGCACTCGCATGCAGCCCACAACGCCCACGCGAAGCAATGCAGAAAGCAATATTGACTTGTTAGGTCTGCTCAGCTGCAGGGTATGTTACATTGTACACACTGTACATGTACTTGGTGGACATGTGCAATCATACAGTACAGTCCCACGCGTTTGAAAGCCAGTGCTCGCTGTAACGTGACTGTATCAATCCAGGTTACTAGTTGGAAAAGAGCATTGTGATGCCTGATGGGAAACAGGGGGTGATCGAATGGCAGTGCAGATATTCTACTCCAGTATCCAGTCTCCCAGCAAAGTTAGTTGGCACAAATCAGAACCAGCTGACAGCCATTTCGGCTTCCCTGCCTGTTGACTGTTGTACCTGATGCACTAGTTTGAGTACTAGTAGATGATGGCCACTACTGGCACTAGTAGTAGGTACTAGTTGAAGCACTACATAACGTTAGATAGTATGATGGACGACGGACGAGTGGAAGGACGACGTCTATGGGCATTCATGTTGTTGTTGTAGAATCACCATGTCCGTTGCTGTACTCTCCAGAACTCTTACTCAGTGCTGTAGAATATGCAGTTAGTGTTTTCAACTGTAACTACATGTACGCTGTGACTTACTAAGACCTCCTGAGACTGACCTCCTGAGACTGAACGTCGACGAACGCATGCGACGTTCAGCAGCACTAGTGACGCTTCATACAAACAATAGTGATTAGTTATCATGACGACACGACCATGGCAAAAGAGATGTCCGCTACAGAGCCAGAGACTCAGTACAACATGACACTACCACTACTACACAAATACATAATAATTATTGTACTAGTAGTACCACATGTTCTGTCTATCAGTCCAGTTGCCGTTTGAATCGTTTATATAATAACATTATTATTAGTGTTTAAACCGAACACGGATTCTTCGAACGAATAATCTATCGAATAATTTCGCCCTCCATCGAACGAATAATCTATATTCTATCATACGCATGATGGCATTTTTCAACACTTTTTCAGCACTTTTTAAGTAGTTTTTTAAATATTTTTTTGCTGATTATCGGATTTTGTTATGTGGGGGTGCAAAACCGGTTAACCTGTACCGCCAAGAGTACATAACCCCCCGGAGTGTGCAAC